CTGTTTAGTAGAACGAGCATCTCATCTAGGAGACAGAACACCTAGGTGCGCAGGTTGGCTCTGTGCCTTTGGTCATGGGACTTTCAACAAGCTGTCTAGTTCTGTGATCCCAGTGTCCTTACCGATCAAGTCCGCTCGTGATCTCAGTCCTTGAGGCTGTGTGCACAGTTACCATGTTAAGTGGGTACAGATGTGAAGTGTTGGCATTGGCGCGTTAACAGACTTATATGGTGTTTTGCTACTGAAGGCAACCCTTTGTGCTAAATGTGTTTCCCTAGCTTGTCCTTGAGCTGTTCTGTTCAGTTACTTCATTTGTTCAGCATCTATTGAATGCCTGTCTTGTAACAGGTACAGACCTGAGGGGACCAAGCCGGACACAGTGCACTGTGATGCCCACAGTGCTCATGTCACAGCAGGTGCTCTGAGAACTCAGAAGGCATGTCCCCAGTGCTGGTCAAATTCAGGCGTTGCCAGACAGTAAACCCTTTAGACTTTGTGGATCACATTTTTTTTAGCCCTTTATTTTATTTTATTTTATTTGTTTATTTTTTTATATTTTATTGATTTTTTACAGAGAGGAAGGGAGAGGGATAGAGAGTTAGAAACATCGATGAGAGAGAAACATCGATCAGCTGCCTCCCGCACACTCCCCATTGGGGATGTGCCCGCAACCAAGGTACATGTCCTTGACCGGAATCGAATATGGGACCCTTGAGTCCGCAGGCTGATGCTCTATCCACTGAGCCAAACCGGTTAGGGCTTTCTTAGCCCTTTAAAAAGGTAAAGATCATTCTTAATCCAGGACCTCTACAAAAACTGGCTGCAGACTAGATGTGGCCATCTCTGCAGGATCCAGCTGAGTAAAAGAACCTGGAGAAGGTCAGTGAACAAGGGGAAGCAGGAAGGGCCTTCCAGACAGAGGACACACCTGTGCAAGAGCGCAGGCGTGAGAGGCTGGGCTCTGGGATTGAATGTTTTTATCAAGTTGAGAGTACAGGATGGGTTGTGCAGAGAAGGCGGTGAAGTTGATATTATAGACAAGATCAATGCAGTTTGCACTTGATTCTGATACAGAGAAGGGTTATGGGGCGGGAGGGTGGTTGGACTGGAGTTACAAAGCTCAGCAAAGGGGTATTGCAGTAACACACTTTAGAAGTCATTAAGGAAACAGCTGCCCAGTGCCGCCTCACTGGTAAAGTGGCGAGCAAAGTTCAGAGGGTGTGATATAGTTATATAATTACTAGTGTCCCGGTGCATGGATTCGTGCACATTGAAAGGAAGTTAATTAGAAGAAATATTTTAATATCGCTATTCACCCAATAGAAGTGTCAACCAAATTCACGATAGACAATGACAGATTGAAACACAGGTGTGCGATTGGTGCTAGTGAGAGCTTTATATGTATCGCGCATGTGCCGGTCAACTTAGCCTTTTATATATGTAGAATAAACTTGCTTAATTAGGCCAGCTTTCTGATTTAGCTAAACTTTTTCCAGTCCAATGAAGCACTCCAACTTCTCTTTCAGGTAATTTTCAGCAACACAGTAGTAAATATCAACACGAAGCAGGTTATTATTGTAGATCACGCAGGGAGAACAAAGAGTAAAATATTGAACTCTAGCAGTGTTTAACTATAATCTGCACAGTGAGAAAACCTTAAGTCATTTTTCAAGGTCTACCAGTTCTTCTTTTCAGTCGGGTCAAGTTTCTAAACTTTCTAAATCTCTGTTTTCTGGCTAATGAAAAGAAAATAGGATTTTACCAAATCTCCTATCTACCTACTCCAGGACTCCTGTGAGGATTAAATGAGATGAGGCACGTGAAAACACTTCACAGACATTTGGTTAAAGTGTAAAATGTTTGCACCTGGCTATAAAGCAAGCCATGTTCCTGGGCTGAAGAAACTGCAAGGAGGCTAGTTGCTATGGAGAGGAAGCCAGGCGTTGCTACGTGATGTCATCACCTGGTGCCCACAGTGACTGTTTCTGTGCTGGGCTGGGCTATGGACCGCATTTTGTGCTATGGGGTCTCAGCAGCGTTGGCTGCGATTTGGTGGGTATCACTCCGGGGTGGTGGCAGAGTCTGTGTCCCACTTGGGGGAAGCCGAGTGTTGGTTTGTTGGCGCCAGGTCTGTGGTGCCATTTACCTTTAAATGGCCAGTGCGTGTCATGGCAACTCCTGCATTGAGCGTCTGTCCCCTGGTGGTCAGTGCATGACATAGCTACTGGTTGGATGGATGGACACTTAGCCTTTTATATATATAGATGTTGTACAAATAAATGAAGAAAGCCTTAAGGGTGCAGCTGAGGACTGGGAGAGAGGCATGTGAGGCCTGCTCTGAGTTCATCTCCAGGCCCTGAGCTGGTAAGTCCAGGTTATGTCCAGCATGGCTCCCAGATTTCCCCTTTGGTATAAGTTCATGAAGCTCTCTTTGCTCTTATGCAAATGCTAGTGATTGAACAAAAGCTTTGAGGAGGAAACATTTACTCCTAGGTTCATGCGTCCCAGAAATCTCAAGGGACTTGTGTGAGCACGTGAGCTGTTTCCCTGGGGAGCGACTCGGGGGCTTTCATCAGATCATTGAAGGGCGCCCACCCCCCAAGGGAGCCAGTCCTTGTTAGATGGTGGACACCTGGTGCTCTTCAGCGGTTTGGGGCCGTGAGCAAAGGCTAGCCATCCAGATTACAGGAGTCTTACTTTAAATGTAATATACCCCAAACTGCCAAGTCAAACGCAAACAGATGCAGCTGCCTCCTAAATTGAACCATCTGAACCAGCAATTAAAATGTTTCCCCTGCTCTCCCCCACCCTCCAAAGTCAAAACAAGACACGTTTTGGTACATGGAGGCCAGCCAGGTATTTGGGACTCTAGTTAGCATGAAATATTTTCAACACAGTATTTTACATTCGACAAAGCTAACGTTTATATTGTTAGGCATATCTTAATGGTCACGTGGCTTCAAGAGATGGACAAGTGCCAGTGTTAAGGGTAGGGCATGCTGACACACAAAATGGGTGTGGTTCCTTCTGCGGAGTTAGAAATGTGTGAGCAGTGCGTTGTGGAGCCACGCTTAACTCGTGCTGTTACGGCGAGCCCTCGGCGACACGTGCAGGAGCAGCAGTGGGCTGGTGAGTCCTAGCGGCAGTGCACGAGTCAGTAGCAGGAAACCTTGGCTGTTGTGTGTCGTCTTGTAGCAGGCATTCTGCCGGGCTCTGAAAGTGACAGCCAGGTGAGACGGGCCCTCTCCACCAGGTCTCTCAGTCAGCGAGGGAGAGAGAAATCAACCATTGATCACAGGCGGTCGGGTGAGGCCCAGGGTAGAGCTGTCACAGGGCAGGGGGATGGAGAGTCACCTTCCTATGACAGCTCAGTTCCCCATTTCTGAGTCCTTTCATACCTATTGCTTATTTTCCCAGACTCTCCGATAGCCTATTGGCCAATTTCCCATGAAGTCAGTCACACACGCTCAGGTATGCACAGTTCATGTCTGGGAGGCCATTCCTAGAGGGCTCTGTTCTCCTTTGCCGCCCGCGCTGGGCGCTCCTCTGCCAGGCCTCTGTTGTCCGGCTTTCCTGTGCCCTCATCCTGGGCTTTTCTCCAGAGCTGGGTGTGTGCTTGTTACCTCATCCCTGTATTTCTTGGCCGACTTCTTGTGTTGGTAGGTACATCACCCGGCGGTGGATCCCCGGAAAGAGGTGGCGCAGGGCCGCCACACGCTGCTCGGACCGGCCTGCCCCAGCTGGGCCTCAGTCCCGCTCCTGGTGCGCAGCTGCCGTTCCAGCCGCCTTCCCCTGGCCCTGGGGATTCCTGTCCTTAGCTCTTCTCCGTTGGAGCTCATGTGTTCTTTACCCAGGTCTTCCTCACATTTGCTTGTGCTCCTCACACGATGGTGGAGACTTTGTCCAGGGGCTTTTTGAGATAGGATGCTTGGAGGTAAAGTGTTAGAGACAAATGCGTGATTGAAACCGTGATTGACAGTTTGTCTAGTTTCTCTTTCCACTTCCTTTCTTCCTTTCTCTCCCTCCCCCCTCTTTCCCATCTCCTTCCCGCTCCCCTCTGACATGGGTGGGGGGACCTGGGAGTTCACTGTCCAGTGTGGACCGTGATTAGATCCACCTCTGTTTTGTAAAGCTGGGCTGGGTGACTCAGTCCAAAGACACTCCTTTTTCGGGGGAATGACCCTCCAGCCTCTGTCTGAGGGAGGAAGGTCAGTCACATGGAGGCATGGTGTTGAGTTCTAGCTGCAGCTCAGCACCCTCTACCCTGAGCTCTGCCTGCACGGTGCTGCCAGGGGAGCCTCCTGGGGCACCGCTGGGCACTGCAGCTTCTCCGTGTTTCCACTCTGGCTTAGGGCCTGGCTTTCTTGGCCTGTAGAGTCATTTATATGCTTCCAATCTTTGTATAATTTGTTTCCTCCAAGTTTTTCCTCCTGCTTTTTTTCTATTTGTTTTGGTCTCTCTCTTCCATGTTAGAATTAGAACTAAGCTTTTCTTATAATTTCTAAAATTTTGTTCCTTTCTTTCCTTTCAGTTCTCCCTGTGCTGTTTTATTTTATTTTTTATTTTTTTTTATATTATATATTTTATTGATTTTTTACAGAGAGGAAGGGAGAGGGACAGAGAGCCAGAAACATTGATGAGAGAGAAACATCGATCAGCCGCCTCCCGCACATCTCCTACTGGGGATGTGCCCGCAACCCAGGTACATGCCCTTGATTGGAATCGAACCCGGGACCCCTCAGTCCGCAGGCCGACGCTCTATCCACTGAGCCAAACCGGTCTTGGCACCTGTGCTGTTTTAAAATAATTTTTTAAAATACCACTTTAGTATAATTTTAGTGGGAGGGGGTGAAATAGATGTGTATATTCTGTTGCCATATTAATTTGTGATGATTAGATGTTTCAGTAGTTCTCAGTTCCTTCACCTGTATTTTCTTAGCTTAGGATGTAGGTTTGAAGACAGGAACTTGACGTCAGATTTTTTACCCGTCTTTCCACAGAGAGGCGGTTGGTGAAGCTGACTGAGGTGGTGGCCACAGCCGGCCTCTGAGAACCCAGTGCCGTAAAGTGGTCTCTCCTGTGCCGTCTCCCTTGGCAGGTTCTCTTCGCGGCTATGGAAGGAGGAAAGAGAAGCTAGGGTGTTGCCGCACACTGTCACTGACGCCTTCCAGAGCTGCGGGCCTTCTGACCGTGAGTAGTGTTCTCTTGCTACGCTTGTGCTGTGGGTTTTTGTTTTATTTGATTTCCCTTTCACCTGCCCTGGGTGACTTTGACTCACAGTAGAAACAAACCAAAGGCATTGGTTTTTGCAGAGCGGGCGAGGGAAGAGGTGCGAGGTGAGCTGTGTAGTGCCTTCTGTGTGTATGTACGTCACACGTGTGTTTCTCAGATGGGCAGCATTACCATCACGGTAACAATGCTACTGGTAACAGAACAGCACATGCTCTAGTAGTGCCTGGTGCACAAGGAACGTTCTCATCACCACTACTGACTGCGTCCTCACAGTGACCCTGGGAGGAGGACCACTTTTCCCGCTTCACACTTGCGGAACCAAAATACAGAGGGTTCAAGGTTACTAAGCTAGTAGACGCCCAGCTCGGATGCACACCCCATGTGGCTTCAGCGTGTGTGCTCTCTACTAATAGCCGTTCCCGTGGGCCTGGGTGCAGGCCTGGCTTCGCTTAGGAGCTCTTCCCTGACACCAAGCCCAGCTTTCTCCTCGGGCAGAGCGTGTAGCTCTGGGACCTCCTGCCGGTGTGGAAGACGCTGTGAGGCGTGTGCAGTGTGCTCAGCACTCACACCCGGTTGTGACGGTGATTCCGTGGCCTTGTTCCCATTCTGACCAGAGGAAACAGCCCCAGAGAGAGGGGCTCTTTTGCAGTTTGTGAATTTGGAACTTGTCTTTTGCTCACAGGTGGCCAGTTGTAGAGCGAGATTCTGCCTAGTCTGTCTGAACCAGACTGCTCTTCCCCATAGGCTAGTGGTATTGAGGACAGACAGTTGATAGAAGATTCGTAAACCTCGCTGGGGGTGTTTACCAATATGTTGGTATGGAAAAAGCCTCATGAACTTGGACTTCCTGGGCCCAGAATTCATAGTGATTTATAATTTATGTTGAACTTGGCTTTGGCAGTGTCTTTGTCTTAGATGTCCGAGGGGCAGGGCCCTGGATTGTTTTTTTCATTTCCTTTTGAGGGTCAGTTCACTTTCCTCCTTTGTTCTTTCTCCCCCAGACCTACTTCTATTTCTACAGAGACTAGGTATGAGGGAAAGGAAATTATGTCATGCAGTCTCAGTTTCCTAGCAAGGCCTGGAAGTATGGCTCCTGTTTTTCCAGTTCCTGCTCGGTACTGGCTGCGGGAGGAGCCTGCTCTGTGTATGTGCTGGGCGAGGTGTGATTGTGTTGCCGGGGAGAGAAGGTCACAGCTCAGCTATTTGCTTCCCTTGTGGAACTCCCCCTCCTAGTCCATAGAATGTGTTTCTTTGTTCAACAGTGTGTTTTGTGTATTTGGGGGTAAGTCTGTTTCTGAGAGTCTTTGAGGGCAAAGATTGTATTTCATCTCTGCATCTTTTCTGCTTAAGCCACAGTTAGTTTTCATTAAATGCCGAACAAAGAACTGTTTAATGCTTACCACAAAATAAGTTCTCTTTTCTTAGTAGATCCGAACAATTTCTTCACATCCTTGCCAACACTAGTTATTTTTTGTTTTGTTTTCTAAATAGTGATCATCTGAATAAGTATGAGGTTGGTTTTAACATCATAAAAATTTTGAGTAGAATTAGAAAAGTGACTGCATAAATTTCTTGCTAAGTTGGAATAGTATCTGTCGATACCAATATGACAAAACCAAAAGTGTAGGGGAGGGCAGTTGACAAAGAAAACCGGCCACCGTGTAGCTGTGTTTGGAGAGAGAAGTCACTTATGTCTCCTCCTCTCACTGGAGCAAGGAATGGATCCGCACCAGCTGCTGCTGTTTCAGGAAAAGAGTACGGAGTCAGGTTGTAGAAACAGTTTGCTCTTTTAAGCCCCCACAAGGGATAGTTTAAAATGTAGTGTTGATTTTTCCCTCTTCATGGCTGAGAAATGTAGGTGGTAGAAGGGACTCACGTTCACCACCAGGGGCCCTCCTGACATTAGCATGCCTTCCTGCGGGAGCTGGCCAGCCACAGCCAATTTCTCGCAGGCAGCCCGGAGGCTGCAGCCCGGAGGCCTCTGTGCTTCTGTGTCTAACAGAGAGGAGCAGTCCTCTGATACTGCTGCAGTTTGCTAACTAAGGTGAGTGCTCACACCAGGGATACATTGGATTTAAGGGGGAAAAAAGAAAATGGATGAAATGCTCAAGTTAGTTAGGTGTGTACATGCATGTTCAATAAAATAAAGTTTTATTTGAGCAATGTCAACATTAAAGTAAATAACTGGTTGACTCTCTTTTGATGTTTGTGTTATTCTGATCAAAAACAACTCCCTCACCCCCCGCCCTAACTGGTTTGGCTCAGTGGATAGAGCGTCGGCCTGCGGACTGAAGGGTCCTGGGTTTGATTCCGGTCAAGGGCATGTACCTTGGTTATGTGCACGTCCCCAGTAGGGGGTGTGCAGGAGGCAGCTGATAGATGTTTCTCTCTCATCGATGTTTCTGACTCTATCCCTCTCCCTTCCTCTCTGTAAAAAATCAATAAAATATATTTTTAAAAAACCCTCTTTTATGACATGCGTAGTTAGGTTGAAATGTTTGCAGCATTTCTTGGCATGCACTGTGTCATCATGCCCCTCCCAGGATATTTGAAAACCTAAAGTGGCATCTGACAGCTTTCAGGGCTGTTTTTTTTCTCTTAAACTTGATGACAAGTAGCCTCCCAATAGTTTCTAAGCCTGGAATTTAGCTTTGATCTCCTGTATGGCGAAACAATTAGAGATAGCCATTAATTAGTGTCTGTGGAAGTGCTCTGGTCCAGTGATTTTCAACCTTTTTCATCTCATGGCACACATACTCTAATTACTGACATTCTGGAGCACACCAAAACATATATCACACTTTTTGCCGATCTGACAAAAACAAAGTATAATTTTGATTCCTTCACCTGGGACGGCTATTGTTATGTTGACTGTTGTCTTTTTAAATTTGACAATCTACGGGAAAAGAGGTCAGTGCCACTGACTAAATAGTCAGGTGCTACCCGATTAAAACATTCCTGCAGCGCCCAGTGAAAGCTTCCGCTCTGGTTCCGGATTGTTTAGCGCAAGAACACCCTCAGAATTTCCTGCCTGTTGGGTGTTGCATTTTCCCTTCCGGGTCACCCACCGCAGCGCGGTTTCCCTCCGTGGCTGTGCTTATTTCCTGGGCATTTTGATGCATTTCTCTGCCACCAGCTTCGTGTCCAGCAGGTACTGCACTGGCTTTGTCTGAGTTTGTGCTGGGGCAGGAATGCCGTCACCAGGGGTCGTCCCCTGAGAGCAGCTCGCCTGTCTCATGCCCTTTCTGTGGTGCGTCTCTCCTCTTTCTTTCTCTGTCCCTGTGGTCCTCCCTGGTTCAGTTGCTCCATAGGCCCAGCAGGGCCTTCTTCCTGACGCGCTCTGGAGACCTGGTAGCAAGCGAGGTCGGCGACACTGTAGGTGGTGGGCTAAGTGTGTGGTCTGGTCTGGCTGGGGTCCGAGTGCTGGAGCCTGTCTAGCTCTGCCACTGACCAGTTAGCTGTGTATTGGGTGTGCCCTTCATTACTCTGTTCCTCATTCCTTCCCATGCCACGTGGATTACAGCATCACGGACCTCATTGGCTGTTGGGAGTGCTCATTGAGAAAATAGGTGAGGAACACAGGCTGTGGAGCTGGCTGCAGGGGGAGTCCCACCCAGCTTTGCTACTTAGAAGCTCTGTGACCTTGAACAAGTAGCTTAGCTCTCTGCTTCAGTTTCTTCATCTGTGAGTCAGGGTAATAGAATCTACCGTGTGCGATTGGCTGTTAATAACCAAATGAGTCAATATTTTGAAAATACTTAGAACAGGGCTTGGCATGCAGTAAACATGAGCTGGGTGTCGTCATTATGTCGTCCTTGTCCTCTTATTTGCGCTATCAGTGTGGCTGTTAGACGACTTTGTGACTGACTCTAGTTGCTGCTCCGTAGTGATAGCTATTGTCATCGTCCTCCTTCTCAGCGTGGACAAACGGGTTCAGGAGAGTCAGTATTCACTCAGTGATTCTCATGCTGGATCCTGGGCCATGCTTCAGGGTTCTGGAACTAATCCCTGTGGGAACCGAAGGACGGCTGCACTTAAGTTTGGGGGCAGTCGAAGTTATGTGTGGATTTTCTTTTTTTAGAGAAAGAGGAAGGAAGGGAGGGAGATAGAGAAACATCTTTGTGAGAGAGACATCAACTGATTGCCTCCTGCATACACCCCGACTAAGGCTGGGGATTGAACCTGCAACCCAGGTATGTGCCCTTGACCGGGAATCAAACCCATGACCCTTTGATGCACAGGCCAATGTTCTAACCATTGAGCAGACTGGCCAGGAGTATGTGTGGATTTTTGACTCTGCAGGGTTGGTAGCCCTAACCTCGTGCTGTTCAAGGGTTCTGCTGATGGATGTTTTGTGCCAGGAGACAGAGACGTCAGGATGACTAAGGTTTGCGTCTGAGTATCTTTCTTGTAAAGAAAAGTCTTTTAATTAAGACCTGTTAAGTAGGACTTAGCAGAGTTGCTTTTAACTATACTATACTATAAAGAGTTTGTTTTTAAAATTATAGAATTTTGCCCTAGCTGGTTAGGCTCAGTGGATAGAGCGTCAGCCTGTGGACTGAAGGGTCCCAGGTTCGATTCCAGGCAAGGGCACTTACCTCGGTTGCAGGATTCTTCCTGGTCCAGACCCTGGTCCTGGCGTGTGCAGGAGGCAGTCAGTCGATGTGTCTCTCCCACATTGATGTTTTTCTCCCCCTCACACTCTCTCTAAAAATCAATGGAAAAATACCCTCGAGTGAGGACTTAAAAAAAAAAAATTATAGAACTTTTAATGAATTATGATCTTTATAAATTAGTGTGTAGAATTCATAAGTCAGAAAACATGAAGGACTGCTTACTTTTTTTGCTTATGTTGCCATTAACTGTAGGCTATTCCAGTTCTTTTCAAGATGTCACTGGCTGGGGAATTTAAAAGCATAAGTTCTTAATATTTAGCAAGAAGAACATACGAGTGATGATACACCACCAAGCTGCCTGGTGCCCTGGGCATTGCTTAGCTCTTTGGCCATGGGCACGTTGCTCGACCTTTCTGATCCTCAGCTTCCTCTCCTCAGTGATGGGGATGGTCTTACATATACACGCATGGCACAGGTGAGCCGCTCTGTGCTGTGGTGGTGGCACCTGCTTCCTGTCCCCTCTTCCCCCCCTCCCATCTCTCTCTCTCTCTCACTCACCCTCACCGTCTGCTCTTTTTTCTTAGTGACTTGATTGGTTCTTAATGTTTGTATAGCTGCTGCTTCCGTGGGGTCTGCTTCCTGCCTGGAGGGGTTTGTGATTGTTTATCTTCGGCCTCTCTAGGCACTCAGGACTGTGCACACTGGAGGGATATGTGGCTATCCCCAAAGCTTGACGGGGTGGGAGAAAGCCGTCAGAGACCTGGCTTCGTCTCTTCCTCACTCTCCACACTCACTTGCTACATCCTATAAAGCTCCGCGTCTGCCCCGACCCCCTCCACGGCCCTGCCTTCGCCCCGCTTCCGCCAGCCCCTCTCTGCACAGGTGGTGCTTAGTCATGTCCCTCTGGAGGCGCGCGCGTGTGTGTGTGTGTGTGTGTGTGTGTGTGAAGACCCCTGTCTTCCTGGGTAACGGGTGGGCTCAGTGTGTGACCCTGTCTTCACAGATGTGCTAGCCCTGCTTTGGCTGAGAAGATGTGAAAATGAGATGTCGTCAGCATCTAGGGAGTAGAACGCCCAGGACTAGTAGAGGTAGCTTTAGTTTTCTCTTTTGGAGAGTAGTCCTAGCTCTGAGAGAGACTTAGAGTCCGCGAGGGCGGTTAGTGCAGTCTCTTACTTCTTGGTTCAGACGCACCCCCCCCCCCCCCCCCCCCCCCGCGTCCTCAGGGATCTGATCAGACATCAGACTTGCTACTCCCAGGGCGGCAGTCGCCTGCTGTCCTGCTTTCCTTGGAAGTGGTGGAAGCTGGGCACAGTTTCATGGATGTGCATTGATCTGTCTGCTGTCTCTTCTTTTTCTAGCTTGCTTGCCTGTGTTTTTCTGGAGCCCCTTTTCTTCCCAGTGTTGCCTGGGGTCAGAGTTCACCTGGTGACTGATGTGTTTTCACTGGGGCACATACAAGGTCACTTGAGCCTCGCTGCTGTTAGGAGCCTGACTGTGAAGCCTGGAGACAAAGCCGTCATCGAGAGCAGCGTGTTAGAAATGAGACAGACTGCCCGGGCCCCACTGGACACAGATAGGCCTCTGGTTCTCAGCCTTTGCTCAGCTCCTTTTCACAAGTTAGTGAGCGCACAAAGCCTCGGTCACGTTCACAGTTAAGTAAAGCACTTGATTTTTTGGTTAGTTCGTGGGATTGGCTACTAACACAATGACGCGGAAGGCTACTCTGACCCTGCTGCTGCGTGGGGTGCTCACATCGCTGCATTCTGAGATGGCCTTGACTCTCTCTCAGCTTGGATGCATGAGTTCGCAGTGTTGCATCTTAAAGACGTTGCGAGTCAGCTTGTTTTCCGTCCTGCTTCTCCAATGTGAGTTTCTTACATTTTGAAGCTAAGAAAAGCGATCAAGCATTTGGATCCCTTGAGATTCCTCAAAGCTAATTCTAAAACAAGTTGGCACCCTCAAATTTCTGTTTCTGTATGTTTTCTAGATAGTTTTATACATTTACAAACTTACTATGAAAGTATCAATTTGGAAACATATTTTACCTTAAAAAGATTTGGGCTCCTATGGACATATATTTATTTTACAGCTTGTTTTTTAATGACAATAAGAGTTTTGTTTTCAAAATGATTCTTATTTTATCAAGGTAATTATTTTAACTGTAAGGTCAGATTTAGACTGGAAAATGCCCAAGGCGTGACCTTGAAAGCGGCAGTGGTCTGAGGTGGCCCGTGCAGACATGGGCTCTGTGGGGCTTGATCCGCAGCTCACTCAGTGCTGGGCTCCCGCCTGGCCCTTGTGTCCACAGGCTGCTGGACAAGCTGACGAAGGCTGAGATTAGCATATTAATAAGGGGCTGGCTGCTGGCCTCCCTCCTCCCTCCTCCCTCCTTCCTCCTCCCCTCCCTCCTGCCCTGAATGAATCTAGGAACACAGGCCCGTGGGTCACGTTACTGGTGACTGGCTGGTTTCTTTCTGTTCGGTGGCCTAATCTGGCCAGGATGGTCTGTTTCAGATTGCGGAAGCGGGAGGAGACTGTAGCAGAGGCATTCTTCAGCGGCTGCGGGCTGCACAGGAGCAGCACCTCCCGGGTGTGCCTCGAGCTCTGAGAGACAGAGACGGAGCCAGGGAAGCTTGGTCGCGGATGGAAGCACAGGCTGTGGGAGCGCGGACCTGGGACTTTGTGTGCGGACTCCGGGCTTGGTCTGTGTAGCGCTGAGTTGATGTTGCTGGAACTGGTGGGCCGACAGGCCCTGAAACCAGCAGGGGCCGGCTGTATGGAGAAGAGCGGCTGTAGCCCATTCCCAGTGTGTTGGGCTAAAGGTATAAGTAACCTAAAAATCGGTTTGGTTTACATTTTATTTACATTCACACTTTGCACTAAAACGGTAAAGAGTTTTGTAGAATTTATTTCAAATAGATTTACAGTTAAATTGAAGGGGAATGAGCAGTGATGTGGCGTGGGTTTGCAGCTACTGCAGGGAACCAACTAGGTAGCTTTTCAAAGAGTAAAAGGATTTTTGTGGAAATGCATTTTAAGTGTGTAAACTATCTTTTTTATATGCTCTGTCCGTTGTCTCTTGAAGTTGTATGTTTTATTTTTTATTTTAATCAAGACATCCATATCTGTTCTATGATGTGGAAATTTAAAAAGAATAATGAGACTAATTTTAACTTAAATAAGACTATAGAAAAAGAAGAGTAGCATAGATTTTTCTTAAAAGTTGGTTACCTTCACTCCCGTAAAGACGGTATATTTATTTAAGTTGACAATCCATGGTACTCTCAGGTGGGCTGGGCATTAGGGTCAGCGACACTGAATAGACGGCTTTCCATTCTACAGTTGTCAGGGGCTTTATTTATATAAAAATGTAAATAGAAAATGTAGCATGTTTATTATAATATTTAGGGCAATATTTGGGGAGCATGCTTAGAAGTTAAAAATGCCATAAAATCCATGCAGATATAAGACCAAAACCTGTAGCTGCTTTGCTCAAAGTAGGAGAGGATATTCAGCCTGGAGACAAGTCCTCAGGGAAGAAGTTAATGAAAGTATTCTTACCTTACAATATACTATTTCAGTATTATGGGACTGCACTTCGGAAGTATTGTTACAGGAGGCTCCTGTGCTGGTGAAGGGCGGTGGGGTTAGAGAGGTGCCACCGGGAGATGGCGCAGCACCAGGCCGCAGCGCCATTGTTAAATCGCTCTCCTTTCTGAGGGGCCTTTAATGTTCTGTGAGTTCTTTTCTAGGCTGTTAGGCATCTAACACATATGACACTAGGACTGTTAGAGTAGGGTGCTATCTGAACAAAGCACCTGTCACTTTGTTAAATAATTAGGTATTCAGAGCAAAGATTTTGCCGAGTTAATTCAAGCTCTTGAATGTTAAAGGGCTTTGAGTTTGGGAACCTCGGGACTGCCTATTGAGCATGAGCAGTAATGAGTGTTCAGAGGCAGAGTTCTGTGCTTGTGGGACATTTTGGTCTTTTCCTAGACCTGCTGGGGCGCGTTTGCATGGAGCCACCTCCATTGTGTGGTAGCGCCTGTTGGTACTAACCCTTCAGAGTAAGGCTGGCACCTCACTCACCAAGTCTGGGCTGGATCTCAGACCTACGGATCCAGTAGCAATGGGGTATGAAATGGTCAGCTACTGCGTTTTTAAAAATTCAAAGTGACTTTAGAAATAGGAACTTTGAAGAGAGATTGCAGTGTTTTTGCTCATCCTAAAGCAGTTGAATTGAAGCAATCTATTTTTAAAAATTATTTTTGCTAACTGACAGAGCAAATGAGTAGAGGCATTTTTAACTGAAATACCATCTTAATAAGAGGTTGGGGTTGGGCAAGAGATGGAGCTTACGTGTGTAGAGGATGGAAAGAGGGACAGCTTCGGGTCAGAGTCAGTCTCTGGGGCTAGAACAGGTGTTTGGGCGGAATGGTCCTGCTTTTGGGTCCTTCAGGACGAAGGAGCTTGTCCCCTGCCCGCTTCTGGGGGCTGAGCATGGGCCTGCCCAGTGAGCTGTGCAGGCGTCGGGGCACCTCCTCCCCGCCGGGCTGTGTACTCACCAGGACAGGCAGGCAGGGGAGCTCGGCTTCACGCTGGTCAGTTCTTGTTCTGTGATAAAGGCAAAGGTGGGGTGGGGCGTAGGAACTGGCTGCACTGGTGTTGTCAAGTATAGAAGCTACTGCTTTTAGATAAATACAGATCTAAAGAATATACAAACCTGTTTGCAGTTAGACATCCAAACCTCACTTTGATTTTATCAGTCACATTAACCTCAAAAAACAGCAGTGTCCCAATTTAGGAGGACGCATAAAATGCTTACTAGAACAGGCTAAAAATAGTGGAGCAGACCTATATTGTACTCTGAACTGAAACTAAGGCATCCTGGGAACCCTCTGGGGTCTCCTCGGCCATACAGTTTGCTGTGCTGTGAGTGTGATGGGAGGGAGCCCTCTTAGGTCCTGCCCTTGGAAGATCAGATTTTCACATGTTTAAAAGGACTTTGTTCTAACTAGTTCAGCCACATCGCAGTGTCCTAGCTTAAAGAGTTTAATTCGGAGTGTTGAAGAAAATGTCACGTCCACAGGCTGGGCCAGGACTGAATGCAGAAAGCCCTTTGATGGTATCAGTATCTGCATTGTTTGTTTCATGTTTTGAAACACTGGGAAGGATTACAGAGGTGCTAGAAAAAAAGGCAGGTGAAAACTGACAATAAAAAAGAAGGTAGTTTCCCTGAATTATGAGGTGAGGAAAGCGGAGGCTTGAAGGAAGTTGAGGAAGGGGGCTGACAGGCTGGAGGAGGAGGGTTTACGGTGAAGAAAGGGCAGCTCTGGTCTGGGAAGAAGTTCGGGGAGCTCTCCAGCCAGGGAAGAGTGAGGAGGGTCCCCAGTGGTTGGTGTTTAGGGTGCAAACGCTGCGAACCTGAGCTCTGCTCATGCCCCCAAGAGGCCCGGGTGTGGGGCGACTAGAGCAGTCACTTCCCAGGGCAGGGTCCCAGCTCCCTGCCACTTCCTTTTCAGACTGTCCAGGCGATTGTGAGGGCCTACACATTTCATGTGGATTTTGACTTGAGACTTTCACACATACTTTTGTTTAAAATGATAATGAGTTTGGGGGATGTAAACGTTCCTCTTCCTTACATTTACATTGGCCAGCAGACATGGTGAAAGATGTGACTCTGCGTATGGAAACACTGGGAGAGAGCCGGGGCCTGCTCACCAGGTTGACGCCAGCCTGTGTACCTCTGAGGTCTGCTTGGTTAAGTTTTTTTTTTTTAAGAGACAAAGTACTGCTAGAATATCATCTATTAATTTTTTTACTGTAAAAGTCTTACTGTTTTTTTAAAGTAGACTCATTGAGAAGGTAATCCCAGACTGTTGAATATTCTTTGCATTTCATCTTCTATATAAGTTCATGATGGGATGGTATATTGGTGGCATGTTTTCAGTTTTGAAAAAGTCCATATTTTTTTATAGGGCAAGGTTTAAGAGGAAATTTTGAAGGACCATGTGTGCTGGACTCGGTTTTGGATTTAATAACACATTTCAAACATACCAGAGGCAATCATAGTGAGAATGGTGGCCTGTGAGTGTCACCGGAAAGCTGCTTTGGGGGCTGGGCTGGGCTTCTGAAGCACTGATGAAGGGGGTGGGCCTGAGGATTTCCGTTGGGAGAGCAGTCCTGCTTAGTGTGCCCCTTTCCTCGGCCTGGAGAATTCAGGTCACCCTTCTTCAGCGACTGTCATCATCTGTTGACCGCTACTCTCAGCTCACAGGGGAGGCTTTCTACTTGCACTTACAGATAAGGAACCTTTGTAACCAGAGTCTCCTAGTGGTGAGTGGGGGGCCAGGCACAGTTCTTAACGTTATGAAGCGATGTGTTCCCCTCTTTAATCAGATGTTGCTCAGATGGCATTGCTGATACCTCTGAGCTGTACCGCTGTCATGGCATTTCCAGCCTGTTCAGTTCAAGTCTCTGAGGTCGTGTTGGGCTCATTCTTTTAAATGTTTATTCTGCGATTGAGCTGAAGTTTTAGCTGTCTTGTGATCCTAGGGTGTCTTGTGATCCTAGGGTGTCTTGCCCATAGAAAGTGAATAAATGGCTCAAGGCAGAGATGATTTAGTCTCGATATTCTGAGGATTACACCTCACCAGTGAAAGTCTTCAAAGCCATAACGATTGACATGCTATTGTAATAAATTATATTCCCCATTGTGCTTTGCCTACATATATAGTTTTTTCCCCTGTTTTTTTAAAAAATATTTTTTGTTGATTTCAGAGAGGAAGGGAGAGGTAGCAAGAGATAGAAACATCAATGATGAGAGAGAATCATGGATCAGCTGCCTCCTGCATGCTCTGCACTGGGGATGGAGCCCGCAACCTGGACATGTGCCCTTGACCGGAATCGAACCCAGGACTCTTCAGTCTGCAGGCTGGCGCTCTATCCACTGAGCCAAACCAGCCAGGGCAAGTTTTAAAAACTTTACTGTGGAAAACTTCTGGTGAACCATATACTAACCACTAGGATAATGCATCCTGGTACCCCTCATGGGGATTGGGTGAGATGAGCCCCCCCCCCCCCCCTTGGCTTCCGGAACCCTGGAAGGAGGCTTGTGTCCAGCCATGGCGGGAGATGGAAACATCATTTTCTGAGGAGCCTGGTCAAGAGCACAGGCCGTTCTCACACTTGGGGGCTCTAGCTGATGGCTCTGTCTCTAGGTCATCGAGCCTCCTTCAGGCCCAGGGTTCCTGTGTTTAAAGACAGCCTCTGCCTTCAAAGCATGAGACCAAAATAGAGACAACCAGAGAAAGCAAGGATGACACAGCAGGCAGCAGGAAACTGAGACAAACAGGCACATCTCAGGGCACCATCTCCAGGAGCCAGGAGCAGAGCACAGACCAACAGGATTCTTGAAAGAACACCAAGACCAAGGCAGTGGGAAGGGGCAGCGCAGAAACCAGCTCGGCTTGGGGATGTTATTCTGAGGATGAAGTGACTTCACTCCTAAGTAGGACGGGCCTGGCAGATGCTGCGCAGCGTCAGTGCAGCCCTGTCTGCCCTCCTGAAGGGCGCTTGCTACAGGCTGTTTGGATTTTGCAAAGGTCCCTGAGAGAGAGCAGCCCCCCTCCCCCGACCCCCAATCTTTTTCCCAAAGGTACACCGACTTCTCCTGAGGACTACAAAGACTCAGTTTCTCTACGAGGTTCTAGCTTTCCTTCAAAGGTTTCAAAGAGCCAAAATCAAAATGTCCCTCATGTGTCCCCCACCCTCACCCCCAGCCAGAAGGCAGATGGGGATGGACGGAGGTTTACTTCTCTTTCCACAGTCAACTTCCTGAAGCTAAGGCTCCTGCTTGCCCACCCTCTTTCCCTCCAGGCATGAAGTGCCTCCTTCATTCTGGTGAGAGTTCAGGCACTGAGGCCTGTGATGTTCCTCAAACTGGATTAATCTCTTACTTCCTGCCCCCTCCCCCCCAGCAGACAGTGTCTCCCTCTGTGCTCCTATCCCTATCGCAGCCAGCGGGGCCCTTCAGGAGCAGGCAGCGTCTGGGCCCCCTGTGGTCCGCCTGCCTCCGGGTGTGTGAGGCCCCTTCCGTTGCGATAGGCGGCTTTGCTGGCTTTCCCCGCGCGAGTTTCGGTCTTGCCCAGGCTTTCCCTTCGCGCTCACATGCAAGTCCTGTCCTACGTTAAGAAATTCGGTGGTTTCTGTCTTTAGGTTTGGTTTGGTGTGGTTTTCTGCTGTGAGCGTCTGACTCTCCTGCAAGGGGACTGACGAAGCCGGGGCTTTGTTTTGCCTGTAGTTGTTTCTCCTGAAGCCGACTAAGTGTAGTGACTACTCACTGGATTGTTACTGTGTGAACAAGGATCCTGTGTCTCAGGTGAACGCGTTCACAGCGGCAGCAAAGTTCCCATACCTGCTGTTCCTGCGACACTGTCCCCTCATTAGAGGCCCTGACGAAAAGGGGGCACGCTACATTGTTTATAGAGAACACAGTGGATTTTTGACAGAGTTGAAATAGGACTCCTGGCCTTTTAAGAGTTTGTATAATAAATATTATGCTACGGTGAATCAGGTCCTGCTCTGGGGGCGGGGTGGGGGCGAGGGAATAGTGACTGTCTTGCTGGCCTAGGTCTCAGTTCTCAAGCCCGGCGAGAGGCTATAAAACTGCTGTTCATGTGATCACCAGCGGGTCACCAATCGGTAGGCTTCAGATATTGCACGGTGAAAACCTTTTTTTTCTCTTACAGAATATGACAGGTACCTAGCATCTAGCAAAATAATGGCAGCTGCTTACCTGGACCCAAACTTGAATCACACACCGAATTCGAGTGCCAAGACGCACCTGGGTACCGGTACGGAACGGTCCCCGGGAGCCATGGAGCGAGTGCTAAAAGTCTTTCATTATTTTGAAAGCAACAGCGAGCCGACCACGTGGGCCAGTATTATCAGGCATGGAGATGCTACGGATGTCAGGGTAAGTGCATTTCCTAGGAAACAAAGTCAGTGTGTGCAGGTAAATGTTAATAGCACTCACAAACAGATAAAGCAATGCTTCTTATCCCATATTACAGAGATGTTAACTCTTTCTTTATAGTATTCATTCTACTCATGTGTGCCTGACCAGAGTGTAGATTATTGTAAAATTTCTTAGGAAAATAATAACCGAATTATATATTATTTATATAATGCCATCGACTTGTTTTTCTCCCCTGGTTTTCTTTTTAATTCTTTAAAGGACACAAAAAACACAAAGCAATTAAAACAGCCTCTGATACTTATGAAATAAAGTTATTTTCTAGAAAGTGTAATTTTGAAGGTATTTGCATGACTCCAGATAGGATAGATTCTTAAAAGTTGTTGACTGTCTTCTACATACCAGATATGGGCCAGGTTCTGGAGATAGCAGAGTCCCCTGCTCGCACAGCTCGCAGTCTGTTGGGGAGATGCCCATGACCTTCACTGAGTGCAGAGGTGCTTCTCCATGATTCCCAGAGACGAGGAAGCCCAACGCGGGGCCCTGGGTGTGCGAGTGGCCTGGGCAGGTCTCCCATGGGCGGTGTGTGAGAGTCCGTGAGCCTGTCCAGTCAGTGCTGCTTCTCTGGGGGGCTCCTGTGGGTGCCCCCGAGTCCTGAGGACATGGAGCAGCCTGGCGAGGGGTCACGAGGAAGGGCACCCAGAGACGCTGGGGCTTCTCCTGGGTGCTGATGGCCAATAGAATGATAAGGAATGGTGTGTGCCCTGCACTTGCACTGTCTGGGCATGGAAGACAGACGTGAACGTAGACGACTAGATGGACAGACGGGAGCTGTAGCCCCAGCGGGCGGAAGGAAGGCAGCACACTGAGCTGCTGTGGGCAGAGATGAGCTGTGCTGCGCAGGGTAGCGGTGTCAGTGTGCGCTGGGTTGTGAACTGGCAGAGCTGAGGGCACGGACAAAGACGCCTTTGTGGGAATTTGAAAGAGGCGCCAGCCCGTCCTGTGTAGCTCAGGGAGCTGAGTGTTGGCAAGGAGAAGCTGCAGAAGTTGCCTGAGAGAAATACTGGAAAAGAGGTCCCTTCCCCTAGGCAGACCCCCACCCCAGAGCTTGGGCCCCTGGCTGGGCACCCTCTGGTGGGACACAGCCTGCCCCGGCCTTCCGGGTTGCCCTGTCACAGATGCCTGGCCTTGAACCCAAAGCCAGATAGGACACTTTATGCCTAACCTGGCTCCACCCACCCTTCTTGTCCTGTGTGGGTTCTTTAGGAAGCTGTCCTTTCTCTTCCAGCCTGGTCCTTTGTTCCCTTCCCTGACACTCTCCTGTGCTGGACACAGAGCTTGTCCCGACGGAGCAGTCTGACAGGGAGGTTGGCTGCGTGCAGGCACCAGGAGCGCAGCACACGACCTGCCTTAGTGTGGCCACTCGGGGTCCTCGCAGTGTTTGTATGTAATGTTCCCATCCTATGGGGAGGGCTGGGCGCTCCTTAATGGTGTTGTCAACAGCACTGTGCTATCATGAAGAAATAGGACCCAGTGTGGGACTTTTAAGATGTGTCTTACATCTTAAGTTACATCATAGCTTCAGGTAATTGTGAGTTTTTAAAAACCAGTGGTTTTCTCTAATAGACATTTATGTGTTAATAGCAGCATCATTTAAAAATGTATTAATGGCCTAAAAGCTTGGGAAGGTTTCAGGGACGGTGACTAGCACACCCTCACACAAGGGCAGTGAGGGTTTTGTCATTCTCAAATGAGTATCCATGTGTGCCTGTTCATAGATACATGTGCCCGTGACTTCACACCTGTGCAGGTACCGAGAGCCAGGCCTGCACTTTCCTCGCCACAGGCCCAGAAACGGCCTTTCCCAAGGACTTGCCCTGCTGGCCTCTTTCAGAGATGACCTTCACCTTCTCTCAAACCCTGGGCCACAGGTGTTAGAAGCATCAGCTGTGGGGCTTTGTTAGGTTGCTGCATATTAATCTGTGGAGCACAGAGAGTGGTTAGGCCCAACTTCAAATAACTTTTCATATTGCATCAGTATTATCAGAAATATAGCTTAGTTGTATGTTCCCAAATGTGTGTTTTTTTAAAAATGATGTTAGTTCCAGCCGGGTCTCGAATAATATGCTGTCCTTGGTTCAGGAAGTGTAACGCCCCCTGGGGCCTGGTCCTCAGCAGTGATGCCAAGGAAGGGTGGCAAGGCGGGCCGGTGCGAGGGGCCGCAGACGGTGTTGTGGCTCCCATGCCTTGTTTACCAGCAGAGAACGGGAAGAGCCTCTTTTTGTTTTAACTTTTCCCTGTTCATAAAAATGCTATCCGAGGGAAAAGAGTCCGAGGTGATTCACTAATTTACTTACCTTGAAACGCTTTTACCAAAGGCTTCTGATAATTGATGAAAAGAAATGACCATTGCATTAGTTTTTAGCACATAGTTTTTGGTGTAACAGCTGCTTTTGCGGGGATGTTTTCAGGGCATCATTCAGAAGATCGTGGACAGTCACAAAGTGAAGCACGTGGCCTGCTACGGATTTCGGCTCAGTCACCTCCGGTCAGAGGAGGTGCACTGGCTCCACCTGGACATGGGCGTCTCCAGCGTGAGGGAGAAGTACGAGCTCGCACACCCGCCGGAGGAGTGGAAGTAAGATCACACGCCTGCTGCGGTCGCTCTCGCTGGCCTGTTTCCTGTGTTCAGTCACGCACCAGAGGGTGAACGCGTGAGCTTTCTTTTCACACCAGTTGCCCTTGCGACTCCTGGGTGAAGTTGGCTGGTAACTGTTCACCAGTGACCTGTGCTAACTTGTGTTCAGTCTGCCTGGGGCACCGCTGACTTCTGCCGTGATGGTCTGTTGCCGCTCCCCCTTCCCTTGTCTGTGCTGCTTGTTCGGACTCCACTCCGACAGCTCCGGCCCGACTCCCCCGTCAGTTCTGCGGCACCCTTTAGTGCAGCAGGACTTGATGCGCCCAGGAGGCCACATCAGCGACCTCGTCACTGGGCTGCATCGCCTGCTCTGTGGTCCGGGGCTGAGTAATGGATGTGCGCAGGGGGCATTACAGCAGGAAGTGACCGTCTGCCGTGGTCGGCAAACCGGGCTTGCGAGCCACATGCGGCTCTTTGGCCCCTTGAGCGTGGCTCTTCCACAAAATACCACGTGCGGGCGCGCACGTACAGTGCGATTGAAACTTTGTGGCCCATGCGCAGAAATCGGTATTTTGTGGAAGGGCTGGTATTTTGTGGAAGAGCCACGCTCAAGGGGCCAAAGGGCCGCATGTGGCTCACAAGCCGTGGTTTGCCGAGCCGCAGTTTGCCGACCACTGGCCTAGTGCCTCGCGCTAATGAACTGGCGCTTCAGGGGAGCTAGAGGAGTCCCCTGCAGTTGCACTTCCCTGTTCTCACCTGGTGATGGTGGTAGGAGGTTGTATGTCTGACAGTTACACTGGAGAGAGATGGCTTGTGGAGACAGGCCCCTTGTTTGTCGCCACTGCAGGAATAGAGGAGATTGTGACTGTAGTGACAGTCAGATGGCAGCAAGCTCCCTGTGAACATCGGCATCAGTTCTACATTTTCAGAGAAAAACTAACATGTTTAGGTTCATAAACCTCTAGTTGAATTAAATCTTGTGCCAGTTAGAGTTTATTAAAAAAATGACTTGTATTTTCATATTTACCAATTAGCAGGAACTGAGTGAACAAAATATTCCATGACAACATAGTTTGTTTGGTTTGACCTCCAGCTGTTTAATTAACAGATTAAACAGCTGGAGGTCAAACCTCAATGGCTAATGGAGGTTTGACCTCCAGCTGTTTAGTCTGTTAATCAAATAAGTGTTTTAAAACTTCAGACTATCTTTCCCTGTATGCTCAGTGGTTAGAGCGTTGGCCATGCACTGAAGGGCCTTGGGTTCAATTCCCAGTCAAGGGCATGTACCTGGGTTGCAGGCTCTATCACTGGCCCTGACGTGTGGGAGGCAATCAATCGATGTGTTTCTCTCACATCGATGTTTCTCTCTGTCTCCCTACCTCCCTTCCTCTCTCCCTCCCTTCCACTCTCTAAAAACAAAAATATCCTCAGGTGAGGATTAACAACAACAAAAAAACAAAATAAAAAAACCAAACAAGACAGAATGCGTGAGCTGCAGGAACGCAACTGTGTGGATGGATCTTAGCCAGACACCACTGTGTGACAGACGTAAGTCCCCGGACCACGCACTGCTGTGTCCGCTCGTTTTTTGTTATGTGATTTTTCCTCCGTCTTTAAAGATGACATGACGTGACATGCTGCTATAAAGTTAAAAGCAAAATAACCCTAAAAGTGCCGTTGGGAAATACCCGCTGGGGAAGACAGCATGGGCATATAGCTGAAGAGGCAGAGGGCAGTCGGCAGTCCAGAGCCCCTGCAGGGGGAGCAGCCTTCCCCAACCCCGTGAGAACCCAAAGGAACCGGGGCTGACCTGGGGGCTTCCTGGTGCACACGAGCCCCATCCCTCCTTCCTTCTCAGCTGGTCCAAGAGCTTGCCCACCTGTCATGGGTCCCTGGGAGATGCCAGTTAAGTAGCTGGTATTGGTAGCACCTGAGTCAGCCAGAAACGTTTAAACTGCGATGCCATACCGAGTTTATAATGCAGCAAAGGGTGTTACGCAGCTTTGAGAGGTTTTTTTCAAACAGATTTAAACTTAAAGTTTTATACTTGGATAATTAAATTCTAGATAACTGAATTTTGATAACCATTTCAGTTATCTGGAATCCCCTAGGTGGAGGGGATGGTTTGGCTTCTCGGGACTGGCGGTCCTTTCAGATGGTGAGTCGGGGCTCGGAGGGCCAGGTCCCAGAGGAGGCTCCCTTGGCATTTGAGAGAGTGTCGGGGCTTTGCAGAGCAACTGAAAAAGAAAATCCTTTTCATTGTTGCCAAGATGTGGGTCACGTCCTCCTGTTCAGCATGTCCCTGCTCACTGGGCTCACAGCTCACTCTGCAAAGAGGGTTTTTCTCAGATCTTTTCAGGAGAAAACTCTTAGCTGGAGGAAAGGTGTCCTTTTCTGAAGAGGACAAAGAAAACGAGAACTGGGAGTGTAGGGCATTTCAGATTGTATTTTGGTACAGTTTTGTGTGTGTGTGTGTTCTTGAAATGACATTCCCTATGCGTCCTTAATTTGAAAAGCCAGTGTTTTGTTGTAATACTGAGTTCAACAAGAGATCTTAAAAAGATTGACAGCCACAAGACAGTAAGCAGGAACCTCTGACACATTTGGAAGTGACACCATTAAAAACCAGGATGGACTTCGGAGTGTGCTGATTCATTAAACGTTCACTGATGCTTCTGCACCAGACACTGACCGACAAGGACGATGAGCTTCTAGTCTGTGCTGGGCAGCTGGTCTTTACCAGCCAAGCTTCCTAACCCAGTTTCATCATTCATCAGGGACGTGCCAGCTAAAATCACTGCACTATTGCAATAAACAAACATCAGTGTGACCAAATGAAAAGGTTAGAAATGCCAGGGAAAATGAGGGTGTAGAGGAGCCAGGACACCCCATGCTGCTGGTGGGAGTGTCAGCTGATACATCGCTTGCTTATTCACTGGCTTGGTGATACTGCATAAAGCTACAGCGTGTACAGTTATCATCCAGCTGTGCAGCTCCAGTGGCTGCGCAGCAGAAAGGTGTACATGTGCTCCCCAGAAGATGTGTGGGAGTCTTCCTTATGGGACACACACACACACACACACACACACACACACACAGATAGAGAGAGAGGGAGAGAATGAGAATGAGAATTCTGGTGAAATCCGTTTGTTTCAACCATTCTTGAAGCTTGGCTACCTGAGCAGATAGATTACTTTTTTTATGCTTAGAGGAAGGAAAAAATGAGTGTTTGGCATTATTCCAAACTAGAGGCCCGGTGCACAAAAATTTGTGCACTCAGGAGGTTCCCTCAGCCCAGCCTGTGCCCTCTCACAGTCTGGGACCCCTTGGGGGATGACCACCTGCTGGCTTAGGCCTGCTCTCCGGGGGATCGGGCCTAAGCTGGTAGTCAGGTATCCCTCTGGCAGCCCAGGAGCCCTCGGGGGATGCCCACTTGCCAGCGGGGAGCAGGCCTAAGGTGCAGTCGGACATCCTTAGCGCTGCTGAGTAGGCGGTAGAGGCTCCCACCACCACTGTACTGGCAGCCGTCAGCCTGGCTTGTGGCTGAGCAGAGCTCCCCCAGGGGGAGCACACTGACCGCCAGAGGGCAGCTCCTGCATTGAGCGTCTGCCCCCTGGTGGTCAGTGTGTGTCATAGTGACCAGTCATTCCCAGTCTTTCTGCTGTTAGGGTCAATTTGCATATTACTCTTTTATTATATAGGATAGAGGCCTGGTGCATGGGTGGGGGCCGGCTGGTTTGCCCTGAAGGGTGTCCCGGATCAGGGTGGGGGTCCCACTGGGGTTCCTGGCCAGCCTGGGTGAGGGGCTGAGGGCCGTTTTCAGGCTGGTCAAGCCTCCCAGTGGGGTCCCTCACCCCATGGCGGTGTGGCCAGCCTGGGTGAGGGGCTGAGGGCTGTTTTCAGGATGGCCACACCCCCTTCTGGGTGGTGGTCCCTACTGGGGTGCCTGGCTAGCCTGGGTCAGGGGCTGATGGCTGTTTTCAGGTTGGCTGCACCCCCCGGCGACCCAAGCTCCCAGCCTGTCCTTTTTTTCTTTTTTTCTTTTTCATTAGTTATCTGGGATTTATTTATCTTCTATAATTGAAACTTTGTAGCCTTGAGCGGAGCCCAGGTCCGGCCAGGGCAGGCGGGAAGCTTGGCTTCCTCCATCGCTAGGGGCAACCCAAGCCTCCTGCTCGCTCCAGCTCCGTGGCAGCTGCCATCTTTGTGACAGAGTGATGGAGTGATGGTTAATTTGCATATCACTTTTTTATTAGATAGGATAGTCAAAAAATGGAAACAACTCAAGTGGCCATCAGCAGTTATTGGCTGAATGGTTGTGTGTGTCACACTTTTCAGCTTTGAGCAAACTCCAGCTGCTAGATGCGGGCAAATCTCATGATCATGTTGGTGAATGAAGGGAGCCAGGCATGAAGGGTGCCCCTGTGTGAGTCCCTGTGGGTGAGGTCAGCCATGTGGAGCATGCGAGGGCGCGGCCCCAGCAGCAGTGGGCGGTGGCTAAGGGCTGGAGGGCTGCTGGGCTTCTCGACAGGCCCTCTCTTGCCGAATCGTGGAGCTGAGGACACGTGCTCGCTTTTGTGCTGAAAAATAAAACATTTACAGATTAGTTATATTTTAACTTATTTTTTAAATATTTCAGAGTAATTGGCAATGCCATACACACCATCATATTGTAATTGTAGCGATGAATTGAGGAAATTACTGATTTCTGATTGTTCTATTGTGTGCATTATTTTTTAGGTATGAATTGAGAATTCGTTATTTGCCAAAAGGATTTCTAAACCAGTTTACTGAAGACAAGCCAACTTTGAATTTCTTCTATCAACAGGTATAGGAGGGTGATTTAATAGACTTTTTTTCTTTATTTCTTTGAATTTTACTTATTACATAGCTTTATTTTAAGAATTAGATGAAATCTAACACTTGGGAGAATATAAGTTTGTCACTCTTAGCTAGTGAGAACTTAGGAACTTTGGACACTTGGTGGATTTTTGTATGCTTGGGCAACTCTTAGCAGATAATTTTATGCGGAGACGGTACGTCCTAGGTGACAAGCCGTCGTTCACGCTCTGGTTCAAGTTTAGTTCACATGCCCGAGCGTCAGCACGCTCAGCAGATGCAGACTTTGTGTCAGAGCTGACTGCACCTGTATAACCTCAGAAGCAGTTTCCATAATGAAGCCAGTTGGCTTTTTTACACCAAGAGGAGCTTGCTGTTCGCACCTGACAGTATTAGTTAGGCCACAAACACATGTGGCATAAAGGAACCAACACAATTTTACGACCGAGTAAATCTTACTTGTTAGTATTAGTGAGCTGTGCCCTCAAAATGTCTAATGAATAGCAGAGACATTTGAACGACAATTTTGCCACTAAATGCACTTTTATTTCTTAATCATTTTATTGAGAGTCAGTGTCTGTTCTGAACCTGAGTGGCAGCACCCGGATGCCGTGGGCGTTCTGTGTGCGGGCGGTGCGCATGGACTCTGGTGTCGTGATGCGTTTCCTTGTGTGTTTGCTGTGCCCTGTTGTTCTGTTGAACTTCACATCTGGGAATCCTGAGGATCTAGATGGGGGAGTGATGGGCATCCCTGAGTGTTATCTCTTGTTATTCGTTCTGTTTCAGAAGAATCTGTATTTCTGTTGTTTTGGCTTTTTTATCAGGTTAGATATGAAGGAATCATGTTTAGATTCTCTCTACCACCATTCCCAGAGAAGCGGGGAGGGAACTTACAGTAACCTCCCTTACTGTTATTATTTATTCTGAAAGCTCATCTGTACTCCCCTGTTCCTTGTGTCCCATGCTCTGGGATGGTGTCGTGAGGAAAACCTGTCAGTGGACGTAGTGGGTGTTGGTGGCTGACTTGTTGGACATTGTTCCGTGGATGTAGAGTTTCATTTAAAGATGCCCCAAATGGGACTCCCAGTGTGAGACAGGTGAATGATTCACTCAATGTTTTTGACCCATTTTAGAATTTCTGAAATCTTTCAGAAATTAATCAGCACACTATAAATAAACTAGAATCTTGTGATAACTTATTCACTATAGAGCAAGAGTCTATAAAAACAAGTTTTGACACTAAAGCTAATGGCTCATTCTAAAACAAAACTGTTGGCTTACCCTGAAATAGAGTTTTCCCTTTGCCATATAGTATTTTATTCCTCTTTCTCTCTCTGAACTTGTACTTGTTAAAAGTGTGAATATTTGGTTGGTAACCTCTTGCAAGCAGTGGTGGCCATTGGTTTGAAGGGCTGCGACAATGTTTAGTCAAGAAGTATTTGTATTGCCCGGCCGGCTTGTCTCAGTGGTTGAGTATCAACCTATGAACCAGGCGGTGACGGTTCCTTCCATTCCTGGTCAGAGCACACGCCCAGGTTGTGGGCTCCATCCCCAGCGTGGGGCGAGCAGGAGGCAGCTGATCAATAGTTTTCTCTCATCATTGATGTTTCTGTCTCTCTCTCCCTCTCCCTTCCTCTCTGAAATCAATAAAAATATGTATTTTTTTAAAAAAAGAAGTTATCATATTAGCTGAACTTGTACAGAAACCATTAGCATTATTGAAATTGTTGGCTCTTAGGATGCCTGGTCTGACATGAAGTTGTCATTGTTTTGTCTACAGATATTTTAAGATTTAGATGAGTATGTCCGTCCCTTGGCTCGCAACACTGAATGGAACCCCATGACTTAACCCTGGTGTGGAAGGTAACCGCGCCTGGGGAAGTGTGCCTGATGCCGGGCACTGATTTCTGTCGTCCAGTCTTCCTTCTGGGCTTCAGGGTCTGTGGACAAAGTTGTTAGCTGACAGAGTATTCGGAAGAGAGCAAAGCAAAACGCAAACTCTCCTGTGGGGGCCAAGGCACCGAGCTGACATAGAATCAAGTATGGAGTAGTTTAGGGTTAATACTTTCTGTTAGAGCCCTAACCGGTTTGGCTCAGTGGATAAAGCGTTGGCCTGTGGACTGAAGAGTCCCAGGTTCGATACTGGTCAAGGATACGTACCTTGGTTGCAGGTTCTTCCCTGGCCAGGCCCTGGACGGGGCTCGTGCAGGAGGCAACCAATCGATGTGTTTGTTTCACATCGATATTTCTCTCTGTCTCTCCCTCTCTTCCAGTCTCTAAAATTCAGTGGAAAAATACCCTCAGGTGAGGATTAGGAAAACCAAAAACTTCCTGTTAGAGATGTGAGTGGGTTTTATATTACACCCTGTGCTGCATTCTATTGCACAGTAAGATGAAAAACTCAAATATAACACATGAATTTGGTTTTGATGAATGAAATAAAGCAAATGATTACATTTTCCCACCTGAAAATAGTGTTTAAAAATCATGGGATTAATCTTTAAGACAGCCTTATGGTGATGTGTTTTCCTCGACTGGAATTGATATTCTGCTGTGGGGAGAGTGGTCTGCTAATGGGAGAGTGGAGCTCTGTGTGGCGGGGAGAGCGTTTCCCTCCACGGAGGTTCCCCCGGTGCTTCCTAGCGTGAGCATCAGTGCAGGCGCTGAGCCCGTCATGGCCGTCGGAAAGAGGCGTATTCCCTGCTTCACCTGAACAGGTCCTCCCGCGGAGAGGTGCTCTGCGGTCGCGTGTACTCGTTGGGGGAAGGCATTTGTAAAATTCTGTTAGAGTCTCCTCTTTGCGTGAGATGTTGAGCATGTTCTATGATTTTGCAGATGGATCACAGGTGGTGGGTAGGCGGAAGCACGTCAGTTGCAGAGTTCACTGGATGTTGAAATATGTAGATGTTCCTGGTCTTGCAGGAAGGTCCAAAAAATGCTGAAGTTTGAGTTAGAAAATATGTCCACTGCGAATTTGCATGGGAAGAGGGGCTCCCCTCCAGCTTTCCCTTCTGACAGCAGGAAGGGTGTAGAGCAGCGCGAAGCGATTCTGACGAAGTTTGTTGTTTCTTAAAGTCCCGTGTGCGTGCTCACAGGTTACACCAGCTCTCAGGAGGAGAGGTTCGTGTTGGATCTTTCACTGTTATTTTATTATTCATCTTCATGTCCCGCATTGAGCGTCGTTACTGACAGTATGTGTACAGTATGCAAAGGTGAACATCTATTGGATGAGTAAGTCTAAGATGTATTTTTTTAAACAGCATTGTTTTCCCATTCCTTTGTTGCAGGTGAAGAGTGATTATATGTTGGAGATCGCGGACCAAGTAGACCAGGACATCGCTTTGAAATTGGGTTGTCTGGAAATACGGTAAGGCGCTAACTGCACAGTCTTTATGCATCAGTGGCTTTTGTTCTTTTGGGAAATGACTCAGGTATTTTCCTTTTCTCATAAAGATTATCAATAAAATATTGAATAAAATGTGAGCGACAACTTGAGGACAATTCTCTTGCATGTCTGATGCGGTTGCCCTGTGATGTGGGCCTCCACCTGAGTGGGTGTGGCTCCGACTGTGTGCGGACCCTTGAGGGAAGGTGACGTTCAGAAGTAGTGAATGTAGCTGGTCCCTTACGGCTGGAATCTGTGCCTCGTCTTTGCAGAGTCAGACCTGCTCCCCTTAAAGGGAAAGGAGGCTGTTCAGCAGAAATAGTCTGGGTTGCCCTGGCCGGGTGGCTCAGTTGTTGAGTGTTGTCCTGAGCACTGAAAGGTCGCATTCGGTTCCCAGTCAGGGCACATAGCCAGATTGTGGGTTCAGTCTCCAGTCAGGGTGCGTGTGGGAGGCAACCAGTCAATGTTTCTCTCGCATGCTCTCCCTCTCCCTTTTTCTCTCTAAAAAATTAATAAAAACATTTTTTAAAAATAGTAAAAATTTCAAAAAAAGAAATAGTTGTGGGTTAATCCATTGTGCTTCATTAGGATGTGGGGACATGCTGCGAATTGGATTCGTTCTGTATTCGAGTTCATCAGAATGTCTGTGGCTGAGCCACGGGGTAGTTAAGTCCCTCCCACCCTTACAGTTTTATCATTGGACAACAGACATTCTTTACACGTGTGTAAAGCTTCCTATCTTTCCTGATTGTAGGCGATCGTACTGGGAGATGCGGGGCAATGCACTAGAGAAGAAGTCTAACTATGAAGTATTAGAGTAAGTATCACACGTTGGAAACGAGCCTTCTGGAAGCAAATATTCAGAACTAGCTCATTCTTCAAATTGTAGTTTTCATTAGTTGAGCTTTACTTGAAAGTAAATATTATTTAAAACATTCTAGGAACTAATGTAGAAGTTTCTAGAGGGTGTTGGGGTGGGGGGCAGTACTTGATATCTGAGATGGTTGTCTACTCCATGTATTGGAGAAGGAGTGTGGGCAGGTGGGGGGCTGCTGATTGGGCAGCAGGCTAATCCAGGAGGGGAGACCAGCTTTTGTGAAGGCACAGAAACTCGATGAGATAACGGCTGGAAAACCGTCACTTTGTTTTGGATAGAACACCTTGCTCTGAGGAGACAGTTGGGTTACTCTTGATATTTTTATTCTAAAAATCATCAGATCCAACTTTAGAGAATGGGAAAAGCACTATCTAGAAATTTAAATTTTCACCCTGGAGTCACATCGGTGCTGCAGATGGGAAAAGATGAGAAATTAGAGAAGTAAATGGAAACCAGGGGCTTCGTGAATGAGCGGATAGATGAAACAGGGAAAGTGTGTTATGGAGCCAACAAGCATGTTATAAAGATGGAGTGAACCCCACAGTAAAGACAGTCAGGTCGTAGAGGAGAGGGTTAGACTTTGGGTGTAGGATCAACCACATGCGCTGGCGTGATTTCTGTATGACGCCGCTGACCTCCATGTGTTTTTAAATATTTTATATTCAGTTTATTTGTTTCCTTATGTGATTCTGAACAGAAACCTGTATTTCACTTTTCTCCCTGATCTTTTCTACATGCCCCTGGTCTCCTGACATTCCTTGCTGTGTCCAGGCTTTATTTCGTCTTTCCAGCACATGACTGCCACCTTGTGGCCAAAAGCCCTGGGCACTTGGTCCTCAAAGGAAAAAAGAAAGCTCCTTGCCCATTCGTTTCCTTGGCCAGAGTGCTGGAGCTCTTGTAATGCGATTGATTTGTAGCCCGATGTAAAGAAAGCTACCGGCTTCCAGCATTTTCACACCCTCAGCCTTTGTCCTCAGCAAATCCCTGAATCTCTTGCTTCCTGTGTGAGCCTGAGATGATGAACCTCGACTGGGTCAAGGTGTCCCTTACTCAAAAAGTTCAATTTAAAAAAGAATCCGCCTTTAGGATTAATTCACAGTTTATTTTTTTAAACTCCCATAGTCTGTTCCCCTTTTGTTACCTAACCCGGCCCATCTGCAAGTACAGCATTGCCCCCTTACATGGAGTTGGGAGAAGAGCAGTTTACCTGTACATTGCCGTTTCAAAGAGGCAATATTTAAAATGGGTTTCCAGTAAGTGTTCAAAGAACAAAAGACTTTCTACTTCAACCAGATTGCATTGATGTCTTCTGCGTATGTGTAGATCAGCGGTCGCCAACCTTTCGGACCTCACGGACCACCAGTGGTCTGCGGACCACCGGTTGGCAACCGCTGGTCTAGATGATGACTAGTCCTGTCCCTTCAGTGGCCTTGCTGGTGAGCTGGAATGTTGTGTCCTTCCTTCCTGGATCGCATGTGCAGGGATAAATAGGTCACACTCCTGGCCTCTTGTAGTAGTGTCATTCTGTTCATGGACTTGGTGTTACTGTTACAAATCTTTTTCTATTTCAGAAAAGATGTTGGTTTGAAGCGGTTTTTCCCCAGGAGTTTACTGGATTCTGTCAAGGTAATTAGAGTTCACTGTATCACAGTCAGATGGCCACTTACTCACACCCCCTGTGATAGGCGGTTTCCTCCCTCGTGTGTAAGTTGTGATGTTGTAGGCACAGCTTCCTGCTCCTTACTCTTCAAGAGTGTCAGAAGCTGTCACAGCTGAGGAGACAGGAGACTCGAGTGAGAGCCTGACGGTCAAAGGGAGGAGTGCAGTGCACAGTGTCCTCGGTGGACAGACAGTGGTGCAGTGGATAGGGCCGGACCAGGGCCACGGAAGGTGTCCACTCGGGTGGGGCTCTGGTGTCTGCTGGTTTGAGAAGTTACTCTCCAGTTCCCAGGTGATGAAATGAAGTGCTTTCTAGAGCAGCAGTGGGCGCTCAGTGTCATTCTTAGAGAAGCAGTAATTCTCATGTCCGATTAGCAGGTGCCAGTGCGGGCTTGGCACTTAGTCAAGCACAGAATCCCCGGCTTAGGAGTCACTCAGCACTCCATTGTGGGCATCTGCTGCGTGCCAGGTTCTGAGCATGGACGCCAGGGAGAGTGAACCTGGTGTCTGCATGAAAAGTTCCCATCTGATACAGGCCCCTGTGGGCAGGCTGAAAAGAAGCAACCCATGCTCATGGCAGTAGCATTTACAGTAGCCAAGACAGGGAGCAACTTCTGTGTCCATCGATGGATGAATGGATAGAGAAAATGCACACTCAGTGGAACAGTACTCAGCCATAAAAAGATCCTGCCCTAGCCGATGTGGCTCAGTGGATAGTGTCGGCCAGCGGACTGAAGGGGTCCCAGGTTCGATTCCGGTCAAGGGCACATGCCTGGGTTGTGGGCTCGATCACCAGTGGGGGGTGTGCAGGAGGCAGCCAATCAATGATTCTCTCTCATCATTGATGTTTATCTCTCCCTCTTCCTTCCTCTCTGAAATCAATAAAAATATATATTAAGAAAAGCAGCAACAGCAGATCCTGCCATGTGACAGCGTGGCTGTTCCTGGAGGGCAAGTGTTGGGTGAAATCAGTTAGAGACAAATACCGTGTGATTTCACTCCTATGTGGGATCTAAAGTCCAAATCCCAAACAAAACAGACCCAACTCATAGACACAGACAACAGATGGGTGGATGCCAGAGGCGGGGACGGGTAGTGAAATGGGGGAAGAGTCAAAAGGCACAGACTTCCAGTTACCAAATAAATGTCCCAGGGATGTGATGCACAGCACGTGATTGCAGCTGATGAGACTGTCTTGCATATTTGAACGTTGCAAAGAGTAGCTTTTAAAAGTTATCTTCTCAAGAAAAAAATTTGCAACTCTGTGAGGTGATGGGTATAACCAGACATTGGGGCCATCATTTTGCAATATATTCAAATACTGAGTCATTGTGTGGTCTGCCTAAAACTAACACAACGTTATGTCAGTTATATCTCATTTTTAAAAGCACACTTTGTATGCACTGTTACCATGTCTGTAGTTAGCAGGCTGTTCTGTCTTTATTGGAAATTTTCTTTAGCATTACATCATAACCTTTTCGTCTGGAAGCCCTAGGCATCCATCGTTGCTAGCGGCGTTTGATAAGTATTCGGTTGACTGATACGAAATTATTTTTGTGTTGTAATTTCTGATACTCTGACCTAATAATACTGCTTCATTATTATTATTATTATTTTAGTCCTCACCTGAGGATATTTTTCCATTAATTTTTAAAGAGTGGAAGGGAGAGGGGAGAGAAACATCGATGTGAGAGAGACACATCAATTGGTTGCCTCCCACAGGAGCCCCAACCAGAGCAGGGATCGAGTCTGAAACTGAGGTACATGCCCTTTGACCAGAATGCAATCTCGGACCCTCAGTCCACAGGCCAACACTATCCCCTGACCCAGCCAGCTAGGGCCATGCGGCTTCATTTTGAGGAAGTGTCACGTTCTGAGTAGTTTTCTCTATGTGAATCCGTTTGAAGTTGAATAGCATGCAGGGACAGATGGGATGCCTTGTTTCCCACGCAGATGAAGGGCATATTGTTTCTCTACTTCCTCATGCATTGATGCCGGTGAGCAGTGTGCTCCCACGTGTCCGTGTGTGAGTCCCACCCCTGTGTTCACTGTGCTCCCATGTGTTTGTGTCTGATCCCACCCCGTGCTCTCCTTTTCAGAGCCCCTGCGTGTACATACTTTTCTCATATTTCTTCATGGAATTCCGTGACAGGACTCTAATGTCTGTCACCATCACACAGCCGTTCTTAGGGCTGGGAGAGAGCTGGGTAGACAGACCCAGCAGCGTGCGTTCCTACAGACAGCCCTGCAGAGCCTTTGTGCCAAGCCTGCCGTTCTGTGACCGTCCTGAGGGGCATGCCCGGGATTTCCCATGCTGGGTCAAGAGCGTGGTTTTCTAAGGTTTCTGGTGGGAGATGCCAAGTCCGTCGGAAAGGCTGCACTGACGGCCCCCCTTGCAATGGGCCAGTGAGTGCCGTGGCTCCTCACCTGTGCCAGGTCCCTGTCACAGGCAGGGGCACGTTTTTAATGCCTCACTCTTTACATGTTCGAATGAACCAACGTTACCTTACACATTTCCATCTAAGATACAAAGCTCGAAGCCGCTGTACTGTACACTGGAAAGTGGTGAAGGTGGTATTTCGGTGTCTTTGTATTTTATTATCACTATTTAAAAAGAAACACAGCCCTGACGAGTGGCATTTGCAAAGCTGGGACAGGTGCACCGAGTGTGTAGGGAAGACCTCCTCCTTGACGTCAGCTGGTGTTGCCGAGCGCTTGCCTCATCCTCGACTCTGAAAGGTTTTGTGATTGTCGCGCAGGCCAAAACACTCCGAAAGCTGATCCAGCAGACGTTCAGGCAGTTCGCCAACCTCAACCGCGAGGAGAGCATCCTGAAGTTCTTCGAGATCCTCTCCCCAGTGTACAGGTTCGACAAGGAGTGCTTCAAGTGCGCGCTCGGGGTAAGTGAGGCGCCGGGAGGCGCGGGCGTGTCCTGCTGGCTTTTCTTACCTGGGTGTGTCTACATTTCTGATGGAAATGGAATTTGTCACATTTCGAACATCAGAATGTGGGGAAATGCCCAAAAAGTGTATCAGTGTGAGTACAGTCATCTCTCTTGATGGCATGCCTGTGTTCAGTTAGACTCTATTCCAGCTGCGCAGGCTGTTGGTAACCTGCTCCCGAAGGGCTAGTTTGCCCTGTTCAGACTGGCTTCCCAAGCAGCCATTAGCTTCAGACCCCCTGGCAGGAGCGCAGAGTCTCTGGCAAGGCTAGGGAGATGCGGATCGATGACGTTATAAATACTTCATGTTATTGGGTTAGACAGATGAATGGCTAGCTCAGCCAGCCTCCCATTGGTCCTTTAATGTTCCCTGCTCTTTATCTAAAATAGTTCTTTTTCCTTCCGGTACCTCTGCCTTCACCTGTCTCACCTTCAAAAGTCAAGCTGGATTATCTCGGTGGAGCTGGCGATCGGCCCCGAGGAAGGCATCAGCTACCTCACAGACAAGGGCTGCAATGTAAGTCTGCTCCGGGTGCCCGGCCCCTGCCGCACACGCCCCTTACATGGGCTGGCTGCCGGCCGGCCGAGGGCTGAGCTAAGGAACCGGTACTCGCTGGGTCTGCGGTACTGGTAGACCGAGCAAGGGAGAAGCCGGGGAGGAGCTGGGAAAGAGCCGGGTGGGGGCAGGGACCCCACGGGCACTGCCCCCTGGGCCCAGAGGAGAGTGAGCCGGGGCCGTGCTGCCCAGACGCCAGGGCAGGGGGCATGGGGGACCCAGGGGCACCTCCGAAGACTCCTGTGCCTGAAAGCAAAGCTGTAAAGACGCTTTGCTGGGAGGAAGCTGAGTTTGAGTCCTTTGTGATTCAGAATTCCCAGTCCGCCCCACGGTGTAACCCATGTTTTGGGGGCCACTTGGCAGGAGAAGCTGATAGCTTGTGATGTGCTAAGAGCAGGAGGCCGTAGCCAGGCCGGTTGCTTTGAATAAATGTCTCGGAATTGACTGCATGCAGAGGAGTCACCGATGAAATGCTGGAGGGCCACAGAAGAGGCCTACTGGTCTCCTGAGAAATGAATTGCGCTTGGGAACTGAGCACAGGCCCTTGGCCTGTCTGCATGGGAAGGTCCCTGGGCACCTCCCACCTCCCGAGCTCCGTTCCACCCTGGAACTTGAGGTCTCGGACTCATGCAGGCTCAGGATGTGCTGGGAGTGGGTGGGCCCAGTCCCTCCCTGTGGGAACGGGAGCAGAACATTCGCTCCGACCAGGAATTTCTCATGGTTCCGTCTCCCCCTCCCTCCCCTGGGCGGCAAAGAGCCAAGTCAAGGACTCCCTTCTACTTCCTTCGCCTGTCTGTCTCCTTGCTCTGGTACCTGCGAGGCTCTTGGCCAGCTCCCGGGGCAGTGCCCCTCCTTGGCCACCAGGAGCACAAAGAGCAGGCACATCCCAGGCCCTGCAGTGAGCAGACGGTTCCAGCGGCTCCACCAGTGCTCAGAAAGAGAAGCCCCTGGTGCTGCTGGGACAGTCCCTTCCCTCTGACACCCAGGCATTGGGGAGGGCGACCTCAGGAGAGCGGGGGGTGGGATTGAGCCTTCTGGGATGCGTGGAGTCCGTCTTTGATGTGTGGTCCAGTGTGTGCCTTTTCTTCCCAAAGCCCACACATCTGGCCGACTTCAATCAAGTGCAGACCATTCAGTATTCAAACAGCGAAGACAAGGACAGGAAAGGAATGCTTCAGCTCAAGATAGCGGGCGCGCCTGAGGTACGGATGCTCACTGCCACCGCGGGAGACGGAAGCGGAGGGGCATTTTAGAAGCCGCGGTGTTTGTAGGGCGAGGTGTCCACGGGTCCTCAGCACTGGTACATTACAAATAATCGTGATTAAATGCCCCAAGAGTAGAACAGGACAGATTTAAAAATCAATTGAGAGCATCATTGTGGCCGAAGCCAGTTTGGCTCGGTGGATAGAGCATCGGCCTGTGGACTGAGGGGTCCTAGGTTCGATTCCGGTCGGGGGCATGTGCCTGGGTTGCGGGCATATCCCCAGTGGGAGATGTGCAGGAGGCAGCTGATTGATGTTTCTCTCTCATCGATGTTTCTAGCTCTCTGTCTCTCTCCCTTCCTCTCTGTAAAATATCAATAAAATATATTAAAAAAAAAAAAAAAAAAAGAGAGCATCATTGTGAAGATGATTGAAGATTAATGCGAATTACCAAGGCAATCAACTTCTTAAAATTATGTAAAAATACATGTATTCTGTAAACTGTGTTATTTCCCGCACCACGACGTCTGGCCCCAGAGCCTGGGCTCTCCATCCGCGTGCCGGGAGTGCACGCACCACAGGTGTGGCGCGGGGAGGGAGCACCAGACAAGCACTGCCTCGGGTAGCCTGTCTGCGGTGGACGGGGAACACGATGTGTGGAGGAGTCGGCGCAGACACTGTGCGGGTGTGGCAGCATGCTAGGCGCTCGCCCCTCCCCTGCGGAGGGTGGTGGGTAACATTCACTCCCCGGTAGTGTAGTTTCTCCAGCAAGCCCTACCTCGGCTTGCTGGTTCTCTGCTTCTCCCTTTCATTAGAGGGTGCAGAGGGGCAGGCGTTCTGAAGGGGAAGACTTTTTTCACCTCCTTGTATTCTAGAAAGTGAGTCTCCGTGTGAGTGATGCTTCCGTTTTCGTCTGGGTTTGCCTTCTGTCACAGTCTAGGAATAGCGTCTTAAATATCAAATTTCCTTTTTCCCTCAAACCTCAGGACCAGCCTGTTTCCCTCCCACCCCGTTTCCACGGCATCTAGCGATCTGATGTCACACGCAGCTGTCCCGCTGGTTGTGGGGAGAACAATAGCGGCTCTTTCTCGGTCTGTTCCCCTTTTAGCCTCTGACGGTGACAGCACCGTCCCTGACCATCGCCGAGAACATGGCCGACTTGATCGATGGGTACTGCCGGCTGGTGAACGGAGCCTCCCAGTCCTTCATCATCCGACCCCAGAAAGGTGAGCTTCTGTTTCCGTTGGCGCGGGCCCACTGCGTTGTGAGACGAGCTGCCCCACAGCCTGGAGCCCCTTCGATAGCTCTGACCGAGAACGCAGACGAGTGACTCAGCCCGTAAGTCTGCCTTCTTGTTTTCCTAGGGAAGTGGCCCAGCTCCCGCCCAGCGCTGGGTGTGAATAGAGCTTAAAGGAAGCTGGTGTGTTGTGAGCGACGCACTCGGAGTGTTTGCTAGGTGACCGTTAGCATTTTTAAATAAACTTTTGGGATAATGTTCTGGGTTGGTTTTTAGTTTCTCTTCTAATTCATGTAAATAAAACTCTTTGCTGTTTTTTCTTTTACATTTCAAAATCTTAGAGCAGCCCAAGAACAAGATTAAACATGAGGTAAAAGCAACAATTAGGATGAATAATTATCCTAGAGGGGGCTGTATTGCCTCAGAAATGGTGTGTGGGTTTTGCAAAGCAGTAGGAAGGGATGTGTCAGAGGCTTGGGCTCCTGAACGTCAAAGAAAGCTTTCCCAGCAGGACAGTCGCGTGGTGAGTGCAGCGGGCACTGGGCTTTGGAAGTGTGTTGCCTGTGGCTCCAGTCCGAGCCTCTGCTGCCCTCTGTGGCGCCTCCTCTCTGTGCCACGGCGCTCATCCCTGAGCACAAAGTGTGGCCTGTCTTCTGTGGGCTTGGGGGGTCCACGCTCGCATGTGTGTGAAGGCCTGGGACTGCGCCTGTGCACACGTGCTCCCAGTGTCAGTTCTTGTGTTCCCGTGGCTGCCACGGCTGCTGTGAGCGCGACGCAGTCTGGGAACCCTGACTTGGAGATTGCTCATCTGTGAGAGACAAGTGACACCGACTTTAGAGCCTGGTCGGTGGCTCCACAGTCGTCCCCCAGAGCAGCCAGCTGTGTGGCAGGCGGACACAGGGTCCCTCCGGCATGCACCTGGCGGCTAAGGTGGCTCCAGAGGAGAGTCTGCAAGGGTTGGGTGGTGTGTGCCCACGTAAGCAGGCTGGGTTTACCGTGGAGAGTATAGAAAAGCATGAGGAGCCCTAGCTGATTTGGCTCAGTGGATAGTGCGTAGGCCTGCTGACTGAAGGGTCCCGGGTTCGATTCCGGTCAAAGGCACATGCCCAGGTTGTGGGCTTGATCCCCAGTAGCGGGGTACAGGAGGCAGCCGATGCATGATTCTCATCATTGATGCTGCTATCTCTCTCTCCCTCTCCCTTCCTCTCTGAAATCAATAAAAATGTATTAAAACCACACACGAAAAGCACAGGAACAGAGAGCCCCGGCCCAGGAGTGGAGGAACAAGCAGTGTGTGCACACGTGTAGAGACAGGAACCATTGGAGCCTTTGTTGCTGCTGATAAGCTCATTTATCAAAATGCAGACGGTCCAGCCCTTCATGGAGTCTCCACTGGACCGTCAGGCCCCTGGTCTTCGAGAGCCTCCTGGGAAGACGCCCTTCAGCGTTTTGTCGCTTTCACACTTGAACTTCCTTTAAAGGGCTGTTGCTGAGATACTGGAAGGGACTCATCCTTCTCAGCCCTGATTTCTACGGGTGATCTTCCGAAGGGAATAGAAGGAACCTCACCACTGTCTTTCCTTTTTTCCCCAGAAGGCGAACGGGCTTTGCCGTCAATACCAAAGTAAGTGCTGCTGCGTGCACGTTGTGACTCACTGGCTAGAAGCTGGAAATCACTGCTTCCTTCCCACCTGCCTGGCCAGCCAGGCCGCCACACTTCTGAATGGGGACTGGCAGGCATTCCCAGGTGGAAATCGAGCCGTTGTGATCACGTGATGTGTGTGGGTCTGATGAGAAGCTGCTTTTCTGTTCAGGAGGGAGCTCAGGAGCAGTCAGAGCGGCGAGACTGGGGCTGGGGAAACAGCTAGTCATCGCTGGCTTTCAGGAGCCTGGAGATAGGGACCATTCTGGCTCTTTCACAAGTGAGAGCATTCAAAATTATGAAGTAATTTATGTTCACTTTTTAACTTGTTTATGTCATTAATTTCATAGTCAATGTGTTGATGTATACCATTTTAAAAATTGATAGTAACGCCTAAAGAACTTACTTAATAACGTCCCTTTCTCAGCCAGTGTGCTGGGAACTGGTGACCACATGACCCCTGAGGCTGGGGTACAGGGCAGTACCAACTGCAGTTGTGCGCTGAGCCCAGGCGGGTGGGCAGAGCCCCGGGCCTGCGGAGGAGCACTCCCCTGGGACCCGGGGTGAAGGGGCTCCCAGCACCCCCTGCCCTGCCCCCCCTGTTCTCCATCCACTGCACCGCCTCCCACGGCCCCTCCCGTTTTCAGCTCTTGTTCTCTTCTGTCTGGGCTGCCCCAGGGACCTCTGTGCGAAGTCCCCAAGGCCACCCCAGGTTCATGATTCTCTGGAAAGGACTCTGCACATGGTCACCGCTGCGCAGTGTTCCAGCAAAAGGACACCAAGCCCAACCAGCATGGTGGCCCAGGGGTGACATGCAGAGGAAACCAGGACAGGCTCCCAAGAGCGCTCTCCCGGTACACTCAGCAGGACACCCCTGTTCCTCCAGCAACAAGGGAGAACATGTGAAGGGTTGTTGATCCAGGAAGCTGGTTAGAGACTCAGTGCCCATGGCCTTTATGGGCTCCGGGGCACAGACACACTCTCTGCCTGGAATGGACTAAAATTCCAGACTCCCTGGAGGAAAGCAGGACTTCAGGAGGACCTGTGTTGTTGGCGCAGTTAGGCACAGTGCTCTTACCCCCTGCCAGGGAGGGGCAGCTGGGAGCCTCCTGAGACCCAAGTCCCCCGCACCAGCCACAGGCACCTCAGAGGACAGCAGTCCAGGCCTGTGGCTTAACTTTTTTCTGCTCACCCGCTACCCACCTTTGTCCAGCTTTGCCCATTGCCCTATCCATTGTCGGCGCTCCAGCGCGGGGGCGCTTCCTCATTCAAGCCCTTGCGTGACCGTGGCTCTGAGGATAAATGCCAGCGTCCTTAGCCCGCTGGGCCCCGCGTAAGCACGCCCCTGCCAGCTCCCTGGCCTCGTGCCGCCACTCCCCACACTCTGCTCCTCAGCTGCATTGCACTTTCAGTTGCTGGAGTGCCCCCCTCTCGCTCCCGCCAGGCCTTCGCGAATGCTCTTCCTCCAGCTCCCTTGTTGCAGCCAGGCCTGCTCACCTCTCAGGTCTCACCCACCTCACTGCCTCTGGAAACCTCCCATGAGCCCGTCCGGAAACGGCCCAGTGTGCTTTCCCATAACATATCCCACTTCACCGTAGTCCTCATACTCTGCAAATCACCTGTTCGCTCGTCCACAGCCCCATGACTTCGTTGAAGGCCAGGGTCATGTTGTGTCCTAGCCCTGGGCGGTGTCTGGCACACAGTAGGCACACAGTGTGTGTGTGGGTGAATGGAGGGAGCTTCACAAACTCAATGACGTTTAATCAGTATTTATTAATGTCCCACATCAGGCCAGGAACTAACACTCAGAGTCTCTTCAGTTGTGGAGTCTGTAAGGATGACTTGAGGATGAAAACACACAGGAACATAAGTGTAGACATAAATGTGGGTGGAGCAGGTGCTGGGTTAGAAATGGTCACAGGCACTAGAAAACCTGAATAAATAAAGCAAAGGTCAAGTCTTGGAGCAGCAGCCTCCGTTGTTGCCGTTGACCAGGAAGCGTAAGAAGGTGACTTTCAACAACAGACAGGCAGACCCTGGGGAAGGGGCCCGGGCCGAGCAGCAGGGGACGGAAGAAGCAAGGCAGCCTCTGCCCACGCCTGACGCCCACGCAGGGGCTCGCAGCGGAGGCCGCTGCAGTGCAGAGGCGCGGGGCGGGGTTCGTGGGAAGACAGCTTTGCCTGGACTTTTCTTAAAGGCACCGTCTTAGAGAATTCCATAAACGGAGTTCAACTCTGTGGCTTTGTGCCGAAACCATTCATTATCCAGGTTGACAGTTTCACAGGGACTGTCCCGAGCTCCCAGAATCGATGTTATTTAAGTTCAAGTGTTTCCTAGTTGACATTCCGTATACGAGGAGAGTTTTATTCAGGACTTGCATAGCCAAAGCCTACATGTCTGGGAAAAGCTTCTTCTGAAGACTGTAGGGTTCCTTTTTTCTGTGTTTTCCGAACACTTTTAACTGAGCTATACTTTCATCTTTTAAATGGCACTAAAACCTTTGGCCAACATTTTATTTTATGGGATGAATATGTAAAACACTGATGTTGCGCCACCTCCTGGCACCAGTAGGCAGACACGCAAGCTCACCTCTTCCCGCCTGTGCGCAGCGATGTCTGCTCACTGCCTCCTGCTCGTGCCTGTGCTCTGGGCGCTGGGGCCAGTCCTGAACAGGGTTCCAGACTGTTCCAGAGAGCAAGTCCACTTCCCGGTCACAGAGCCTTCCATGTCCACCTGAAGTTCTGACCTTTAAAAAGTTAAGGCAGCTTGGGGAGGTCAGGGTTTGGGTAGTAGAATCCAATGTTTTCAAAAGCCCGTCCCCTGAAACGGGAGTCTCCATGGGAAATGGCCTGGTCCTCCTGACGGTCGCGTGTGGTTTGAAGGCGTGATGGCCGCTTGGTCCTGAGCACGGCACTCAAGCAGTCCCCTCTCCGTTGCAGGCTGGCCAACAGTGAGAAGCAGGGCGTGCGGACACATGCGGTCTCCGTGTCAGGTAAGGGGCTCGGCTGGGAACCACAGGGCCGGCTGCGCAGGCTTCGCTCCCAGCAGTGCAGTAGGAGGCGGCAGGTTCTCCTTCTGTTACGGCCGCTCCTTCGGAACAGCTCATGAGTAAGACCTGACTCCCAGCTTGGTAATTTTACCTTCGTTAAATAGGCGTGAGTGTGGCTCAGAGGTGTTTCTGTAAGTGAGATGTACTAATTCCAGATTACTCACGATTATATAGAATCCCAAGTTATTCTTCAGTTTTACTGTCATGTTAATCGTATCTACTGTGAACAGTTTTACTTTTGGAATTGCCATTATAATTTATCTTTGCAGTTCAGCAGACTCGAACAGAATATACTTTGCATATCATTGTTTCTGGAAGTTCAGAATATGTGAGACATTTTTAGATGGTTTTTGTCTTTCACAATTAACATAAAATGGTGTTTGAATATTGCTTTTTAAAAACTATAGTTAAGATAATGGTATAAGCATGATCTTAGCTGTTCGTTGGCATGATGAGTGTGGTGTACTTTCCTTGGTATGTTTTCAAAATATATGTGTCCTTTTCCTCATTGAAAATGTGAAAACAGGAATGGGGGGAAGAAGCAGCATCTTGGATGGACCTAAGTTTGCTCCCTTACAATATACATTATATATGTACACACACACACAGGTCTACACATGTGTCCGCACACACATGTAACCTATTCTTAGGTGTACGGCACGTTTCTAACGTACGTAACAGCTTCCTGAGAGCTCTGGTATCTGACAGTGTGACTTAGGAGAAGCCTGGTTCCTGTTAGTGTAATTTGCCCTGAGTTCATCTCTCCTGAAGTTTAGTCTGTGCTTTTGCCTAGTTGATGACGTGGCTTCTTTTTGTTTTCCAACATACACACATCATCACTCATTCTCTTATTGTGCACACACATCCTACAGGCCCCTCCCAGGAGTATTGTGCGGCACTGATACGCTGAGCAAAGATACCGCAGCGATGCGTTGTGTGCGAATGGTGTGTGTCGAGCACCCCCTCAGAAGTCACTGAGCACTTCCGGCCAGGGTGGAGCGGAGGGCGGTGTGCCTGAGCGGAGCTGTGCTGGTGGGCGGCGTGCCAGGCCTGCCGGCTGCGGGGTGGCCAGCAAGTTACAGATGTTTTTAAATGCATCTCTGAGCTGGGACTTAGCGGAATGCATTCAGGTAGCGGGGAAGGGGAAAGGCAGGAGCAGTCGGAGCGGAGTGAGAGTCCCTGTCTCCCGCATGATCCCTGTGAGTCGCTCTCTGTGGTTTGTTCTGGACGCTTTCGAGGAGGTTTGCGGCAAGGGCCTCGGAGGCCTCGGTGGGTCCGGCTCCTGATAGATCCCTGGTTGGGAACTAGAGCTGCCTCCTGACACTCTGGTGACGGCAAGCAGCCGCACTCACTTCATTGCAAAGGAAAGGCAACTACTGCATCCTTAGTAAGACAGCTACAGTGGTGCTCAGTGTGTGGAGAGTTTATCTTTGACGTCAGCACCAGGTTTCCCTATAAAAATGAGTAAGATCTACAAAAATGTCTCATGTGGAACAATGTGCTTCTTTGGGCACATTATTCTGGGCCTAGAGTAGGCTTTTAGCCTGATTACCAAGTGGGTTTTTAAATTTTTTTTTAATGAAACTTGTGCGTATTATAGAGCACAGGTAGAACTTAGAACCCAGAGGCCGGTGCTTGTAATAAGGGGTCTGTAAGTGTGGTCACAGCGGGAGGGGGGCTTGGATTAAAGGAAGGCTGGAAACTTTTAAAATGCAAATTTTAGAATTTGAACTCAAGGTTTCTCCCCTCTCCTCCTAGGTGTGCAGCATGTTGTGGCTGCATAGTAATTGTGGAAGTTATTAAAATCAGCCTGCATGAGTCAAGACAAAAACATATTTGATACTTTTACAAGCAAGAAACCATATGAACGTATGGCTATTGTTATGCTTTTGAGTGTTTAATTTTTTAAACTTTTTTCATGAGAAATTTTATTCTGAGAAGCAGAGAGGGTGGCATTGGTATGCCCCTCCCGGCACTCACCAGCGGATGCCGCCGCTGGTCATGCTCTTTGCGGCTTCCACCCCCACACAGGTAATTCCCGCAGCTGGTTTAAAGCACCGAAGACATATTTCATCTGTGAATATTTCTAAAACGTAAGGACTCTTTTAAAAATATTTGCTGCAAGAAAATGGACGGTAATTCCTTAACACCACCTCTCCAGTGGGCGCGCAGACCCCTCTGATCTGACCTCTGCCCGGTCACGCAGTCTGCTGGCGGGCGTCGGAGCAGCAGCACTGCCAGAACGGCTGTCTCCGGCCGGCCGCCAGTCAGGTCTCCCCGCTTTCCTTTTCTGATGGCAAGTTGTTTGCTGAGGGCATGGCGTCATGCTGTTTCCCACACTCTGGGTCTGGCTGGTCCAGCTCTGTGATGCCGTGCTGGGGGCATTGCGCTCAGGCCCCTGTATTCCTGCATTTCCTCTGAACTGGGCGTTAGGATCCAGAGAAGTTTGATCAGAGTCGGGTTCCGTGGTTTGGCTTTTTTTACAAGACTGCCTCCGGGTGATGCACATCCACCTGGCTGTCTTTCTGTGGCATTCAGAGCAACCGATAGATTTGGTACGTATGCTGCGTCCATTATAAAGCTCCTGTGAGCGTGTCCTGATGGCTCTAGCAGCCACTGACCCCCATGCCACGCCTGTATTCCACCAGGGCTGCAGAGTGAGGACATGCCGCTTCCGCCATTTCCTTGTTGGTTCCTTAGCTGGGCTGTGTCTAAAGCAGTGGTTCTCAACCTTCTGGCCCTTTACAGACAGTTCCTCATGTTGTGACCCAACCATAACATTATTTTCGTTGCTACTTCATAGCTGTAATGTTGCTACTGTTATGAATTGTCATGTAAATATCTGATATGCAGGATGGTATTAGGCGACCCCTGTGAAAGGGTCGTTCGAACGCCAAAGGGGTCGCGACCCACAGGCTGAGAACTGCTGCTCTAAAGACAGCTTTCCCCAGCAGCTGCTCAGTCACACTGAGGAACGGTTCCTACTGCTAAGACTGTCTTATTCTTTCCCTCCACCACTGGATTCTGAAAAAGTTGCCTCCCTCCCCAGGTGACGCTGTCCAGTGGGGTTCCTCTTTCCGAGCCTCCTTAGGGGTTCGTGGATTTCTAACATTGCTGAGGACAGGGCTTCCCATGACCACCCAGGCTGGATGATTTGCCAGAAGGACTGTTTTCTCAGAACTCGGGGCTGAGATCAAGTTAACGTGGTTAGCACTGAACCATCACATCAGGAAAGGAGTGGGATTGAGAGGCCTGGTCGCTTATGTGACTGAAGATCGAAGGACACACTCACCACGTGGACTGGCCTTGGCATTCCCTGATGCTGCCTTAGGTGATGCTCCACTTCCCAGTGCTCCTGGCTTGTTGATGTCCATAACTTGTGGCCATCTTGACCCTGACTTGGGCTCTCCCTGGAACAACACCTGACATCCTCATCTTTTATTTTTTTTTAATAATTCTTTATTGTTGACAGCATTACATATAGTCCCCCCTTTGCCCCCATTGACCCACTCCAGCCAGCCCCGCCTTCCACCTGAGGCTGTCACTGCCCCATCCCATCTTTCCTGATGGGTCCCTGTGGGTTTGCGGTTACATTTTCATGCCTCTTCTGTCACATGTCACTGCTCCATCTTAAAAGGCTGTGCTGTGTGTCCCTTGTTTGAACTCCCTGTGACGTGCCTGCTGTTGCCCTGCTCTACTCTGCTAAATGTTCCTTCTCTGTTTCTCACTGTGCCGTGAGCTCCTGGAGGCTGGGATGTGTCTTGTTGATCCAGCAGGTGCCTCCTCTAGAGATAGTTGACTTTCCAGTGAGCTGTGAGTATGTGAATGAGGGAGTGAATGCATAAATGATGCTGGTGGGTAGAGAGCTTTGCAACTTGTGTATTCAAACATCCTCATCACCAGTGTTTTTTGTTGAGGTAATTTGCATAAGTGTACACAACCGGTCTGTGAGTCTGTCTTTCCGATGATTTGGGGGAATTGCCCATAAAGCTCCTTCACAAATCAGGATCTGATAGGCTGGTTTCTGCATCTTTTTCTTCATGGTTGAATGTCAGATATTCACGAGAATCTGGAATTATGTGTTGGTCTTTACTTTTCATCCTGTTTTGTTTCAGTTTTGTTGTTTGTAAAGGTATCTGTACCTTCACTTGGCTGACTGCAGAGTCTTGCGATTCTCCTTATGTCTTGCTGGAAGTTTCTGTACCTAGTGCTAATCTTTGCTAAAATAGGAAAGTGCATGTTAAAGTAGTAATTCTTTTCCAAACCCAAGTTAATCGTAGTAAGAAATGATGTGTCAATAGTCAAAGTAATGCAATTTTGTGTTTATTTTACAGCTATGTCTTAAAAATGTTTCTTTTGTATTGAAATAATGTTTCTGTTTCTCTCTTTCTCTGCCTCTATAAGGAGTGAGTCCCTGCCAGCATCAGGCTAAGAAATCTAGGCGCTTTCTCCCTTTGCTCTTCTGTTCCCACGAGCCTCGTACGGGTACTGCTCTCCTATTTGCACAGGCCGTTGTTAGCTCCGCACCCAGGCCGGCATCTGCCCAGATGCTGTAGATGGCCGAGCAGAGCGCCTCGTCCAGGGTGTCTGCGTATGTGCTGCCCGGCCCAGCAGCGACATGGGGCGCGTGTTTGCGGGAAGGTCTTCGGGCTGCTCTGTTGATAGAAGACTCTGTTTGCCTGCTGGCTGATGTGTACATGCATGGCAGGGCGAGAGGAGCTTCCGGCTCCACGTGTGGGTGTGGGTGTTGGAGCACAGGCCCGCGGCTGCTGTGTTTGCACCGGCGTTTCCTGACGGGGCATGCGGCTGATGCAGGGAGTGGCCATGCGTCGAGATGCTGTCCGGGCTTTAGGCAGCTGTGGGGGGATGCTGTGGAGCAGAGGCTGCCAGGCCACGTGGAAAGGGTCTCGGAGAGCAGACTTGTAGGGAGGGAGCAGGAGATCCTCCAAGCACCGGGCAGATCCAGATGGAAACTGGCCCTGTGAGCCGGCCCCTCGCGGCCTTGCGCTGGGCTCACCGGAAGAGCCGCCAGGGCTGCCCCAGCTTACCCTTGAGCACACACACCAATGACACTTGCTTCCATCTTTACCTGAGAGGGTCCAGATTTCCTTTGGGGGGCGGGGGTGTTTGAAGCCATTTTAACACTTAATTGTGAGAGGCAATCCAATTAATTTTGTTCAGTGTGGTAGAGACCACCTTGAACTCTACCGCACCGCAGTGTAACTGTAATGTGTTGACCGCAATGTCTTAAGTAAACACGCTGCCACCGTCTTTCGAAGTAGACCTTGGGGGGTAGTTTTTTTGTTTTCCTTACACTTTGATTTACTTGTCATTTTAATAGTGTTTTCCCTCTCTCCCCTCTCCTCCCTTCCCTCTCCCTCCCCCTTTCTTTGCATGCCACCTGGATCTGCAGATGAAGTTAGTGGGGACGGTAATGTTTATTTTACATTCATGTTACTAATGTGAGATGGCTGTTTGCTGATGTCATGTAGCTCAGAACTGAGTGAAAGGCAGGCGGTGGTCTGTGTGACGACACGTGTGCGGAATGCTGGTGTGAGCACATGTCTCGTGGGAATTGCTTAGGGCTTCGACAGGAACAATAATGCCATTTCTTCACGACGTCTCCCTGGTACATTTGACTTGTATATATTCATGGTGAATTTTCCAGGTTTTTTTAATTCAAATCAAAGTTGTAGAAAAGTGGTCCAGACATATCATTCAACAAGACGCGTCCCCCTCGAGAGCACACCGCCTCCTAAGTGCAGGATCTGAGCTGTGCTCTGCGCTGTGTGGGGAGAGGGAGCCGAGAGGAAGGGGGAGCGATTATTCAGAGTCACACCCACTGAAATCATGGGGGAGGTGTCAGCTGTGGTGGTGACCGCTGTTTCCCAAGCAGCTGAGGAGAGCACCCAGGCAACTGAAGGCTCCCTGCCCGCAGGGTCTGCTTTGTCTACCTGTGCCCGCCACTCGGAGAGGGAGCATTCACCCACGGACACTGAGCGAGGGTGCACTTCTCCTCGCGGGGAGACGCATGGCTGCTGTCCCGCCTATCTCACCTCGTCTGTGGGGGATGGGACTGATCACTGTGCCTGACAGCAGAGTGCTTGAGGGGAAGATCTCAAGTCAGCGGGGCTGGAACAGTGTGTCCTGGGGCCCTGCAGCCGGGGAGCCAAGCGCACTTCTAGACACTCCTGGGAGTGGCAGGTTAGCGGCTTCCACTCAGGGATAGTTTCTGTGTGTGGCGATTCTCTGTTGTGCAGGTGTGGCCACTGATGACCCAAGGCCACCAGGAATCGAGTGGCCAGGTCTCAGGCTGCAGCCTCCGGTGCGCCCTCTGCCCATGCTGTCCTCAGCTGCCGTGGCGATCCTGAGCAGAGGCTGGCCTGTGCCCCCCCTCGGAGACGTCTCCCCGCGGCTGTGCGATCGCGGAAGCACCAGTTAGGTCGTGACCGTCCTCGCACTCCCGCATTTGAATTTCTGATGCTGTGAACTGTACAGGGCAAGTGCTGTTACCCCCATTTTACAGATGGACAAACTGGGCCTGTGCCTTAATCACTTGGTCCAGGTCAGGGGTCCACAAACCAAGGTCCATGGGCCCAACACGGCCGCCTGCTGTTGTTATATTGCCCCTGGAGCTAAGAGTGATCATTACGTGTTCTAATGGGTGGAGGGGAAACCAAAGTATTTGTCGCATTGAAACTATATGAACTTCAACTGCCAGTGTCCACGAGTCGGTTTTATTGGCACACAGTCATGGGGCTCATTCACATAGTGGCTGTGGCTCTACCCCTGGAGTGCGAGCCACATAGATGAGCGTGATCAGCAGAGGCGGTGTGAGCAGCGTGTGGGCCTCTTACAGGAAGTTCCCGACCCTGGCTGGGTCACGTGGCTAGTGGACAGGAAAGAGCAGGGCGTGTCAGAGCAGGTGGGTGGAAGCTGTGAAATCGGCCAGTCCCCCTGAGTGGCCGAGTAACCTAGTCACTGAACAGATGTTACCCTGTGGGACAGATGACTCATTCACTCCCTGTGAGGGCCGAGGGAGGGGTGTTGGGAGCAGGTTGTTAGAATTGCAGCTGTTCAAGCCAGCATGAGGGGAAAGGGCCACCGTTTCCTGCCAGCGAGCAGAGGGGGCCTGGTGACAGGCCCACCTTGTCTGCAGCCTCTCAGCACTGGGAAGTTGGGAGCCTGAGGCTGCCTGCAGCCCCCACTGACAACTGTGAGGGTATCATGGCCACTGCCGTCCCTCCCAGACGCCAGGGCCTCGGGCTCTTCCGTGCGTGTCCATATGGTCAGGAGTGCCTCCCTGTCTCCCCTCTGCTTCAGAGGGAGCACTTGGTACTTTCTCTGCAGGTCTCTGAGCTGTTGGTTTCTGTACTGCTCTATGTCTTCGTATCACTTTTATTTTATCACATACTGTGATACCAAGCCTTTCAAATTATAATGTTGTCTGAGGTTTTAGAAGTCTCCATTTTTAAAAATTGTTTATTTCAAAATGGTTAACTCCTGTTTCTTACAAGAGCCCGAGTGGCTCCCTTCTGTCCCCACATTTCATTTCAGAGTGTCTTTTGTTAAGCTATCTCACACAAAAAAAGCAAAGCCATTGGCCTAAATCATGACAATTTATTGTCCTTAAGTATTCACTAAGAACAGACAAGAGGGAGGAATACAGAAATAAAAGCTTGAAAGGTTTGGGGTAGATTAATTTTTTTCTTCAATCCTGTACGTAGTATTAGGGTTAGGGGAGACATGTAAAGAATCACATATATTATCTGCCTGCATATAGAATTGATTTGATAAGTGTGTTAAAGAGAATTGGTTTATCTACTTTACATTCTGCCAGTTGACTTTTTCTTTACTTAATAACTTCTAATGATGGTTACAGGTGAAGAAATGAACTGTCCTGGGAGCTCTTAGGTTTGCTCTCCATCATTGTGTAGCGTGTGTGGGACAACTAGAACCCTGGAGTGTAAACTGCCTCCGTTTCCTTTGGTTTCTATAATTTTAACATCGGAGTGAATATGAATAGCATCAGAGCAGAAAGAGCTCCTAGTTTCTCGTTTCTCTGGGGTTTCCAGCGGCCGCCAGGTCACAGTTTCAAACTGAGCCCCAGTCAGATGATGGTCCCCAAAGGGCTGACTGCCCCTTTCCTGGCCCCGCTTCCCTCCCGTGCACGGAGTTGCTTGTCACCCAGTGCGCGGTGGCCTTCTTCAGGTGGTTCCCCCAGGACATGTGGTGGGTTAAGTTGCTGCGCCATGGAGAGGAGTGAGGGGAGCGCTGGCCCTCCTGGTCCTTATCTCAGAAAAGAACTCACTAACATGCGGTTTGACCTCATTTTATTCTCAGTGGGTCATGTGTGCTCTTCACGTGTCTGAGTGAGAAGTGACAGGAGATACATTGCTGGGCTGCCTTCGCCCTGAGCAGATGAAGGAAGTCAGCCCGTTAATCCCCGCAGGAGTCGGCTGCCATTTTTATTTCCGAAGGCGAGCACGGTGGCGCCCTCAGGAGTGCCGTGGGTGCATGTGTGCGCTCCGCTCCTTTGGAGACACGGGAGGCCGGGCGTGGCTGTACAAGAGCTGCCGGGGCTGCGGGAGCGCGGCGTCAGCGCCGATGGTGGTTGTCTCGTGTCTTCCTGTTTCCACGAGGGCGCTCTGTGTCAGCTCTGCCTGCCCTCTGAGAAGCAAGTCTGCCTTATCGCATAGTGGGCCATGATGTCACTGTCACTTCCATAAGCGACTCGTGTAGCAGTGGAGTAACTGTTTGAAGAATGTGTCCGCACAGGAGGGTCTAGGCAGGCCATTCCGCCTTCTCACGTACCACAGGCCTGAGGCCAGCTGTGTAACCTCTCACTGCCCTGTCCTTCCCCGCAGAAACTGACGACTATGCTGAGATCATAGACGAAGAGGACACCTACACCATGCCCTCAAGTAAGCGACTGGCCGCTCGGCGCACACGCACCGGTCACTGTCGGTACTGACCGTCCTTGTCCAGCTGTTTTCATGCCTCCTTGTGTGCATAGCTCTCCTCAGCCGTCAGGGTTCCACTCTGATGTGCCCGACACTCACGTGTCCGTCAGTTTAGTTACGGGCTTGTCGCCACCTTGCTCCCTGGCTCTGGGACAGCGTGATCCTCTTGAATAGAGCATTTCCTTCTCCAGTCTTATTAAAGTTAGAAAAGCTGTATTTAACTTTTAAATGTGTCCGTTCAGTGACTTGCATTTCCCCTTGGAATTGTTGTTCTTTTTCCTTTTTAAAAAAATATTTTTATTGGTTTCATCAGAGAGGATGGGAGAGGGAGAGAGAGAGAGAGACATCAGTGCTGAGAGAGAATCATTGATCAGCTGCCTCCTGCACGTCCCCTACTGGGGATCGAGCCCGCAACCAGGCATGTGCCCTTGACCGGAATTGAACCTGGAACCCTGCAGTCTGCAGGCCGACGCTCTATCCACCGAGCCAGACCAGCCAGGGCAAATTGTTGTTCTTTATTGCCCTTGGCTAACCAGCTAGAAAGCTGCTCTGATTCAGTGCTGCAGCTGAGGGGAGGGGTGGGCAGCTGACCTCCCGCAGCCTGGGAATGGCAGCATCCCGCCTCTCTGAATCTGGAAGCCCTGCGTCTACTTGGAGTTTCTAGTCCCAGATCTTGAATTGGAGATGCCCTTGAACTGTCATTCCCATTTTAAAATCATAACCCTCCCTCTTAAAGAGGCCCATTATGGTCCCACCTTACAGCCTCAAAGGCCTAGATCAGGGGTCCTCAAACTACGGCCCGCAGGCCACATGCAAATACAAATATTGTATTTGTTCCCATTTTGTTTTTTACTTCAAAATAAGATATGTGCAGTGTGCATAGGAATTTGTTCATAGTTTTTTTTTAAACTATAGCCCGGCCCTCCAACGGTCTGAGGGACAGTGAACTGGCCCCTGTTTAAGAAGTTTGAGGACCCCTGGCGTGGATAATCTGAGTTGACATCCGAGCTGTGCATATGTGTAACGGGTTTGGGTGCTTTACCCTGTTGTGTAAATATTTTAAAAGACGCTCACATTTACAGTTACTATGTACATTGAGGAGTGTTACCAAATACAGAGAAACCGCCGGCCTGCTGAGGCGTGCGAAGTCCCGGTGGGCCCTGGGCCCCTGTCAGCCCCTGTGTTACGAGAGAGATGTGGAGCAGGCAGGCGAGAGCCACACAGATTCTGTGAACGTTTTGACTTGCGGTAGCAATTTGGGAAAATGTTAATTTTTGTTTAGTCATTTTGTTATTTGCACATTCCTGCAGAAAATCCAAATTTTTATTTGTATATTTCTTATTCAGAGTTGAGTAGTAAATGCCCAAGTGGCTACTTTCACCCAGACCCCACAAAAATGAGTTACCATAAAGGCGTTCATGACATAGGACTTGAGAGTGTTGTTTCTACCATAGTGAGGTAACTGGACGGGGGGTGGTTTTTCCTTGTGTCTAGTCTTTTTTTTCTCATATTCGTGGTTAAAATATTTAACAAAATGAATATTATTGACATGTACTCTCCAAGTTTATTGTTGTTAACCTAATTGCTATTAGTTATTTCTAAGCAAGGTCTTCAATTTTTCTCTCTCTTAATTGCAATACAGAAAGCTATGGAATAGATGAAGGTAACAGGATCCTTTCAAATAACTGCATTTGCTTGCGATTGCAACCTATGGAATGATACGGGATGTTTCTTTTATTTTTAAGCTATTTTTCATTGATTTACTCATGCTGTTAATTCAATAGTACTACTGGCTAAAGGGATTTTAAAGAGGAAAATCACCATTTAAATTTTGGGTTGAATTTCTGCATGATTTATAACTTGATAACCCAGGAAAGTTGTGTCATTCCATGGGTGATCACACTCATGGGGTGTGTGCAGTGAGGCTGCGGGAGGGCTCTCCTGACTGGAGAAATCACAGCGCATCCGAAGTAGTGAATTGATTGGAACTGATCTCCTAGGTCCCTAGTGGGCATTTCTTCCCGTGTACCTCTAAATAATTGGTTTTGTGTAAATCAATCTAATACATTAATTTGAGGCATATGCTCTCAAAAATATAAAATACTCATAATTTATGTGATGTGTTCAACCTGATTCCAAGTCATCTAATTTTGAAATTAATTTTTAGAAGCTACCTCTTTAAACTCTTTTAGCTCCATGAATAATATTGAGTTAGGGTTATGATAAAGTGGAACACTCTTAAACTTTTAAAACATACAGTTATTCACGACACAACTTTTTTGTTGCCTCCATAACTTACAAATTTAAGTTATTTGTAAGATAATTGCTTTAAATAACTTTTTTAGCCTTCATATATTAATACCTGAACTAATAGCACTTATTAATAACATATAACTTAATATTTAGAGAAATTATTTAGAAAACTATCAAATAGATATAAACTAAATCAGACATTAAAAATGTGAAAAAAATCTACCTGTAAGAGAACTTGGTGTTTTGGTAGTTTAATCAGTGCCTGCAGTTACACGAATTCCTTTAAAAATGCTGTTTAAGAGAATTCCACTGGGTTCAAAGCATTTTCATAGAAAGATGTGCCACTGTTGACATTTTTACTCAGGGGTGTTAATGAAAGGAACTGTGTAGAGCGTCATTTCCACATTTGTTGTGTTTGTACTTGTGTTTTTCATGTGTGGATCCTGTCTTGCAGCCAGAGATTATGAGATTCAAAGAGAAAGAATAGAGCTGGGACGATGTATTGGAGAAGGCCAGTTCGGAGATGTCCACCAAGGCATTTACGTGAGCCCAGTAAGTCCCGAAGCCTGGACTCCTTTTGACTGTTTAATTTTAAATGGCCTTTTGTTTGCCTTCGTAAGCCCTGAGTTCTTCAAGGTATTTACATTTGGCTTTTTAAAATTTTATTTTAGTTTTTTGCAGTTGGCTTTTTAAAGCTCATCATGTATGTCAACTTCCTTAATATACTCAAAAATGACAAAATGGCAAAAGAGCTCCCAGAGTGCTGGCCCGTCTTTTATCCTTTATTCTTTCAGCCTCTGTCATCGGTTCTAGATTCCATAGAAGATTGTTCCATTGGCTGGAATTAACAAATAGATGACCAAAGTGAACAGCAGCTCGCCAATATTCCCACCTACCTGCATTTTCAAGAAAAGAACGTTAATTTGTTCCATATAGCCCTCCACTGAGATGTGAATTTTAAAAATTATTTAATAATAGCTTTATTGGGATATAATTCACAAACTATCACATTGACTCTTTTATATGTATAAGTCAGTGTTTTTAGCATGTTCACAGAGTTGTGCAACCATCACCACAGGACATTTTAGGATATTATTTTTATTCCCAAAAGAAACCCCTGTTAGCAGTTACTTCCTGTTGCCTCTCTCCCCAGCACTTGGCAGCCACACATCTACTTTCTCTTTCTGTAAATTGGCCTATTCTGGACATTTCATACCAGTGGAATCATATGATGTGTGGCTTTTGTGGTTGTTTGTCTCAGCACAATGGTTTCAGGGTTTGCCCATGTCGTGTCATGTAGAACTTCACTCCTTTTTATCAGCAAATAGCATGCTGTTGTGTGGATACACCACTTTTTGTTTATCTTCTCATCTGGTGGTTATTTGGGTCATTACCACTTGGGCTGTTACAAATAATTCTGCTGTGGGCATTCATGTACAGTTTCTGTGCACAGCTTTCCATTCTCCTGAATTCACATCTGGTCTGTCAGGCCCAGGGTCCACCTGAGCCTGCCCTGCTGCAGGCAGAGGACCTCACTGGCACGTGTGTGACGCTGTGATTTCCCAACAGGAGAATCCAGCTTTGGCAGTTGCAATTAAAACATGTAAAAACTGTACTTCCGACAGCGTGAGAGAGAAATTCCTTCAAGAAGCCTGTAAGTTTCTAGAAATTTCTTTGGAACTCCATTTGTCTTTATCTGTGAAATCCAGACTGTCTCTGAAGAAGAAAAATAATGTTTTGACTTTTATGAGGCAACTCCTTTTATTAATCTTGCCTTGCAAATTGATATCTGTATTTGTAGAGGCCGTATCTGCAGATTTTCCTGGGTAAGCCATGATGTTTGGGGTATGAACACAGATTGATTTACTGTCCCTTTGTGCTTCGGTACCTCGTACCATTGAAATCTTCGCCCTGGAATTGGGCGGATAGAGAAGTGGTCCCAGCCCATGTGCTGCAAGCCCTGGAGATTGGAGAGAGCCGGACAGGCAGTCCCTGGCCCCGCTGCTCTGGATCATGCTTCCCCTGACGGAGCTGCCTGGGGGTCTTCTCTGCTGGGTGCGCACAAACGGAGCCCGTCAGGCTCCCGCCCTCCTGCCCTTGAGCGGGAAACCCTTCCCTCCTCCCACATGTCCCTCTCATCCAGCCACAGGCGTGGTCTTTCCTTCCCGAGTCCTCATCGCTCAGTAGGCCTTGCTTGCAAGGTGCTGTTGTCGCTCCCACCGCTAGACTTTGAGCTCCAGGGGGACAGGGACTGTGTCTGTTTTCCTCACAGAAGGCGCGTGGCGGTCACTGGTTGTATAAATGAACCTCAGAGTTCTTCTTTCCCTGAACCCTGACCAACCGCTGCTTTCCACTCTCTATCTCTGGGACTGGTGACCACGTGACAGGCAGTAAATGAATAAATCTGGAAGCCCTACGGGACTTGGTCAGTTGCCTAAGCATAGCCTGAGCCTTGTTGTGTGTCTGACTTCAGTACATGGGCTGGTGGGGACTGCTGCCTCCGCTAGTCTGTGACTGCCCAGCCTGAGCCAGCCATCACCGCCCCACAACCTGGCGAGAAAGTAACTGTGGACACTGTTCTCCACAGTAACCATGCGCCAGTTTGACCACCCTCATATCGTGAAGCTGATTGGCGTCATCACGGAGAACCCTGTCTGGATCATCATGGAGCTGTGCACTCTCGGAGAGGTACCGTGTGCCAGACCCAGCCTGTGGGCGGGCTGCCCCGTGTGCCATGATCTGGCCTGTGTGGGCGGGCTGCCCCGTGTGCCATGATCTGGCCTGTGTGGGCGGGCTGCCCCATGTGCCATGATCTGGCCTGTATGGCGGGCTGCCCCGTGTGCCATGATCTGGCCTGTGTGGGCGGGCTGCTGGTGCAGGTCAGCTCGCCTCTGTACTCATGCAGTCCACACTGGCTGTGTGATGTCCTTTAAGAAAGGGAAGTAGATGTTGTTTCCCCTGTGGTTTTGACTCAGAGGATATAGTACAGTGTCCTCACCCTTACATTCCCCAGTCGTCCCCTAACTCAGGCCCAGCAGCGCATCTGCCCCAGCCAAAAATGTTAGGACTGGAAGCAACAGTCCTGACAAAAGTGGATCTCTTTTCCTCTCCGGTGCTGGGAGGGTGAGAGAAGCAGTCCTGGGTTTTGGTAAATCTGAAGGATTCCTTAAGCTTTTTAGAATTCACATTAGACCCACTGACATTAGTCACAGTTTTTAAATATGAGTAACAGTGTGAAGAGCTCTCCTTATTTCACTTTCTCCAGAACACGGAACTAATCGCTGTATACCATCACCTGGAAACTTGTTCCCAATGCAAATTCTTGTGCCCCACCTCAGGCCCGCTGGCTCCCACCCTTGGGGGGGGGGGGGGTAGGGGCAGGGCACAGCATCATGGGCCCTGAGCCCTGCTATCTTCTGCACACCGCTTTGGTAGCCTGGCCTGGTTGGGGATCAACACAGGTTGATTTTTCAGATGCAGTTTTCTGCTCCTGAAAGTTAATGCAACCTTCGAAAACATTGCACACATTCCTCGTTTTTTAAAAGGTCCCAAATAAGTTTTGCTTCTGATGAGTATTGGGTTACCAGCTACCAGGAATCAAAGTGCAGTTTGGTCCTTCCTCCACTTTGCAGCATCACCCCCACACCCGCCTTTGAGAGGGCCCTGCCTGAGGTCCCCATGCTCTTCTCCCCACGTAGGCTAACAAAGTTTGCTGGCTGGAGCATTTAAGGCCCTACAGTGTCTCCCCTCCTCTGCTCTACCTTTCCGTATTTCTGTGTTTTTTGTTTTGTTAAATATCTTTTTATTGATTTCAGAGAGGAAGGGAGAGAGAGACAGAGAGAGATAGAAACATCCATGATGAGAGAAATCATTGATTGGCTGCCTCATGTATGTCCCTCACTGGGGATTGAGCCCACAACTCGGGCATGTGCCCTTGACCAGAATTGAACCCAGGACCCTTCAGTCTTCAGGCCAACACTCTATCCACTGAGCCAAACTGGCTAGGGCTATTTCCATATTTTCATACAGTATTTTTCTGCTTTGCTTTTGAAGAATTTTCTAATTCTTTGGGATTAAAAAATGTTTCTCCTTTATATGTTGATTTTATAGAATTAGAGTATTCAGCTCCTCTGCCTTTCTTTGCTGTTAGCATTTAGCTGAATTAACCATGACAGTGGTAGGCACCACTGGGATAAATACCCAAAACACGACCAATTTACCTTTCTGTACCCAAAACTCCATGGGTGTGGGAAGAGGGGGGGACACTATTCCTCCCACCCTCCCTCCCTCATCACCTATCCTCAGATCTGCCCGGGATGGAGTGGTGTGAGCTGACCATGCTTGTGTATTGGATTTTTTTGAGAGGTGACTAGATCTTTCTGTTTTCTAATATTATTTAGCAACTAGTGCCCCAGTGCAAGGATTTGTACACATTGAAAGGAAATTAAAAGGTGGCTGGAGAGGCGGGACTGGGTGAGACGGGCCATACATACCCTGGAGCCAACCTCCCGCGGGCCCTCCCTGGTCAGCGGTAATGTGGCTCAAAGGGCATCTGCGGAAGGGTGTCTGCGGAGTGAGCAGGGTCCCTCCAGCAGGTGGGGTCCCTCGGCCTGGCCTGCGGGGATCAGGCTGAAACTGGCTCTCTGACATCCCCTGAAGGGTCCCGGATTTCAAGAGGGCGGTTCTCTGGTGACGCACCCCAGAATTGGGCTCCCTTCTCTCTGGTTTTGGGGTGCATCACCCAAGAACTGCCACTGCCAAGTCACCGCAACTTTGCAGCTCCTGCATTGAGTGCCCCCTGGTGGTCATTGCGAGTCATAACTACCGGTTGGATGGTCGGATGGTTGCTTAGCCTTTTATATATATACTAGAGGTCCAGTGCACTCAGGGGGTCCCTCAGCCCAGCCTGTGCCCTGTCACAGTCCGGGAGCCATTGGGGGATGTCTGACTGCCATGGAGGCGGGAGAGGCTTCAGCCACTGCCCCTGTGCTCACCAGCTGTAAGCTGGCTCAGGGCTTCTGGCTGAGCGGCGCTCCGACTGTGGGAGCTTACTGACCACCAGGGGGCAGCTCCTGCTTTGAGTATCTGCCCCCTGGTGGTCAGTGCATGTCATAGGGACCGTTCTGTCATTTGGTTGATTTGCATATTAGCCTTTTATTATATAGGATAGATATTTTGTGCTTTTATTCATTTCCTGGAAACATTTTTCTGATTTTTTTCAAAAGTTTGTCTATAGTCATGAAGATTCTAACTTGACATAGGATTTCAAATAAAGAATTATTAACCATAATTTTTGGGCTAGGATGTTTGGTTCGTCATGCTTTGCTAGTAGGGAGAATTGAAGCCATTCTCACTGAGTGCATTTAGAGATGGGCAGCGTTGTGGTTGGATGTAGCTCTTTGGCTGTGGATTTCTGTTCTCCATCACTAATCCTTCCACTTTGTCTTGGTCACTGTCCCAAAGCTGCGGTCATTTCTGCAAGTCCGGAAGTACAGTTTGGATCTGGCGTCCTTGATCCTGTACGCCTACCAGCTTAGCACAGCTCTCGCGTACCTGGAGAGCAAGAGATTTGTGCACAGGTAAGATTGGGGGAAGGAGGTGGCTTTGTGCTACTTGACCCGGTGCTGTGCTGTGTCAAGGGCAGGTGCTGTGTCTGCCCTGGCCGAGTGAGGTGTCAGTTTAGATCAGTTCAGTTTTCCTTCCACAAACACTATGGAGAGCCTGACCACGGCACTAGAGCAGCGAACACTCCGTCCTGACACACATTGGCCGGAACCTTCCAGGACACGGAGTGTCATGAGCATCCATGGTGTCCTCTGGGATTTCTGATTATAACCTGGGTCTAGTTTGAATGCAAGTGAGGGCTTGGTATTGTGTTAGTGTTTGGTGATCTGGCATTAAAGTGAGCACATCAGCAAAGACACTGACAAGTAATGCGATGACTTTTATTTCATCCTGCCTCTGAGGCCAGCAGGGTCCGACCATGGCTGTGGGTCACTGTCAGTAATGCCACTGCAAAAACGATTGTTTGAAAAGTAATGAGCGGCTTCATTATTGGAGAATGCGCTTTGTCATCATCATTCCAAATACTGATCATCATATTAATGAGTAAATATCTGCCAGAAGAAACATTTGAAATAAAATAATGAAGTGTCCTTTTTTTCAGTGTGTGGTAAATCTCCTGTTTGCATTGTATATAAGCTCTCTTTCAAAGTACCTATGTGTCTGTATATAATATAGATGACTTTGTGGTTTATTTTCCTTGTGTTAAAATTTGTTGGCCCAAATTCTTCCTTATCAGGGACATTGCTGCTCGGAATGTTCTGGTGTCCTCAAATGATTGCGTGAAATTAGGAGACTTTGGATTATCCCGATACATGGAAGACAGTACTTACTACAAAGGTAAGATGGGAGCAATAAATAAGCAATAGGTTCAGGACCTTTAATGGGTGTTACTCCTTTAAAGCAGTGGTTCTCAACCTTGGCTGCACATTAGAATCACGTGGGAATCTTTTTAAAGTCCTGATTTCTGGGCCTCATCCTCCAGAAATTCTGTTTCTTTGTTACTAATGCTGTGGCCCCACCCCATAACAAAAAAACAGAATTTCCGGAGGATGAGGCTCAGAAATCAGGATTTTAAAAAGATTCCCAGGGGATTCTAATGTGCAGCCAAGGCTGAGAACCACTGCTTTAAAAGGTATGTTTGTAGGAAATAGGCTCAGCTGATTGTTGACAGGTGTGAGTTCACGGGAAGGACAGCCTTCCGACAGGTTCAGGGCTGGAGCGCTGGCGTCCACGGGCATGCGTGGGCCTCTGCCTGACCGCCTCCATGTCACTCACAGCAGGTCACAGACAAGGACAGAATGTACAGCTTCTAGGAAAAACATAGGAGTAAATGGTATCTAGGGCTAGGCAAAGAGTCCTTGGACTCAATACCAAAACATCCATAGAAGGAAAAAATAGATAGATTGGACCTCATCAAAATTAAAGATCTTTGTTCTGCAAAAGACCTGTTAAAAGAATGAAAAGACAAGCCACAGAGTGGAAGAAAATATTTGCCAACCACATATCTATCCAACAAAGAACTAATGTCTAGAATATAGAAAGAACTCTCAAAACTCAGCAGTAAAAAAAGAAACAAAATGGGCAGAAGAAAGAAAATGAGCAGAAGATATGAAGAAAGATCTTACTGCAGAGGATAGGCAGGTAGCAAACAGTACATGATTAAAGAGGGACGTAGAGATGACGACCACAGTGAGATCCTGTCGCACACCTATCAGAACAGCTGAAGTAAAAGTGGTGATGCCATCAAGTGCTGGCGAGAACACACACAAACCAAATTCCTGAAATCACTTGTGAGAAAGTGAACAGTGCAGCCGCTCTGGAAAAGAGTTTGCAGTCTTTGTAAAAATTATTTATTTATGTTAAAACATGTTTTCATTCGTTTCAGAGAGAGGAAAGGAGAGAGAGACAGAAAACATCAATAATGAGAATCATCGATCGGCTGCCTCCTGCACGGCCCCCCACTGGGGATCGAGCCTGCAGTCCAGGCATGTGCTCTAACCAGGAATTAAACTGTGATCTCCTGGTTCATGGTTTGATGCTCAACCACTGAGCAACACTGGCTGGGCTATTTTTTTTTTTTTTAATTCTCACCCAAGGATATGTTTTTTTATTGATTTGAGAGAGAGAGAGAAAGAGAGAGAGAGAAAGAAGAAGAGAGAAACATTGATCGGTTGCCTCCTGCATGTGCCCTGACTGGAATCGAACCCGTAGCCTTTCATGTAGGGGCTGACTCTCCAACCACCTGAGCCACACCAATGAGGGCAAGAGTTTTCTGATCCTTTGCAACCTAAGCATGCAACTACCATGTGACCCGCAATGACATCCTGGGCATTTCTCCAGGAGAAATGAAAACTTACGTTCACTCCAAGCCTGTATTTGAAGGGTTATTGCAGCTTATTTCTTGTAGCCAAGGATTGGAATCAGCCCAGTGTCCTTCCTCCGGTGGACACAGTCAGACCCCCGTAGCACGGGGTGGTCCCAGGGCTCGGAGAAAGGCGTCTGACACACCTCCAGGACTTCGGCCCATGAGTTTGAACTGAGATCCAGCTCACGTGATTTTTCTTTAATTTGCCAATCTTGGACAGATTGACTTAGGTTCTTCAAATTATTATTGACCAAATGTTTTTATTAATAAATGTTTGTATTCTAGTGCTTCAGCTGAGGTTTGAATTATAAACTCCTATCATGCTATCCGTGTGTATTCTAATTACTGCTGCTGCTTACGAAGGCCAGCTTCTCAGTTGATGGCCTCTGCTTGTAGCTCCTGGCCGCCCTCTCCCATGTGCCCTCTGTGAACACAGCCTGAAACAACTTCAGCAGTGCGCCTTTGCTGTGTGAAAAGAGAAGTCTTTGGTGGTGTATTCATTTTGGTTATTCGGTCAGATAACTGTAAAACAGCCAAGTCAGCTTTCCCGTGTTTGAAAGTTTAGTTCATGTCCAGCTCAAATCCTAACTAATCCAAGTGCTGGAATCCCAGTGAAGAGCTGACCCCTAACAGCAGGGTACGCGAGCCGGCCATCGTTTAGCGTTGAGTGGGCAGTGGGCAGCTTTGTGCACATAGCCTCTCAGAAAGGTCAGCGCGTAGAGTCCACTGGACTTGGGGAAACCACCCTGAGGGTTGGGGTCCTTCGGGTCAGTGCACAGCTGTAGAGCAGTTTGTCTGGAAGGAAGCAAACAGGGTTTGAGCTCAGTTGTCAAGAAGGTTCTGGAAGTTAAGCGGGAAAGTGTAATTGGAAGGAATATAGTTGTCTCCTGACGCCAAGTCACCAGAGGCGTGCTCCCTCCACCGCAGAAGGAAAGCCAGGCTCGGACTCGTCACCCAAGGCGCCCGAGCCTCATGTTCTAAAGAAAGGAGAACCTACCCGGACAGGTTTAGGGTTGAAGGTTGTAGCTGACGGAGATAAGCATGCATACGCACTCTTTCCCTGGGCACCTGCTTCAGATTCCAGGTGGCTTCATGAATGGGAGGGGCTGTCTGTCCTTCGCATGAGCTCCTACCGCGCGGCCTGCGTCCTGTGGATGTGGAGTTGCTTGGGGAATCGTGAAGCTGCTTAACTGAGCTCAAGCTAAGCCTTCTGCACGGGCTCCCTCTCCCTTTCTGCTCCCGCCTCCCCCCGGGAGGGCACCAGTGCTCCTCGCCCCTGCCCAGTGGAACCTGTCACCCTGCCAGGGACCTCAGGACGTCAAGGGAAGGAAAGTAATTCTCCCAGAGAAACGAGGTTCAGGGCCCAGTGTTGAAAGCTTTTTATCTTGATACTAAAAATCTCATAAGCTGTAACTGTTAGCATCCTCAGCAGGTAACAGAAACTCACTGTCCAAAATTAATCTTCTAGCTTCCAAAGGAAAATTGCCTATTAAATGGATGGCTCCAGAGTCGATCAATTTTCGACGCTTTACCTCAGCTAGCGATGTGTGGATGTTTGGTGAGTATTTGACAAGCTTTGTGTTGTTCTGATGATGTTCCCCCGCTCTCCTAAATGCACTGCGCCTGGTCCGAGCATGTGGGTGGTGTCCTCTTGGACTCACTGGGCAGACAGCCTTGGAGCTGCACGCGCCAGCTGCCAGGTGTGGCTTCTGCGACGACCGCTCTGGTCCCTTCCGTCACTCTTCTCTTGCTTCTCCCCCACAGGGTGGTCGCCTCTGTTCCCTTCTCTCTCTCCTCTCTCTCTGTCCTCTCATTCATTCCTTTCTGTGATGGACTTGAGTTAACTGTCCCTCTGGCTCTGTGATTGTCCCTCAGACCCGGGGACCTGAGTCCGTGCTTCCTCCTCTCTGCTGGACTCTCCTCCTTCCTCCCTTGTCTCAGGGCTTGAGGTTTGACCCTTGTCTCTGTGGTCCTGCCCCTTCCATGTCTGCTCTGTCCCTTCCTGCCTGACCCACCTCCTGCTGTGGGTCATTGAGCACCTCCCAGCTAGTGTAAGGGGCTCTCCGAGTCCACACTGCACATCCGGTTTTCAGTTCCTTGCCTTCCAGTCCAGGTGACATCCCCTCCCTGTGACTCCTCCCACCTGGAACACCTTATCCCGTACTCTCTCCCCCAGTGCAAGTTCTGTATAACCTCAAGGTCAGCTGAAATGCCCCTTCCGTGAAGCTTCCTGTGGCAGGGGTAGCGTCCAGATGCAAGGACTCCCTGTCTCCGCGTCTTCTGCACTTTCCCTGTCCTAACACTCACGTGGAGCTTGCGCATAGTCTAATATGTGTCTTCTCTGCTGGTATGTTTATGTACCTTTTCCTATAAATAAAAACAACTTCATCTCTATCAAGTGTGTGTCCTTATTTTCTCCTATTTCCCTGCTGTCGATTTAGTAACTGTCTAGTGCTCTCACTGACCCCAGGCTCAGGGAGGGCCTCTTCAGCCAAGTAGGAAGCAGTCTGACAGGGTCAAGAAAGGCTCTAGGGCCCAGCCGGTGTGGCTCAGTGGTTGAGCATTGACCTATGAACCAGAAGGTCATGGTTCAATTCCCCATCAGGGCTCATGGCTGCTTGTGGGCTCTATCCCCAGTAGAGGGTGTGCAGGAGGCATTCGATCCATGATTCTCTCTCATCATTGATATTTCCATCTCTCCTGTCCCTTCCCCTCTGAAATAAAGAGAAGAAAATATTTAAGAAAAAAGGAAAGGGAAGGGAAAGGGAAGGAAAAGAAAAGGGCTTGGTCCCAGGACCTCGCTCGTTATCTGGGCAACTAGGGAGCAGGTTACTTATGTTTGCAAGGAAATTCTGTCCTTCAGAGATTCTAACTGCCTGTTTCTTTCACATTTTAACGTTCCTGGAACTGGGCTTTGTGCACACCAGTGGCGTGTTCTGCACTGGGTTGCAGGGCCTGTTTTCCTGTGGCTGCCTTGCCTGCGCTCAGGGGGACCTGGTCTGTTCTGTGCATGTTTCCTTTCTGGTCTGGATGAGTTGAAAGAGCTTTTTGGTGAGACGAAGACAATTCTAAGAGATGACAAAGGCTTGTATCATCGTTTAGCTGGCAGCATTCCCCCATTCTTAGTCATATAAAAGAACGGTGCACCCTGCAGCCCGTGGCGTCTTAGACTTGAGGAAATGCTGTGTTTAAAGAGATGGAAGGTGTGAGGGTTGAGGATGACGTGCGCATTGAAGGAAGGGTGTCAGCGGTGTGTCATGTTTTCAGTGTTGCCGATAGTGCTGTCCCAGTTCTGATGAGAAAGCAGCATGGAAGCGCTGTCTTTCCTTGGGAATTGTTGGGCTTTGGCTGATTCCAGGGTCTAACTCACGTGCTCTGAGAACATGCCGGGCCTCCTCTGAGGGACGGACCGTTTTAGGAGCTGAAGATGCGGACGGAAAGCCCAGCTCCCCTCCTGAGGGCAGCAGTTGCACAGCGTGCGCTTCGGAGGAGTAGAGGGGAATCGGGAAGAGCTTTACAGAAGAACTGGCAGATGTGCCTCCAGAGGAGGGTTAGTGGAGAGGAGGTAAAGGGGCATTAAGTCGGAGAACTCACATGAGCAAAGGCACGTTTGCACCTTCAGGGTGGCAAGATCTCCAGGGGCCAAAGTGCCGGGTGCTGATCAGACTCTCCCAGGAGAAAGCCGCCCTCCCTCCTCGCCGGGCTCGGTTCCCTGGTCCTTCCCGGGGGTGGCCCTCATTTTCAGTTTGAGGTTTGGTTCATTTGTTTAATTTGAAGGTGAATGCCCAGTTTTTCAGACGGTCCTGAGAAAGTGTGAGATTCTCAAGGGTAGGTTGTGAGGAGACTTTCTGAGGTTGATTGTGGAGTCTGTGGATGAGAAGTTCTAGGCGCAGTGACTGACTTGTGGGTGAACAGTGCCATGTGCACCAAGTCCAGGACAGACCACAGCTCTAAGCGGCTTTAGGTGTTCCAACTGCAGAATGTCAGTGTCGGGCTTCCGTTGCTAGGCCGCGGGTCAGCCGCTGCGCTCATAGCAGGTCGGACTGGTGGGCGAGGAGCTGGAACCCATTCCACTGCCTTAGAGCTTACTTTTGAACTGTCCACCAAGCCAGGAAGTGGCCCTGTACTGCCAGGCCGTTTTCTAATAGGAGTTTTAGAGAAGAAAACCTCATAGAAAAATTAGGGTTTTTTCTTTGGTAATTTAATGTTTCGTTATTCACATTATATTAAAGTAGTGTTGCTGTTCCTACAAGAGCTCATTGAATGTGCTTTATTGAGCGATTGCCACATCACACAGCTGGTGGTCTTGTGCTGCCTCTGAAGCGATCCTGCTAAGTCCCCTGTTCTGTTCTCACCCATTCACAGGTGTATGTATGTGGGAGATACTGATGCATGGTGTGAAGCCCTTTCAAGGAGTGAAGAACAATGATGTGATCGGGCGCATTGAGAATGGGGAGAGATTGCCAATGCCTCCCAATTGCCCTCCCACCCTCTACAGCCTTATGACGAAATGCTGGGCCTATGACCCCAGCAGGCGGCCCCGGTTCACTGAGCTCAAGGCTCAGCTCAGGTAGGAGTGGGGGGAGAGAGGGCCGGGCTGGGCAGGCTCCGCTGCTCCCTGAGTGATAGCAGTCACGGTCGCTTTATCAGTGCGTCAAAGGCTGACCCTGTTTCTTGGGCAAACATAATTTTGAAACTTATTTTGCATTTATTTATACCGTGCAAGAGTCTTAAGTAGATTACATCTTCAAATCTTAATGAACTTCAAGTTATGATGAAATCTCTCTCCCCTAACTTCTCACTGACTTCCCATGGCATGCGAGCTCCTCGGTAATGTGGTCCTCGCTTGCCTGTCCGTCTCCTCTCACACCTCAGCTCCAGCGCTGCCCCTGCCTGCGCCCTGCAGCACCGCTCCCTGCCTCTTCACAGGCCACTCTCTCAGGTGCCTTCCCTGCCCTCGGCCCCCAATGAACCTGTGCCGTCTTTAGAACCAGCCCAGATGTCCCCTCCCTGTGGGAGCTTCCCGCCCCCCCCCCCCCATCTGCCCTGCCCCCAAGAGGCAGCCACTCCTTTGGCACCTTTCCAGAACTCCTGTCATCACATTAAAAAGTCCATTTAGAGGCTCCGGCTTTGTGCCAGGCACTGCTAGACCCAAACCTTCAGTAGCTCCCAGTCCCCGAGAGGCACACTCAGGGACTTCTTGTGTGCTGAGCCCTTAGCCCTCTGCACAGAGGTGGCCCTGCCCCAGGCCTGGGCGTTTCTCATTGGCTTGTTTGTGTCTCCAGCCAGGCTCAGGCTCTGGATGGGCCCCACCGGGTCTTACTCATTTCTATGCCCTGGAGCTTAGGACCAGGCACCCATTATGTGCTCAATAAACAGTTGCCTAATTGAATTGAATTAAGTCTAGATTAAGACTTAATACTTTAATAAATAAGATACTTTAATATTATACATATGCTCGGGGAGCTTAATTTTATAACCAACCAGTGCCATGGTTTATTGTGAGCTGTGTCACCGTTTCATATTTGGGGTGCTTCCTTGAGGTTATGTGAGATTTTTTTAAATTTGCTGTCATTTAGTCTTTTTTCATAAAAAGTAGTCAATGTCAGGGTCCAGAAGGCCTGAGCTCATCCAGCCCAACCTTCACCAGTGCTTGAACCCTCCCTAAACCGTCTATAGCAGCGGTTCTCAACCTGTGGGTCGCGACCCCTTTGGAGGTCCAACGACCCTTTCACAGGGGTCGCCTAAGACTATCTGAAAACATATATAATTACATATTGTTTTTGTGATGAGTCACTATGCTTTAATTATGTTCAATTTGTCACAATGAAATTGGGGGTCACCACAACATGAGGAGCTGTATTAAAGGGTCGTGGCATTAGGAAGGTTGAGAACCGCTGGTCTATAGCCTCACCTCCTCTCAGGCACTCAGCCTTGCTGGACAAGTTTCCTGAAAGGGGAATTCAGGCCCCTGGGGAGAAAGGGAAGGGCATCCAGGCAGCAGCTGTTTGCTGAGTGCCTGCCTCTCTGAGCTGGGCTGTGGAGTGCAGGCCTGCCCCCAGGGTAAGGTCCCGTGGAGGAGACAGGAGTCTCTGCCCTGCACCGCCCGCCCCAGGGCGCACAGCCACTCGCTCTGCATCTCACTACGTGGAGGCCTTCAGCACCCCTAGGCGCCTGCTCCAGGCCGGAGTCGAGCTTCCTCATTTCCTGCGACCAGTGCACAGTGTACGCTCTCACCGTTGGGGCTGGTTTGAATGTGATTCCTGTTTTGCTCCTGAACTTGTTGGTTCCTCCTTGATCTTTCCCCACAACTCACAGATTCTGCCCTTGCAGTGTCTTGCCCTCCGGCCCCAGTTCCATCTGCCTGCCTCCCTGACATCTTGGCTCTTGACCTTGCGTCCCTGCCCTCGCTCTGCACAGTGATGGGTTTCTACTTGGGCCTCTTCCTCTCCGTCCTCCTGGGCTCTGGGAAGCACTGCTGGGCTTTGCTTCTCCCCCCGCCCCCCGCCCACCCTCTCTGCCTCCCGGCTGTGCTGCCTGTTCTCACAGCCCCTCCACCTGCATTTGAAATGGCCGCTGGCCATCATTTTGTCCAGAGCAAAGCTGTGGCCTTCACCTCTGGGCCCCTCACCTTCTGTTGTGATAGTGGGGCCTTGTCTTCAAGTCCACCTGGGAGTCATGGGTAGCTCCTCGCCGCCCACCAGCTGACAGCCGGAGGCCTCCCTGTGGTGCCTCCAGCCCCGTCCTCCTGCCCAGGAGAGCTCCTTAGTCCATCTCCTGCAGCATCGCTGTGGGACATGACCCTGACTCAAACGGTGCGGCCTTGACCTGCCAGTTCTTTCCGTCCTTTTCTCACACTGTGGCCAAGCTAACCCCGCCTTCTGGCCTGGACCACCTCCTCCCCCTGGTGACCCTGCCTGTACCTCTGGGCTTCTCCTGTGCTGGCTCTTCTGTGACTTCCCAGCTGACTCCCCGCGGCCCTCGGAGTCTTCGGGCACTGTGCTTGTCCCGTGCCCCATGTTGCCACACTGGCTGCAGCCGCGTTCAGCCCCACAGGCACTGAGCCCCTCGTAGCTGAGCCTGGTGCTGGTCACGGGGCAAGATGACTAGAACACCTTTCCTGCCCTCGAGGAGCTCACAGTCTAGTATGTCTCATCCCCTACTAGACTGAAGCTCCTTGAGGACAGGGATCGTCATACTCACCTCGGGGTCGCCTGCACCTCCCGGCCAGGAGCCTAGGCAGGAGGGGGTCGCACAGCCACTGAGGTCATGCCCAGCGCACGCGAGGGCACACTGACGTTCATCTAGGGCTGTTCCTTGAGGCAAACTAGCCCAGAAACTACCCAGGGTGGGTTTTTAGAACTAAAGATAATTATTTTCTCTCTCTCTCACACACACACACACACACACACACACACACACACACGGTTCCTAGACTATAATTTATGGATATCTTCTTATGCACAATTAGCACAGGCCATTGAGAATTAATTTATTCTGAATTGTCCTGTATGAGTCAGAAATTAAATTTAACTTTGTAATTGAAAATGTATAATATGGCTACCAAAAAGGCCAGTGACATTTAACTATGATCTGCTAGCTTGCTGGGTCACTTACATGTAACAGTGTATCACAGGAATTAAATAGGCTCTTTTACTGAGCTTTTAAAAAGTTTTATTATATTCAAGATGCTTGCAAAGCAATACATTTAGAAAGTCCTTACCTCAGGGCAGTTAATAATGTTTCCCAAATCCCATCCTCCTCGTCCACCTTAAAAGAAAGTACTGCAGAGACTCAGCAGGGCACCCCGACGCCGCCCACCTCGGTCATCTGTGCGCCCCTTCCTCGGTGAATCTGGTCGGGCAGGCTCAGGAAGTGCTCGGTCACACTGTCCTGGGTGGGTCTCTGTGACTCAGAGTCTGTCCTTACATCCTGGGTCTTACTCATGGGTGTGAACGCACCTGTACAAACTCCCTCCGCGGGACCTGGCGGGTCCTCAGGGAAAGTTTCTCTCCACGTGTTCTCTGGTGTTTTTATGCTGTGTGACTGACAGCTGATATGTGCACTACTTTTTCATGAAAATGTTGTTTAATCGCTGATAAATTCAGTTAGTTTTTTAATAGATACTATGCCAGGGAAACCACAGTAAACAGCTTCCGTATTTGCCCTTTGGGAGCGGACGGTCAGAGTCCTGTTCCCAGCTGCTCTGCCTGCCTGAGCGGCTCCTGCCGGCATCGCAGTGTCCGTGCCGCGTCCCTTAGGGAAACGTCCTAAGTTAAGCTGCTTCTTACGGCCTTTTTAGACAAACGAGGGCAGTGAGCAAATAGGATTATCCACTTAAAGCTCTATACCGTAATTTTTATACTTTTTAACTTTTTATTGACATACAAAGATGTGAACATATAAACATGCCAAGAAGTAAACGGCTTATTAAATTTTCACAACCAGGCACACACACTCCTGTAACCAGCATCCAGAATAAGGCAAATGCTGCCAGGGCCCAGATCCGCCCCCCCAGCTGCCCTCCCAGTCATGGTGCACCCCAGGCTCACGAACGTGGCGGGCTCCCCTGCCTGAGGTCATGTCAGTGGGCATTCTGTGCGGACTCTTCTGTCTCGTGGGTTGGCTCATGTATCACTTGAGATGGTTCCTGCTGTCGGTGGCTGTGCTGCATGCGTGGGGCTGTGGTGTCCGTGGGTGGCTGGCACAGCTTACCCACTCCACTGCTGGGGCAGGCTCGGGTCCCTTCCAGTTTGGGCTGTTGCGACTCTTGCAGTGTGAACGCGATAATGGGCGTCTCTCGGTGAGCACTCGTTCAACAGTATTGGTCCCGTGTGTACCCAAGAGGCAGCCGTGTGCACAAGTCTAGTCAGTAGGTGCCACCAGTTTCCAAAGGGGATGTGCCCACACACTCACACACTCGTTCTCCAGCCCCAGCGTGTTAAGCCGGGGCCATCACTCCTGCTCCTGCATGCGGGGTCCGCCAGGACAGCCGGCCAGAGGAGCTGAGTGGTGAGCAGGCAAATTACCTGAGCGTTGCTGTTCCAAAGAGACTGGCCTGTGAAGTATCAGCCTGAAGGGGCCCGTGATTCTGAGTGGGTCTCCTGTCACTGAGCCTGGGAAGACCTTTTGAACCAGCACCGTGTCCACTGATACAAGTCTCCATCGCTCCCGTTAATGGACTAGTCATGAACTTCAAAACCGGTGTTTACTGAGTGCTCTGTGGGCCCGGCTTTGTGTGTGACCTTGACACGTGGTTTCCTCTTCGTCCTCACAGCCCTGGAGATGAGGCGGCGGCATCGTTCTCAGTGTGCTGAGGGGGTCAGGCAGCTGACCGCAGCCGGGGCTGAGTTCCAGGCAGGCCCGCCTGAGCCCAGGGCCCGAGGTGGCGGCTCTGCTCCGCGCCTTGGTTGAGACATGCCTAGAGGTTAAGTGCTCCGCCTCCTGACATGACTGGTGAGCACCTTGGTAACGTTGTTTAGTTAACAAGGAAAAAGAAGAGCCCGGCCGGGGGGCTCAGGGGCTGAGCGTCACCCTATGACCCAGGAGGTCACGGTTCGATTCTCGTCAGGGCACAGGCCCGGGTTGTGGGCTCCATCCCCAGTGGCGGGCGTGCGGGAGGCAGGCAATCAAGGATTCTCTCTGATTGTTGATGTTTCTATCTACTCCATTTCTCTTTGAAATCAATAAAAATGTATTTTAAAAAATAAAATAATTTTTAAAAAGGAAAAGGAGGGAAGCATACTTTACAGGGATTCCCACAGGGGTTTTACGTTTGTTTGAGTGTTGACCAAACAAAGACCCCAAAAAGCGTGGTAGCATTCCTGGCGTAGGCACGGAGGCCCCGCCCAAGGACCTCAAAGGGTGACGTGGTCTGTGTGCTGGTTTCAGAACATTTGTTCTCTTCCTGATCTTTGTTTCGCTGTCACAGCCCATGGCCTCTGGAATCCCAGAAGTGTGGGAGCGGTTCAGAAGTGTTGGGGAGGCCCAGTCTGTCTGCAGTGACTTGAGGCGAGGCGGCGGCAGCCATGCCAGCGTGTGGCCATCTGTAGTTACCGGCTGTGGATACCTCCTGTCTGCATGATACCAGGCTATCTGCAGCTTGCGGGCTGCAGGGGGCTGTTGTTATAACTTAACATTGTCATGTCCCTTCTTTGCTTTATCGAGCAAAGCTGGCCTCAGTCAGGGCTGCAACCTGCAGTGGCTGCAGCCACGGGCTCGTGCAGTATTTTTCTTATTACATCTCAGTATCATACCCAAGGGAAGGTACGCAGCATCTCAGGGCACAGCTATTTCAGCTCATCTGTGAGGCTGCCCGTTCAGGCCAGCTGCACCTTTCGGGTCAATGTTATGTGCGAGTGCGTGCGTGTGCGTGTGCGTGTGCGTGTGCGTGTGTGTGTGTGCGTGCACGCCTCCTACATAAGCACAAGCTCAGAGAACACTTCCTGAGGGTGGAGGTGTGGAGAGTGCTGTACCTTGTGTTGTGAAGGCTAGAGTGTAAAAGGCTGTGTGGCCGTGGGCAAGTGACTTAGCCTCCCTGTAAGAGCAGCATCACAAATCCACTACACCTGGTGTTCAGGGTCCAGTGAAATCACCCGCGCAGCTCCGCGGCGCACAGCTGCTCTGGTGGCAGTAGTGGCGACAGGGCTCTTTCTGAAGACCCAGAAGGGACCTGGGGACGTTGGAGTACAGGAAAGTGGACAGTAGCCATTTTGGAATTTGGGTATTTGAATTTGAAAGTGTTAGCTGTTACTACCCAGATACCAAAATGCAAAGCATATCCTTTTGACATTTTATAGATGTCTTATGGAGACATGGATTTAAAAATTTTAATATGTGAACAGCATCTTATACAAGTTCTCTTCTCTTTTTTGATTCTTCATTTATCCTAAAAGGTGGACTCTGAATTAAAAGCTCTAGGTTTGGTTAATGACTCAAGGTTACTTATGCTTCCTTGCTGTGTGTTTTTTTTAAGTGGTTTTGTGTTGGCTTCCAAAATTCCTTTCAGAGGTGGAGTTAAACGCGTCCTTCGTCATCATAACCATGCTTCCTTCCCGCTGCTGTCCTGCGGGGCGCGGTAGTCCACCGTGGCCTCAGTTCCCCACCTGAGCTGGAGAGTCTGATTTTGTTCTTGCTCCTTCGCCTTCCAGTCACAAAAGTAAATAGTAAATCTAAATTCAATAGGAATTTCATGTAAAATTTAAATTGTTTCCACTAAAAATCATGTCCTAGTTGTTTCTCATCTAAGGATGATTCTTTTTTTTTAATTTAAATTCTTTATTGTTTAAAGTATTACATAAGTCTCCTTTTCCCCCACTGACCACTCCCTGGCCACCCCCACCTGCCAGCACATGCCCTCACCCCCCTCCCACCCCCCTCTGTGTCCATTGGTTCTGCTCATGTGCATGCACACAAGACCTTTGGTTGACCTTTTACCCCTTCACCCCTACTTTCCCTCATAGTTGGACAGTCTGTTTGATGCTTCTATGACTCTGGTTCTATTTTTGTTCATCAGTTTATGTTCATTATATTCCACAAATGAGTGAGATCATGTGATATTTATCTTTCTCTGACTGACTTATTTTGCTTAGCATAATGCTCTCCAGCTCCATCCATGCTGTTGGAAATGGTAAGAATTCCTTCTTTTTTGTAGCAGCGTAGTAGTATTCCATTGTGTAGATGTACCACAGTTTTCTAATCCATTCATCTGCTGATGGGCACTTAGACTGTTTCCAAATCTTAGCTATTGTAAATTGTGCTGCTATGAACATAGGGGTGCATATATCCTTTCTGATTGGTGTTTCTGTTTTCTTGGGATATATTCCTAGAAGTGGGTTTACTGGGTCAAATGGAAGTTCCATTTTTAACTTTTTGAGGAAACTCCATACTGTTCTCCACAGTGGCTGCACCAGTCTGCATTCCCACCAGCAGTGCACGAGGGTTCCTTTTTCTCTGCATCCTCTCCAGGACTTGTCGTTTGTTGATAGCCATTCTGACAGGTGTGAGATGGTACCTCAGTGTTTTGATTTGCATCTCTCGGATGATTAGTGACTTTGAGCATGTTTTCATATGTCTCTTGGTCTTCTTTTGAAAAGTGTCTATTTGGGTCCTTTGCCCATTTTTTATTGGATTGTTTATCTTCTTTTAGTTAAGTTGTATGAGTTCCCTATCAGTTTTGGAGATTAAATCCTTACCAGATATGACATTGGCAAGTGTGTTCTCCCATGCAGTGGGCTTTCTTGCTTTGTTGATGTTTCTTTCACTGTGCGGCAGCTTTTCATTTTGATGTGGTCCCATTTGTTTATTTTCTCTCTAAGGATGATTCTTCCCCGGGCTGGTTCAGCCACACTGGTGCTCCGCGCTGTGCGAGTGTCCCATAGGCACACCGCCGCGACTTGGTGCTGCGTGAAGTCCGCAAATTCCTATGAGACTCACCAGTTCACTGCCACGCATCCAGAATGGAAACCATCCCCACACGCCACCATATTTTTAATTTAAAAAATCAATTTGCAGTGAATATTATAAAAATAATGTTCCTGAATATCTTCAGCTGAAAATTCTCACGAAAAATGATTTTAAAATTGGTCAGGTCTGCCACCTAGGGAAAACATTTTTTTTTTTTAATAGAAGCACGTGTGTGTGGGGAAGGTCCGCCGCTTGTGTCTACAGACGCTTATGGCGTCCAGTGGGTTAAACGTGCGTTTCATAAAACAGGGTCCTTTGTCCCTGTGTGGCTTCACGGGTCCGTCCACAGGCATCGCCGTGTCTGAGTTACTGTTGCCCGTTGAACTTAGCAGACCCGAGGCTTAGAAAAGCTCTGTGACTTGCCCTGGCTTGTGCAGCTAGCAAAGCGTGGACCCAAGATCCGGCCCCTTTCTCCTGCCCCGAGACCCCAGGGTGCCCTCCCTTCTGGGTCTGCGTGCTCTGTTCACTCCCCCTCCCGTGTCTCCCTGGTAAAGAGAGACCTCTGACCAGGTGAAGTTTACATTTCAGCGGTGGCCTGTATTTTTACTGTTACAGTCTGCACGCGCCCTCAGAACCCACAGTGAAATCCTCAGACTATCCCCGTAGCTACTGTCATTCCTTCCCTTCCTTTCTGTTTGTTACCACTTTCATTCTCTCTCTTCACTCCATTTTGTCTCCAGGTTGTGATCCTTGGAGACATCAGGGAAGAGTGAGCAGACGTGAATGTCTCCCTTCCTCTCTCGACAGTGGAGGATTGGTGGTCTAGGCCAGTGGTCGGCAAACTGCGGCTCGCGAGCCACATGCGGCTCTTTGGCCCCTTGAGTGTGGCTCTTCCACAAAATACCGACTTCTGCACATAGGCCACGAAGTTTCAGTCGCAATGTACGTGCGCACCCACACGTGGTATTTTGTGGAAGAGCCACACTCAAGGGGCCAAAGAGCTGCATGTGGCTCGCGAGCCGCAATTTGCCGACCATTGATCTAGGTGGTCCCTGCCCCCTTCCGTGTGCAGAGGGACAGGGAAGTGTGCTTGGGGGTGGGAGGCAGGCGAAACATTGGCTCCGCATCGCTTACAAACCACATGCACCTGCACCTGGAGGGGAGGAGCAGGAGCCTTGGCTAAGAGGAGTGAAACCAGCAGCTGATCGTCTCCACCTTTCTCGCAACCCACGTTTGCATTGTCTTCTTAGGGTGACCCAGGGCTGACCATCGCATGTGTCACTCTCAGTCTACTGCGAGTTAGTCATCGCACGGTACGATGTGGACAGCCTGCCCCGCCTCAGCCCTTCCCACTCCAGCGGCCCTGTATGTTGCATTCATGTGTGTTAGTAACCTCACAAAGTAAGATTGTATGTTTTGTGTCTTAAATAGTCTTTTTAAGGAAAAATACTTTATATAAGTCCAAACGGTGCTTGCACTCTTTCCGGAAGACCTTGGTTAGTTGCTGGTTGGTTGGTTTTAGCAGGTAGTTAACTGAGCTGGTCCCAAATGGCAGACTCTCTCCCATGGTGGGGGCAGCGTCGCATTTGATTCTGTTCTCTTAGCCTTCGCTGGGCTTCTGGGAACCTGCCTTATATGTGGGAGACTCAGGTCAGCTAGAGATTTGGGGCAGAATTTATACTCAGAATTTGAGGAACCCTCTGCCTGGCTCTCTTCTTACTGGGATTTCCCCCCTCACTTTCCACCTCCTGTGGTGACTCAGGCTCTGGTTCTTCAAACCAGCAAGATTGGGCCTGCTTCTGGCTAAAGGCCTTTGAAATGTGGGCCCCGCCCTGTGCCATTGCCTACCTCTGTGCCAGCTCCCCAGACTGGCCGCCTGGGTGGCTCTCCTGCTCCCCCAGCCACTTCTTATGTCCATAGTCCCTGCCTGCAAGAGGGGGTGGGCACATGGGAGCTACTCGAACTTGGGAGATAAAAGGGGTCACCATCTCAAAGGAAGATTTTAGTAGAAATGACTTCTTTAATAATTTTGAGATGGGTAACACAATTAAACAAAAGTACATTATTTCCTACAGTCTTCGATACCTAATACGCAGAGAGAGACAGTGGTTTTAGTGATTCCGTGAAACGAGATGCCCAGTCTGCCTGGCCTGTTTGTAAGGAAAGAGGCGCAGAGGCCGAGGCCGAGGCTGCCACCCTGGCGGGGGCATTTACCCCCAGGTCAGCCCATTACAAACATGCCGTCCTGGCTCAGGCTGCCTCCAGCCTTGCTCTCTGCACAGACCCGGCTGCTGCTGCTGTGTTAGAAGGTCAGCTCCATTCCTCTGTGGTGAGGCAGTGCTGGTAATTAGAAGAGATCATGTTTCAAACTGATATTCCCATGAACTTGCCAAAGCAAGCCATTCCCTCTTGGCTTTTTCTTCCCATTTCTTGCTGCTGTTTCTCTGGACATTTTCAGATTAGCCTGAGTAGCTGTGGATCCAGCCTGATTCCTGTGTCCACAGCAAATGTGATGTCACCATAAAATGATGTTGAGGTGACCAAAGTCCAGTCTTCTACAAAAAAAGTTATTCAATCAAATAACTTTTTAAAAGAAGAAATGCTGTAGGGTTTTTTTGTTTCAAAGAAGAGTCGTATTCTTGGGAAAAAGGCTACAGAAGTGAAATAGATAAAAGCCTGTTGTCCCCTAGTAGCCTGTAAGGCAGGCGAGAGAGAGAACAATAACTCACGCTCACTTAGGGGCATGACTGTTTTCCTCCCACGCTTTGTCTCTCCGTCCGTCCGAGCGATGGAGAGGGCAGACCGAGTTCTCCTTTGTCAATGAGGAGACAGGTAGACACGGCCAGGCTGGGTGTGGTCACCGCCTCGGCAAGAGGCAGCGCCTCACTGGGCCCTGTGTCCTGGCCAGCCTGACCGCCGCCAGCGGCTGTGAACCGTCCGAGCGGGGGATCTGTGTCCGTGTCAGTCCTGGAAACGAGGAACCTATTAGACCACTTTCTCGCTCTCCATGAAAATGCCTTCGAAGTGAAGTCATGTTTTGTTGCTCCAGAACGGAAATTTAATAAGCCCTCCCCGTGCCAGCTCGCCGAGGCCCCGAGACCAGGCCTCCCCGGGAGGGAGTGCTGCAGACGGAGGCTGCTCAGTGCGCCCTCAGCCAGGGCGGCCCTGTCCCTGCCCCGGGGTCTTCGATGACTTGTGTCCGCCCGGGGAAGTGAGAATAAAACACGCGGAATAAGCCCTCCCTCTCCTCTCCTCTCCTCACGCGGGGGGACCTGTGGATAAGCAGACACAGTTGCCGGGTGTTCTGATGGTTGAGTGAGTCTTGGCTTTTATTGTTTCATCTGCTTGCAAGTTTGAGACTGAGAGCCACATCCCAGGAAAGGAGTGAGGGCTCCGTGCCAGTTCCCAGGCGGCAGCTCCGAGCTCCCAGTGGAATGTCTTGCTACTAAAAATACTATCATTTGGGAAAATATGTTTAAATCTGACCTCTTGACATTCTAGCTTTTGCTCGGGGTCTTCGGCAGCAGCTGTGCAGAGTTCAGAATTGTCTCCCCATGCCCCCGAGCCCACTGGTGGAATCGTCTTCCACTGTGAGAACAGGCGTCCTATGAGTTATTTATATTCCCGACCCCTGCGAGCAACAAAGTACGGTTTCTCAGGAGCGTCTCGTGTTTTGGTGTGAGAATGGAGTGCTGCGGTTGGGGGAACTGGCTCCCAGCTGTCACTGCGTTCTTGGGGGCGAGGCTGGCCTGTTCAGTGGAGGGGACATCGTAGTGACTGTCATGCAGCTGCCACACAGTCCATGAGAGTGACGATGCGGGGAGCCCACCACTAGACCCACAGGCCGCGCAGGGCTGGGGGCGGGGTGAGGAAGGGCTGACAGCGGGTTCAGACCGGATGTTCAGGTGCCGGAGAGCCGGGGAAGCGAGGTGGTGGAGACTCCAGTGGACGGAGCTGGGGAAGGTCTGTGGTCAGGACCTCTCGTAAGCTCCGTGGTTTTTGTGGGCACAGTGACTCCATTTCACCAAACAACCCGCGTGCCATAAATTTTCCCCATGGGGCCTATTTAAAATGGAGGCCCCCTTCCTTAAAGAGCATGTCACATGTGGTCTTACCATAGTTTGCTTGGGTTTTCCTTATTTGAAAAAAGGATTTTTTTAACTTAATTTTTTTTCTTGATTTTTGTGGACTTTTCAGTTGTCTTAAACTGTAGTTTTTGGAAATCCTGATTCCAGGGGTCTGTTATTTATTTTGAGGGTCAGGTGATTGAGAGAAGGTGGCTCCTTTGGGGCCCGTGTCTCAGGCTGGATCCCTGCTCTGACCCTCTGGCCACCAAGGGCACAGGGAGCTGGGTGCCGGGATCTGTGGTGATCCGGGCATGTGAGGGCGGGATCGGCCTAGTGGGAGCGAAAGTCAAGCAGACAGTCCCATCTACAGAGCATCTCCCCAAGGGTGACGTGCCGGGGCCCAGCTGCCTGACGGTGCGCGCCTCCCAGCCTCGAGGGTGACGCTGCATTCTTAAGTATTGAAGCTGCGTGTCTCCTCGGTCATGATGACCGAGCTGGAGCAAGAAGAAACCAGACCCTGTTTGAGGAGGGTGGATCTTTCCCCTGAAACAGGAAGCAGTCCCCTTTTTTAAAACCCTCCGTCGCGGGGATAGTTTGCTGACCTGGGCGCGCTGGGAGCTGGGCCGGGTGAGCAGCAGCTGCTTGTCAGGCAGGACTGTCTGTCTGAAGCAGCGAGCACATTGCCACATGAGAACGGAGCGTTGCAGTGACCTCACTCCATGAGTAATTCTGGGCGCGGACTCCCTGCATCCACCAGGCGGCTGCATTCCTAGAGCTCAGCCTTGCAGGCCTGGAGGAGAGCCGATTGCCACAGTGGGGACAAAAGAGTCCCAGACCTGCCGCCCGCTGAGCCCGGGGGCCCGAGTGCATGGGCAGGGGGCAGAGGCTGGCTTGGCGGCCTTCTGGGTAGCTTCTGGATGGCAGAGAGCAGGGCAGGACGCCGCCCAGCCGGCACAGAGGAGTGTGGGATGCAGCGAGGCCCTGAGTAGTTGAGCGGTGGTAAGTAGGTGCTGCTGTTGTAGGCGGGGGCCCGGCGCCCGGCGTCTGACTGGTGGGGTCAGCAACCTCAGAACCTGGGTTCTGGCTGGGAAGGAATTCAGACAAGACCCAAACCACAGAGAGCATGTGCTGGGTGAACCGCAGGGAGAAGTCACGCCCAGAAGAAATGGTCAGCAGACAAGCTGTGGAGGGGCCTTGGAGCGGGGGCCGAGGAAGCTCAGGGACCTGCCTGGGTGGAGGGAAGGGGAGGCAGGCTGTGCTCCCAGGAGGGAGCGGCCCTGGGCCCTCCGTCCTCAGGGCTCTCAGGGCGGAGATTGTGGGCAGCTCCCGGGAAGGTCCAGTAGAAGAGGCAGCAGCGTCCAGGTGTGTCCTCTCCGGCTGTGCTCTCCACTGAGTGACTGGCCGGCACCAGGGCAGGGTCACTGTCCAGTGCAGCTGGCCCTGACGTCAGCGTGGCCGGGTTTGCTGCTTGTCTGGGCCTGGGGCTGAAACAACTGCTCCAAACACACAGAGATGTTACCTCGCGGGAGGGAAAGTCAGGGGTCCAACCCTCATGACCAGCGATTTGCTAGGGGAGGAAGGTCGCCCTGGGGCTGAGGTCCCACCCAGCAATTGACTGTCTCTTGCTAGGCCAGCTGGGCTTTCCATCCTGGTGACCTATACTCGCCATCCTCCTCGCTCTGCTCATGTCCGTCTAACTGCCTACATCACTGCTCTCCACAACCCTCAGCTTAGAGCAGCTGGCATTCCAGAAGTACTGCAAATACTGTCACTGTTTCCGTATTTTCCTGAGGGGTGCATACTGGATAGCTGAAAGCGAGTAGGAAACAGCAGTATACGGAGGTGATGGCCAGATGGCTGAGCTGCCCCATAACATGCTGGCTCCCGCGTGACCGGATTCCACGAGGAGTCTGTCCTGGGGCGTGTCTGTGTGGGCGAGGTGCCGGCTGCTCCACACACGTGGGCACACACATCCATCCCGCCTGGGCGCGTCTTTGATTTCCCACACTCTCCGTGTCTTCCCAGCTGTCCTCTGACCTATGGCTGGGCTGCAGCTGGGCTTGCAGTTTGGGCTCAGCTATTTTTGAGTCATTTTGTGAAGAGTCAGAAACCGGATCCTCTTTCCCACTCTTGATTGCCATGTACTGTGAGCCGCGTGCTGCGAGACAGCCGGGTGGGGCTGGTGTGTGCTGGCTGCCCGCGGCTCCCTTAACCCCTGTGTTGTCTCCGCAGCACAATCCTGGAGGAGGAGAAGGCTCAGCACGAGGAGCGCGTGAGGATGGAGTCCAGGCGACAGGTCACCGTGTCCTGGGACTCCGGAGGGCCCGACGAAGCTCCGCCCAAGGTAGCAGCGGCCCCCACCCAACTCGCACTCCCCCCCCCCAACCTCTGCGCCCCGGGGGGCGGGGGCAGCTGTCGGAGAGGAAGCCATACCTATGGGAGGTTCTGGGAGTGACCCGTTCACTCCAGCAGTGGTTTCCTGTCTGCTCCTCCATGCGCTCAGGTTGGACTCATTTGCTGTGATTTAAAATGCTCTTTCTGATCTCCCGCCCTCCCCCAGCCACAGACTGAGCAGCCTCCCTGGGGAGGCTTTTCCTTTGTTGGCAGCAGGGACCTGCTCCCATCAGGTCACGTTAAAGCAGGAGAGGGACTAACCCCAGGCCCTGAGTGCTTTCCGTTTCAGCAGGAGTCAGTCCCACCCGCCTGCTCCTTTGGGTTGGGTTGGGTCCGAGCCTCTTTCTGGCTCGAGGCTGCTGGCTGGGTGTTGGTGAGGGAACTCACGCATCATCCTCGGGCCTCGCCTGCCCACCCCCTCACCTGGGCTCTGGTGCTCGCCGCCCCCGCCCTTGGCCTGCTGAGCTGAGCTGGGGGTGCCCCTTTGGCTCTGCCAGGCTGTATTTTCACACACTGGCTCAGTCGCCATGAACAATCCAGTCCAGACCATCCTCTGAAAGTAAATGGACCGTAGGCTTTTCTGCAATTAATAACCTGCAATTGGGTATTTCATTGGCTAAAAATATAGTAAGAAACTGTGACATTCTTTATTTCATTTTCTTTTTGAAAATGTTTCGAAATCTGTGAACCCGAAGTGCTGTTTGGATGCCACCCCGGCTTTTACCGTCTGCCCGAGAGCGTCTCTTTCCATGGCGGTGCCTCCAGTTGTGCAGCAGTGAGCACTGCCGCCCATTTGACGACGTCTGGGGACTGGCACAGTTTCCCAGACTTTCAGGGGGGAGGGTTCCTCAGTGCACTGTACTCAGCAATGGGACCCGAGGCCAGGCAGGAGGGCCGCAGCGCCTGTCTGATGGATGTCACTGTGAGCGACTTAGTGTTGGAGCCAGGGCATTTCTCCGTCTCTCCTAGTTTAACAACAAAAAATCCCTCATTGCCCCCAGAACAGCTCTGCGCCCCACTTCCCAGCCTCTGAGGCCCCCAAGTTGTCTACAGTGTGCCTGTCTTACCTCGGGACAGCTGCCAGAGGCCAGGGCTGGGGCGGGAGGTCTCCCGGCTCACAGCGGGCTCTCCGCAGGGGCAGGCTCCCTCCTGTGCCAGCCTCGCTGTGCTCCCTGTGGCCAGGCATTCACACTTCAGCCCCACAGATAGGCGCCAAGTAATGCACCCCACACCCCCAAACTCACAGAGTGCCAGGCCTCTCCCACCTGGCATGGCCTGTATCTCATGCTGGGGGATGTGGAATGTGCTCATTCGGCCGAGTTCCGGAGGCTGTGCTGCCGGCTCGTGGGTGCAGGAGGCAGGGCTGCTTCCTTCTGTTGCCGAGGAGAGAGACCAGCTCTGCTTCCGTTTTTAAACACCCCACTGTTTTGGAGGTGCTTCCAGGTGCCTGTTTTAGGTTCTTCCCTGTCATCAGAGAGGGTTCTGCCTTTCACACAGGCCTCCGCCAACCGCCCCCCCTGCCCCATTTCATTCATGAGCGTTTGCATGGGACAAACTGCGATGTCCATGGCTGGTTTCACTGCCACAGACAGAGTTGAGGAGTCCAGGTACTGTGTGGCCCCCAAGGTCAGAGTATTTACTCCTGGCCCTTCAAGAGGAAGCTTGGCAAACCCTGGACAATGTTGTCAGGGCCAGAGAATCACCGGCAGCTGTTTGCATGCGGCGCTGGGGGACTGGGCTGCGCCTGGAAGCCTGGGTTCCTGGAGAGGAGAGCTGGCAGGTGTGTCGTGCAGTTCAGGTTGTGCGTTTGGTAGACATTTTCTCAAAAAAGAAAGAAGCAAGACTGTCTCACCAAGGAAAACAACTGATAACGTGTTTCCAGGGATAAATTTTGCATTTTCAACCAAAAATTTGAATCTTGAAAAATATCTGTCACCTTGATAGCTGTGCAGTTCTCAGCCTCTCTGCTGAGCTCAGGGTGGCGCCCACAGTGTGCGGCGTTTGCAGGTGGTATGATGGCGTGTGGACACTGGGAAGAGCCCGTAACTCAGTTCTCCGGCGTTTCCCAGTGATGAACGTGAGCGGTGCGTTCACAGCCTAGAGACGGCAGTGGCCGTGATGTCACAGCTGGCGGCTCAGTTTCCAGTTCCATGGGGCAAGTTGCCTCCCACTACTGAGTTTAGCTGTCGTACCAAAACGCAGCAGCCACAGTTGTTCCAAGAAAGGATGAAAACGCTTGAAGTTCAGGTGTCTCACCAGCAGAGAGTTGCTCGGCGCCACCCCCACTTCATAGGTGAGGAAGTAGAGGCCAGTCTGCCGCTCCCAGGACGTGGCCGAGCAGGATGGGTGTCCAGCGTCACTTTCCCTCGAGGCCGAGTGGTGTGAGCATCTTCTCACGTCTGTGCTCATCGGCTGTCGCACAGCTTCCGGGTCCACTCAAGTCCTCTGCCCACTGTTGAATGGAATACTTGCCATTGTATTGTGGGGTATGCCTCTCTCACCAAGTAGATGGTTTGCAAATATTTCCTCCCATTCTGTGGGTTGTCTTTTCACTTTTCTAATGCCGTCGTTTGCAACACAAAAACTTTGAATTTTGATGAAATCTAGTTTATGTATTTATTTGTTTTGTTTTGTTGCTTGAGCTTGTGGTGTCATAGCCAGAAAACTATTGCCTCCCCCACAGATGTGTCCTGTTTTCTGCTGAGAGTTTCACAGCTTTAGCTCCTCCATTTAGATCGTGGCCCAGTTGAGTTCGTTTTTGTGTCTATTGTGAGGAAGGGACAGCTGCATTTGCTCACGTGTGGATGCCCGTTGTCCCAGCATCATTTATTGAAGAGACTTTCTAACCCCACTGCGATGTCTTGGTACCTTTTATCATTCTTTCCAAGTAAACTCTTTCAGAGAAATACCTTCTTCTATCATTTTCAATAAAACAACGGTTTATGATTTACCAAAGTGATCAAATATCCATTCATGTGATGCTCTGTTGGTTTGTTCACAGCCCAGCAGGCCTGGTTATCCTAGTCCAAGGTCCAGTGAAGGGTTTTATCCCAGCCCGCAGCACATGGTGCAGACCAACCATTACCAGGTACGCAGGCCTTACCGAGGCAAGATCCGCTCTCTCTCCTTTGCACGGCTCGGGGGCGGGAAGGGTGGGTGTGTTTGTGTTTTTATCTGTGTACTAAGGAGTATGTCAAGGGGCACGTTGTCCTGACATTCATGTGGACTGTGAGCACTCACCACTCTGAAAGCAGGCAGGGCAAGTGTCCCATAGCCCACAGTTCCTAGGCCGGCCCCCTTCCTCCTGCTCCCATACAGTACAGGGCCCCGTAGGCATGCACTCTGCAGAGCCAACTCAATGGGCAGTTCTCCTGGAAGCCAAGAATAAGATTCAAAAGTGCCTTAAAAGCCAGATGAGCCCTGGCTGGTGTGCTAAGTGGTTAGAGCATCGGCCCATGCACTGAAGGGTCGTGGGTTCAATTTCCGGTCAAGGGCACATACCTGGGATGCAGGTCTATCAATCCCTGGCCTCAGTCGGGGAGTGGTGGGAGGCAAGCAGCTGATGTGTCTCTCTCACATCTATGTTTCTCTCTCCCCCTCCCTTCTCATCTCTCCCCCATTTCCCCTCCCATTCTCTCTAAAAATCAATGGAAAAATATCCTTGGGTGAGGATTAACAAAACAAACAAGAAATCCAGATGAGTTGCCACATGGGCAAGTGTGGAAGGAAGGGTGGGCTTGCAGACAAGTAACCTGCACAGAGAAGTGAACCCTTAAGAGAAGGGGCCAGAGCAGTCAGTCGTGGTTGGTTCGGATTTCAGAGGGAAGGTGTCAGCTTTTCTTAAGAGGCAGGAAGCCAGGGCTCAGTGGGCACTGAGCAGGGGTTGGACCCAGCATTGTTTCAGGAGAACATGGCTCTGAGAGAGGAGCACTCGGGTCCTGAGAGCTGGGTCCTCGCCCGGTGACGGGCGCGCCGGCCATGGCGCTTGCCGGCTGGGCTCTGGTGCGTGTTTGTTAGTGGCGGGTGTCCCCTGAGGACAGCGACTCGCCTGGCCTTTCAGCGCCGGCAGCAGGGTGTACAGTGGAGGCCAGTGAGGAGAGGACAGGAGTGAGCAGCCCTCCGCTCTGTGAGTGGGAGCAGCTGCGGGGCCTTCCCTGGTGGTGTGCGAGGTCCTCTGGTCCGCCACACGCTCGGTGTGGAGCGAGTGCCATAGGCCTCCCACATCTCTTTGTTGTGACAGTTCCTAAACGCTCCTTGGCAGTAAGATGTCCTTTCTGACCAACTATCGTGAGGGTATAAGCATTTTCTGTTTAGCAGAATTTTTACTATTAAATATTGGCTTCAGTAAATGGAGAGAGCTGTCTCTATGTCTCATTTGACAGTTTAATTCCATATTGTTGGGATGGAGATGGGTATCAGTCAATGCCTGGAGGCCTAACAGATACACAGAACCTCTGCTGAAGGCTGTGTGCCTATTGGCTGTTCTTTATCTCATTCAACATGTGACTGAGAACCCGGGCCAAGGTACCAGCCGCGGGAACAAGTGCAGGGTCCTCTGTCCTCTCTGAGTGAGGGCGGGAGCGGATGAAGAAGCCTCTCATTTCCTCCTGCCTGACGCTCTTCTCCTGTCGGGCTCATGCGTCTTCGTTAGAACTTGAAGATTGACTCCCCACCACCAGCCCTTGTTCACCAGGGCACAGCCTTTTGGGGGCTTAGTCTGTTGGGTTGGGCAGGAAGGGGTTCCATGGCAGTGCCTGGCGCAGCCTGTGGGCGGCCTCGGACGGCTGCTCCCAGCTGTAGTCAGTGTAGGGTTCTGACTGCCGGGCGTGTTTGCGGCGTTGTCTGCTGCGGTCTCAGTGCAGACTCCCCGGGGCCACCTGCATTCCTCGGCTGGTGACCTTCCTCCCCCTTCAGAGCCGACAGTTGGTGAGGATCTCTTGATCTTCATGAGTCAGTCTCCCTCCCCGCCCCCTGCTTCCCTCTTGCACTCTCTAAGGAACCTTGAGGTCACATCAGGTCCACTCCCGAATCAGGTTCCACATTTATGTCCATCTGCAAAGTCCCTTGGCCCTGTAAGGTGACCGCGAACTGGACGCGAGCAGCTGGGGCTGTCATTGGGCCCCACAGCATCCTCTAGTCTGTTATCCCCTCTCCCGTGGCCGTAGGCTCTGCAGAACTCGTGTGGGAACCTGACCCACCACTCACTCGCCCGCAGGTCTCTGGCTACCCTGGCTCCCACGGAATCCCAGCCCTGGCGGGCAGCATGTACCCGGGGCAGGCATCCCTCTTGGACCAGACAGACTCGTGGAATCACAGGCCCCAGGAGATGTGCGTGTGGCCGCCCAGCGTGGAGGTAAGCTGGTGCTCTCAGGCGTCCGTTCGCTCACGGACGAAGCTTTGCCCGAGGCCCCTTCTCCTCCTGAATCCTGGGGTGTTGTGTTGGTGACCCGCTTCTCAGGCCGGGACGCTCCTTTTCCTCGCTGCTTTCTGGTGCTGTGAATCCTCCTCATTAACGAGAGGAGAGATGCCACCAGCATTAGCCCGTTGGTTTGAAAGGCAGACCCTAGACCAGTGGTTCTCAACCTTCTGGCCCTTTAAATACAGTTCCTCATGTTGTGACCCAACCATAAAATTGTTTTCGTTGCTACTTCATAACTGTCATGTTGCTACTGTTACGAATCGTCATGTAAATATCTGATATTCAGGATGGTCTTAGGCGACCCCTGTGAAAGGGTTGTTGGACTGCCAAAGGGGTCGCGACCCACAGGTTGAGAACCGCTGCCCTAGACTGACTGGAATAGGCGTGGAGCCGAGGCAGAAGCAGGCAGACGGAGCCGTCAGTGCTGTGGCCTCTGCCTGGGGCCCTGCTCCCTCCCAGACCGTTTGCGCTGTCCCCTAGGACTGAGCACACCTGGCACGGATGCTCACTCACCCCTCACAGTGTCTCCCTGCCTGTGCGCTGAGCGTAGCGATGGTACTTTCTAAAGGCGCTTGGCACGCGGCCACTCGCAGCCTCCGGGAACGTCGCCCCACAAGCAGCGTGAGCCAGTGTCTCCACACCGGCTTCCTCGTGGGAAAGGCAGGGAAGGAGTAAGAGCTTCCCAGGGAGCCCTGAGAGCACTGCCGTTTCTGCCCTCAGGACCCTGCGGCGCTGGACCTGCGCGGGATCGGACAGGTGTTGCCCACACACCTGATGGAGGAGCGGCTGATCCGGCAGCAGCAGGAGATGGAGGAAGACCAGCGCTGGCTGGAGAAGGAGGAGAGGTTCCTGGTAACTGCATTTCGGAAACGTCCTTCCACCCTTAGCCCTGCTGGGGTCTGTGGCAAAGGCTCCTCTTTTCCAAAGCAGGAGAGCTGGCTTCCCCTCCGGTTCCTGAAGCTGGCAGTCGTGGGTGTTTGCTCTCCTGGAGTTGCTTTTCCAGTGTCCGTTTCTGAGGGTAGCAGTGGCCTTGTGGGCTCAGAGGTGTGAGCATTTCTGTGGCTTCTGTGTTACCACTGAATTGACAGAAACAGCTCCCCGAGGTGTCCGCCTGCACACGGGCGGCCCGCCTGTCTACTTCCGTGATAACCTGCTGCCCACCACGGACAGCTGCCTGTCACTGAGAGACTGGTACCTCGTTCCCATTGACCTTGTTGTGTATTCCTGTGTGTGCATGCGCAGTCGGGGGTTGGGAGTGTCTCTTGGATTTCCGGGATCTATCACCTGAACCTTGTGGCTGGTTCCCGTGGGTCCCGAACGCACAGCCGGCGCTCTTTAAGGCGCCCTTCGTCTCACTCGATGTTTCTTAGACACTTTGCCCGCCTCTCCTGGGGTGTCCTTGCCAGCTTTAGTATGAAGTAGCTCCTTGCTGGCTTTCCTGCTTTTATTTTTAAAGATAGTGCCTCTAATAGTTTTCTCCATTAAGTATAATTTGGTATATTTGTGCCTGTACATTTTAAATATATTGAGGTGGTGGTGGTGTTTTTAAGAAAATGAGCCCTAGCTGGTTTGGCTCAGTGCATAGAACATCAGCCTGCGGACTGAAGGGTCCCAGGTTCGATTCCAGTCAAGGGCACATGCCCGGGTTACAGTCTTGATCCCCAGTGTGGGGCGTGCAGGAGGCAGCCAATCAATTATTCCCTCTCATCATTGATGTTTCTATCTCTCCCTCTTCCTTCTTCTCTGAAATCAATAAAAATATATATATTTTAAAAAAGGAAAAGAAAACTTTAAAAGGTTTAACATGAGTTACCTGGAGGGTTTTGCCTGGGTTTATGCTAGTCCTGCATCCCAGAGATAAGTCCCTACTCCGTCATAGGTGAGCCCTCTTCTCAGGCCTGGTTTACTTGTGTGATGTTTCATTGGGATTTAGAATTGATGCTCATCAATGAGAATAATTTGTTTCTTGTCATCGTTTATTGGCTTCAGGATCAGCACAGTGCTGGTTCCTAAGGTGAGTTGAGTGATTGCCACCCTACGGATTTGGGTCTTCGTTAGGTTCATGTTGTGGGTGGTGGGGCTGAGAGCAGCAGGCAGTCAAGACAGGGCCACCTCCAGTGACGGGACTGAGAGCGAGGAGACGGGAGCAGTAAGCATTCCTTCCGCCTGGGCATTTTAACTGGGATTTCTGCAGCATTGTCCCCGCCACAGCCACAGTGATGTTCCTAAAATGCAAGTCTGATCCTGAGTCTCTGGTGTAAAATCTGCTGGAGCTTCCCCAGGATGACCTGCCAGCCTCCTTCTCGCCCCTCCTTTCTTCGTGCCCTCCTGGGTCAGCCTCCGATTGTGGCAGAGAGCACTGAGCACTGAGGGGAGGGACAGCCCCCAGGTCATTGGGGAGGCTGAGCAGCTAAAATGACAAGAGCGACAGCCCCAGAAGATCTGGGGAGGAACATTCCAGGGAGAGGGCACACCAAGTGCAAGGACCCAAGGCGAGCTGGGAAGGAGCCAAGTACGTCTGAGGGTCGGAAAGACAACCATAGAGGCCAGAGTGCAGGAGTGAAGGGGGACAGACCACACGGGCCTCAGGCCATCCGGGGGGGGGGGGGCCAGGGCCTGGCGGTGGTGGGAAAACAGAGCATTTTGGCACTCAGAGGGTCCTTGCCATCCTGACTCTCCTTTCAGACAGCATTACGAGAAAGAACCTAGACTTCGGAGAATTAAAAATCCTTGTTACTAGGACCCTGCATTGTTTTCTCTCTTTATGCTTGAATTTCTTAGCCTGTGAAGTACTTGGCGCCCGCCATACGGTGCGGGTAATGCTTTCCTCATAGAGGGATGAGGGTGACATGGAAGCAGTGGAGGGAGGAGCCCCCATTAATTTTCAAAGGGCTTTTTTCTCTCTTCCTCAGTTTGAGCTCCATAGTTGCCATGGGCTGCATTGATGAGAACCTAGACTCCTAGGTCATGTGTCACAGTTCCTGCTATGACACAGCGTTCCTGCAGACAGTCCCAGGATGCCTTCCCCGCTCCTGACCCCAGGCTAAGGAAGAGGAGGAGTAAGAGTTTGGCCACACTCAAACGGGTTTCTGCAGAGGAGCCCTGAGGGGATTGCTCACTCAGGAGCTGCAGAGCCTTTTATTGGATTGGTTGGCTGTTTTGCGGAAACCTTCACTCTCTCTTGTTAGCAGGTAGCTAACAGCCCCTGGAGTGTGAGTGCCCTGTGTCCCCAGGACGCAGAGCCTCAGAGTCGTCAGTGCCGCCTTTTAGGCGAGGCACTTTCCAGGGCAGGCTTGTCCTGCTGTCCACGAGGCAGGCCAGCCTCTGGTGTCGTCCGAGCTGTTGTGCGCCTGCTGCCCTGGCTAAGTAAAATAAAACCCACTCACTAAAAAGGGGAAACTTTCAAAAAGATATACAACATACAAGCCACACTTCTTTATTATGAACTTCAACAGACCTAACACTATTCCAGATTGCTCTAGAAATTTCTAAAGATTCTTGTCTTCTGTTCTGTCTCCTCCTGGCCTGGTAACAGATCATTTCCACCCCACCTTGGTCCTCAGACTGCTTGGGGAGCAGTGCTGCCCCCCAGTGACATCAATTATGCAGCCTGGACAAAGAGTCAGGTTTCTACTTGAAAAATTAACTCTTAAAGTTGCTTTCTCAGTCATAGTTACCAGATTTTTTCAAATAGATCCCACTTTCAGGACTCAACGCGATTGCATGGTCATCTACATATATAAAAGGCTGATATGCTAAGTGTCCATTGACCATCCGACCGGTCACTATGACACACACTGACCACCAGGGGGCTGATGCTCAACGCAGGAGCTGCCAAGATGCACACTGGCCATTTACACAGAAACGGCACCGCAGACCTGGTGCTGACAAAGCAACACTCGGCTTCCCCCAAGTGGGACACAGGCCCCGCCACCACCCCGAGTGACACCCCACCAAATCGCAGCTAATGCTGCTGAGACCCCATAGCACAAAATGCGGCCCACAGCCCAGCCCAGCCCAGAAACGGTTGCTGTGGGTGCCGGGTAATGACGTCATGTAGCAATGTTGTGACTAGCCTCCTTGGAGTTTCTTCAGCCCAGGAACACGACTTGCTTTACAGCCAGGTGCAGACATTTTTCACTTTACCAAAATGTCTGTGAAGCGTTTTCCTGTGCCTCATCTCATTTGATCCTCACAGAAGTCCTGGAGTAGGTAGACAGGAGATTCGGTGGAATCGAATTTTCTTTTCATTAGCCGGAAAACAGATTTAGAAAGTTTAGAAACTTGACCCAACTGAAAAGAAGTAAGAAATGGTGGGCCTTGACAATGACTTCAGGTTTTCTCACTGCGCAGAATATAGTCAAACGCTGCTGCAGTTAAATATTTTACCCTTGGTTCTCCCTGCGTGATCTACAATAATAATCTGCTTTGTGTTGATATTTACTGCTGTGTTGCTGACAATTACCTGAAAGAGAAGTTGTGGTGCTTCACTGGGCTGGAAAAAGTTTAGCTACATCAGAAAGCAGGTCTAATTAAGCAAACTTATTCTATATCTATAAAAGGCTAAGTTGACTCGTGCATGTGTGATACATATAAAGCTCTCGCTGGCACCAATCGCACGCGTGTATTTCCATCTGTCATTGTCGATTGTGAATTTGGTTGACACTTCTATTATAGCGAAAGGGTGAATAGCATATTAAAATATTTCCTCTAATTAATTTCCTTCTAGTGTGCACAAATTTGTGCACCGGGACACTAGTTGTTAATAGTAGCTCCTGCCTTTCCTTGAGGACTGTGGTGTGCCAGGACCCCCGGATGTATGCGTCCGTTAGCACACGTTCTTGCAGTGGCAGCCTCTTGCCCCTGGTCACACAGCCGGGACCCGCGGCACCTGTGCGTGGTGGCAGGCCCACTCCCTTCTCCCATCCCAGCTCAGCTGGTGTCCTTTCCGAGCCAGCAGAATGCAGGGCTGTGAGAGAGCTAAGTCCCAGGCTGTTCCCAGCACTCTTCCCGGGTGGGCGTGCCTTACAGACAGAGCGCCTTTGTTCCTTATTTTTGTCACTACGCGCACAGGAGTTTTCTGTTGTGATCCTGGGCTCAAGACAGAAGTCTAATTTTAAAGTGAGGACGGCTGCCTCCATAAAGCCTGCTCTGTGTCCTCAGGCAGGAAGTACATATTTGAGCTGTTTTTCCTCTCAGGGCCGACCCAGGACAGCCCGTCAGCAGACCGCACTGCTGATCGCTCTGGCTCTGGCTCTGGGCCAGGCCACATCCCCCTACGCTTCTTCCTCACGTCAGGTGCAGGTTTGAAGGCGAAGTAGTATAGTTCAAGGCGGCGGGACTTGGAGGTGAAAGTCTGAACTTGAAGTGTTTAGAGGGATAGTGATGGGGGAGTCAAGACCGAAGTGGACCTGTGGGTGGCCGTGTTCCTAGGACCTCAAAAGAGCCTTGGCAATCACTGCTGCTGAGCAGAGGGAGTGCACGTGCCCGCTCGCAGGAGCCTGTTGGTAGCAGCCCCTATGTGGTGCCAGGGACTGGAGGGAACCCACCTGCCCCTTGATGGTGAAATAAGCAAGATTCACACAGCAGGTGCTGTGCTGCCTCACGTGGGCAGCCAGGGGCCGTCTCGCAGACGGGCACCACCAGGTGCAGACAGACGGGCATACATGAGTCCGTACGTGAAGCTCAGCCACTCGTCCCTGTGGCCGGGTGGAGGCAAGTGTCCACTGGGATGGGGCGGGCGGGAGCCTGCTGGGTTGTCCTGATCTGGGTGGTGTGTTAGGCAGGGACACGTACATGAAAATGCACATTTGTACACTTTGTCATAAATGTTGTACCTAATAAAAAACAAAAGATGCGTGCACGATGGGGAAAATAACCAGATAGCCCAAACGTTAGGTCTGTACCTGTTGGTGTGTCAGCTGGAACTGCCTCCTTTATCGGACCGTTCCTGTCCTCAGGTCTGTGCCGGGAGCTGGTCCATGCTTGCTGTTTCAAGGGACCTGGCATATATGGCATACTGTTCTTAATATGTTTGCTCACCTTCTTGGCACTATGTGTTTTAACCAAGGTCACCTCTCTGAGAAAGGTTGTTTCCCCAGGTAGGGATTTTCCCCTGAAGTTAGGGAGGGAGTAAAACCCCTTAACTAAGTGCCAGGTGGGTAATTAATCACTTTAACTACGAACAATCATACTTAAGCTACATAATCTTTACTCCCTGGAATGGAGATAAGAAACGCCCTAACCTTTGTAATAGAGATTGATAGGATTGGAATCAACTGGTATAAATACAGATGTAAGAACACAGAACTTAGAACACAGGACTAAGAAGACAGAACCTACACAGAACCCAGAGACAGAAGAACTTCGCTGGAGAGAACATGGCAAAAGATCCTGGGCTGAACCTGACTACAGAAATTGGCAAGGGAACCTGACTAGAACCTGGTGACTGAACCTGGCTGGAGAACCTGGAGACCCTGGCTGGAGAACCTAGCAAGAGAACATGGACACAGAACCTAGCTGGAGATCCTAAGCAGAACTTCGCTGGAGATCCAGACCAGAACTTGGCTGGAGATCCTGGCTAGAGATCCTGGCTAGGCTGCTGATCAACTGAACGCTATCTCTGTGTCCTTCCTTCTTCGCCGACTCCGTCTACGCCTTTGGGGACCCCTGGACCTGCTGGGGTTGGACCCCGGCAGGTCTGGAGTGTCCTGCGCGGGGAATGGGAGACTAGCCTCACCCGGGAGCAGAGAGAGCCCTCTCTTCTCTCTGCGGCCGCTGCTCCAGGCGGGCCTGGCTCTGCTCAGGCACTGTCGGCCCGCGGGGAGCTCGGTCATGTCCACTCACTCACAGCGGACGCACGTGAAGACCTTTCTCTTACAACTGAAATCCCGACTCTGGGAAAGTACACCTTAGAGAACTATTAGGTATAAAGAAATAAAAACATGTCATTTCATGTGATTTACATGGGAAGAAAATTGGTAATTCTTGTAAGTACATGAAATACAGCTCCTTAGTCTGTCAGCAAACCATGAACTCAAGTTGCTCTCATCGCAGTAAAAAAGGAAATAAAATGCCCCCGGCAGGTAGAAGCTGCTCACTGATGCCTGTGACCCGAGTGAGCGCTGGCGGGGCCTGTCTGCCTGGGCATGTTTACTGAGCACCTGGCACGTGTGCGTTGCTGTGCCAGGCACACGTGGGGTCCGTCTCACAGGTGAGGGTGGGTTAGGGGCGTCATGCAGGTGGCTCTTCCCCACCTGTTGTCCCGAGCCGAGCCGCACCAGCTAATGGAGCCCAGCGGGGAGCCGCTGCCAGGGCCTCTGACCTCATGGGCCGAGCGTCTAGTGAAACAGGTGTTCTCTTCCAGAAAGGGGGGTGCACCCCAGCAGCGTAGCGTTTTGTTCATGGAGTTTGAGTGACAGCACAGGGGGACCTAGTGGGAGAGACTCAAGCACACCCAGCAGGTAGACTCACTGCTGGAAGCAGTTTGGCAGCTTATCCCAGAACTTTCCAAACGTTGAAACCTGTGACTCAGTAATTCCCTTCCTAGAACTCTGTCCCGGGAAGTGATCGGGGGTTTAGCTAGGTGTGTACACAAAGGCGTCCCCCACAGCCTGCTTACACCACTGAACGTGAAAACGGCCCAAATGTTCCACTAACAGGAGAGGTGTTGGTTTATTTGACACCTGAAGTGGCGATAACTTAGTGATGTGCCGATATTAATTCAGTAAGGTTGGAATTCTGTGGTGTTGTTGCCCTTTTGTGCATTTAAAGCAGCGGTTCTCAACCTGTGGGTCGCGACCCCTTCGGCGGTCGAATGACCCTTTCACAGGGGTCGCCTAAGACCATCCTGCATATCAGATATTTACATGACGATTCATAACAGTAGCAACATTACAGTTATGAAGGAGCAACGAAAACAATTTTATGGTTGGGTCACAACATGAGGAACTGTATTTAAAGGGCCAGAAGGTTGAGAACCACTGAGTTAAAGGAAGAGTGAGACCAAGTCCTTTCTCCATCGCCCCCAGCCAGTGCTTGTGGCTGCGTCCTGGGCGCCGGCCCTGCCAGGTGCAGAGCTGCACAGCGGGCTCGCAGCAGCTCGCTCTGGTCTGGCGGGGAACGGTCACTGCCCGCTCACAGGGCTCCCTGGGAGCAGTGGGCCCAGGAGGGTGGCCGTGTGGTGGGCGGCGCGCTGGCGGCTGGAGGCTGCCGCCCGGTGGGGTGGAGCCAGCCTTTATGCTAGTATCGGTGAAGTTTTTGTACTCTTACCAGTATTTCCGTGACACCCAGGGTTCTCCGTTTGGGTTCTGTATTCTGGGTGCTTGTGGGAAACTTATTGGACCATTGCTGCTGTGCAGGGCCAGTCCATGCAGCTCACTTGGGCACAGGAAGTGCGCTGCGCCTCTTCTCGGTGGTTCCCTGGTGCAGAGGGAGGCTCGCCTGCTGCTGCGAGGAGCGGCCGGGCAGCTCCGGGGCGGGCCCAATCCTATTCGTGAGCCAGCGGCTTTGTGGGCCTCCGGCCAGGGATTGTCATCTCTGGCTTTTGAGAATTTTTCCAAAACTGGGTACCTATCTACTCTCCGTAGTCGAGGACAGGTATGTTATAAAAGGAAGGAACTTAAGAACCCAGCCTGAAGCTGTTTGGTTCTGTTTTCACTTCAGAAACCCGATGTGCGGCTCTCCCGAGGCAGCGTGGACAGGGAGGATGCGAGTCTCCAGGGCCCGGTAAGCAGGACATGGGCTGGCGTTTTCTTGTCATGAACCCAGCCGTCCACTCTGTGGGTGAAGTGGCTGTTGTAGCCCCGCACCCCGTGTCCCTGCCCAGACGCGGAGGCCTCCACCCGCCACCAGTGCCGTCTCCTCCGTGGGCAGCTGGCTCTGCGCCCTGAGAAGCGGGGCACGCACTGACGTTGATGCTCGTGTGCCCGCTCGTCCTCACGCTCCCCCTGCCCGCTCGCAGCAGTTCCGTCACAGCACTGGCTGCAGGGGAGGGTCTCCCTCGGGGTGCTGTCAGGGGAAATGCCTGGCATTCTCTTTAAAGAGCCAGCTTATGTCTCATCCCAATGGCTTTAGAACCTGCTAGGATTCTTCCCTGGGCTTTGGGAGAGCAGCTAAAATTGTTTCGTTAGGACTTCCATCAGCAGGTGTCTGGTTAAAATAAACACAGGTTTCTCTCAACGCTTTCGCTCCCAGTGAAAAGGAGCCTTGCGCCTGCCAGGTGGCAGACGTGTGGGCCCAGTGTCCACCCCAGCAGCTCCGTGAGGCAGAAGCCATTGGCTGACATCGGGACACACGCACACAGGCCGGGAGCTGTCCCATCCGAACTGGGACGCCAGCTGCCCTGAGGTGGGCCTGGAGGCGTGCTCAGTGTCAGCCCGGGAAGGCGCTAGTGCAGCGGGCCCTGCAGGCAGGTGGGCGTCCTTAGTTCATGAGCACGGAGTCAGGTGATCCACCCGCCACCTGACATGTGCCCCTTCCTCCTGTGCAACGAGCACTCTGTCCTGGATCATAGAGCGAGGCTCGTTCCGGGACCTGCTGCGAGGACATGACCAGAGGGGCTTGGTGAGGAGGAAGAATGCTGGGCTCCCTGTGACACTGCACAGACAATGTGTGGAAGGAACGAATAACTGAGGAGTTAGGCCGGCTGAGGGAGAGTCAGAAACACTCCGTGACACGGTGACACATGAAGGGGCCACGCGTGACCTCGTAGCACTGGCTGCACCAGGCCTGGGCGACAGGAAGAGTGGGTCGTCCTGGTGGGGGAAGCGCTCAGTCCTGCAGGGTGCTGTGCTGCATGTGTCCTGTCCCCACACTGCGTCCTCAGCACCCCCTCCCACAAGTGGGTAAACCGAGGCTTGTGGGAAATGCGCCCAGAGTTGCCCGCTGCAGGGTCAGACGCCAGGCGGCCAGCTGGCTGGGCGGCCTCTTCACTCGCCGCGTGCGGTTTTGGCTGTGGCTGCTTCCTTCCTGGGGCTGATGCACACGGGACCGTGTCCTCAGCTCACGGTGGCTCCGTGGCCTTCCCCCTGCTGGCGCCTCCAGGTGCTGAGGCTGCCGGGCAGCCCTTCAGCTGGAAAGCAGTGGGTTCTCCATCGGCCTGAGCTCTAAGAAGCGCTGAGGACCGGCCAGGGGACATGACCCCTCAGTTTGTATAAAGAGTAAAACGATCTGGATCCCAAACTAGGACCCAGGTTGGCAGCACAGTTATTTTGTGAGCTGTTAGCCTCAGTTTACAAATGGGAAACGGAAGCCTCTCACAGCTGAGTGCGTCCTCCAGGGCCCCCAGCTGGATACACGTCCCACCAGAGCACGGGTCCACATAGTCCGTCCATCACGCTCCGAAGGCAGGGGCTCCTGCAGGCCTGCCCTTCCAGGCAAAGCTGTGCAGCTGCCTAGCACAGTGCCTTATGCTGGCACTGCTGAACACATCCAGAATGTTCTGAGAATAGAACATTCTAGTTTTTTTTAACTTTCCTGCTACCTAGGAATCAACCAGAACATTCTTTGTGTTTCAAACCTTTTAAAATATGTGCGTGTTACGGCCAGGTCAGCACAGCCGTGTCTGTTTCTAAAGTTTGGGCCGCTCACTCCTCCGCAGCTGCTCTGGCCACCTGGGCTTCTCACACCTCCGCTTCCCACCCCAGGTCTGCGCAGAGGTCACGTTCTCAAGGGCCTGACCTTCAGGTCCCTCCAGCCCCAGCTCCTTTGTCACTGGGCCCGGCCTGCTCACAACCCTCCCCGGCTGCTGCTGCCTGTGCCGCTCCCTCCACCGCTGTGTGCCCGGAGCGGGCAGGTGTTGGCTCCCGCAGGTGAGCGGCAGTGCGGCCCAGCAGCTCCGGCTCCGAGGGCTTGGCGTCTGCGTGCACTTTCGAGGGGCCTCTAGGACAGAGAGCCGCTGGATGCACAGAGACCAGCCAGGTGACTCCTGTAAAGAGCAAGGACAGTCTCTCCGCAGAGGACGCGTCTGAAGGTCCTTCTTTGCCTTGAGTGGCCTGGGGGAGGTTGTCATAGTGATGACCCGCCTGCCACCAGGAACTGCCTTCCCAACTGGTCCCGGCACACGCAGGGCTTCGGGAGACGAGGACAACATGGCACCTGAGTGTGTGGACTCCCGGCGCCAAACATTGTCAGGACGGCACTCGGAGGGGGCGGAGCTTTCTGAGCGCAGAGCCGGGGCACGGAAGCTGACCACCATGTCCGACACCCTGGCGGGGTTTTAGGAGGATTGTAAATGGGTCGTCGCTGTCCCCAGGCTTGCTCTGTCGCAGCCCTTCTGTCCCCCTGGTAACATTCCTCGCTCATTTGCCTCCCCCTCCCCAGCGGAGGCCACAGCAGCCGGCCCCTCGTCTTGGTGGTGTTTGGAGCCAGCATTCAGCACCCGTGTTCCAGGGCGGGTGGCAGGTGAGGGCGGGCGGCCGTGACCCTGCTGTGACGCTACTGCACTGACTGACCTTTCTGTCCCCACAGACTGGAAACCAGCACATCTACCAGCCGGTGGGGAAGCCGGGTAAGCGGAGAAAGAGATGACATCAAGAATTTTGTATGACATGGAGGGAGCGGGGTTTAATGTATAAGTTTCTGAGCTTTGGAACACCTCGTGGTTTTCTATCACGGTCCCCTCTACAAGCCACGGCGATTGTGGTGGCTCCCAAATGCAGCCCATGCCGAGAAGGCTGGAGAGGGAACCTCGTACCAGGCACCAGTAGGGCTGCACGTGTGTGTGCGTGCGTGTGTGTGTGTGTATACATGTGCTCTGTGAAGGCGTGTTACTTAATGAGACTCGTTCCCTTTTCCAGATCCTGCAGCTCCACCAAAGAAGCCACCACGCCCCGGAGCCCCTGGCCACCTGGGCAGCCTTGCCAGCCTCAGCAGCCCCGGGGACAGCTACAACGAGGGCGTCAAGGTGGGCGAGGAGCTGGCTCTGCTCGGGGCTCTGGCGGATGAGCCTGTGCTGAGGGCGGGGCCTGGGTGGCATCGCCGTGGGCTGCAGCGTGGGGTGGTTCCAAACCCCTCTGAGAGGCAGGAACACGCTTTACCAGAAACTTTCCCATTTCTCTCTCGGACAGACCTGGGGCCTCACTCAGACCCTGACTTTCTAAACACGTCTTCTCTCGTCAGGCAGAGTGTTGCTTTGGGCGAAAGTGCTAGGTGGCTTCTGGTTTTCAAAACCAGTTAAGTCAGGACACCGGGGCGACCTGCAGGCCAATCTGCAAGCTTGTCAGTGGCTGAGGGAAAGGGCCGCCGTGTCCCCCCGCAGAGCGGCCTTTGGAAGGCGGCTTGCACTGCACGGAGCCGCCGGACAAGGGACCCGAGGCTCAGGCGCCGACGCCCAGGAGCTACTTCGTGGCTCCAAACCTTCCCTCCCCCCCGCCCGCCCGCCCGGGGCAGGAGCAGGCCCTGGCGTCAGGGTTCGCGGGGCCCTGGGTGAGGCTCTCCGCTGTGGTGCCATGTACGGGGTGTCCCTCTGCGGGACGCGGTGCTCAGCGGTCCTGCTGGCACCAGACCAGGTGTCCTCCGGGAGGAGAAAAGGGGACACAGCCCACAGCCCTGCCGAACGTGGGTCCCTGACACTGAGAGGGCGGGATCGGGCTAATGCGCGGCGTCCGTGTTCATAAGCCTCGGAGCACACTTCCCAGTGGCCGGTGTGACAGGCCAGGGGCCCTGACGGTCACCCTCACCGTGGCAGTGGCGGTAGACAGGCGTGGCATATGAAGAAGCCCTCACGTAGGGTGTTAAGCAAGTCAAATCCCACCGGAATAGCGTGTGTCCTTAATGTGGGAGCAGGGTGAGCGGCGAGTGGGAAGGGTGCGTCCCGTCCGCTGGCCAGCACATCAGCCGAGAGCACGACTGGCCACAGAAACACTCGACCTCAGCTGGGTGGAGCGTGACCCGTCAGACGACCTTGAAACCAGTAACTGACGTCGCCCCCCTCTCGCTTGGAGGTGTCATCTCGAGGGGCCGCTGTGGTGGGCGTGGCAAAGACAGCGCAGCGGAGGCATGGCCCTGCCTGCTCCAGCCGGTGCTGCTGGCGCGGCTCTGCCTGTGGCTCCTCGGGAGCCCCTTCACCTCCTCCCGGCCACACGGGTCCCGCCCTCCCAGGGCCCTGCAGGGCACTGCCGCCCCGGGGGACCCCCTCGTGTCCCCACAGCACAGGGCAGACGGGGCTGAGACGTGCAGAATCCTGAACAGCCTGGGCTCTGCTTCAGACAGTTGTGAGGAGGGGGCAGGGCCCCACTTCCTGTCTGTTTTCCTGGGGCCGCCTGCTTCAGGCTGCAGAGAAAAACATTAAGTCAACTGACGAGTTTAAGGAACCGAACCATAAGACTTGCTTCAAAAGAAGGGTTTCTGTGTTTGTTTTTAAAATAGGCTCCTAACGCCTTTAAGCCCAGCCCGGTCCACAAGTGCACTGCGGGGCTGGGGCTCGGGGCAGGGGTGCGGTTCCTCTGAGTCACTCGGAGGCCCAGGTGGCTCAGGGGTCCCAAGCAACCTGCTCCCCCCTTTTTGAAGGCCCTGATTCTTTTGGTTCTGGCACAGCTGACAGGTTTTCCTTCTCGGGCTTTGCATGTCGTTTCCACGATTATTTTGTGGAAACAGGCGTGTGCGTGGTAGACCCCTGACTGCGGTGCCTGGGCGGTGCCGCGGCTCTGCCCTGACGCCGCCGCTGAGAGCCGGCCGACGGGCTCCTGCTCCCCTGCTGGCCCGCTCGTGTGTTTATGGGGTTTGTCTGCTGCCTGTATTAATACTGTTTTTCTTTTTTCCCTCTCTCTGATAATCCCTCTAACCTTTCCTCACCTTCCGTTCAACAATAGCCGTGGAGGGTAAGCACATCTTGTCTGTGTGTCTGTCCAGCTCTGTATCACACCCAGCGCTCTGCATGTGACTGGACCAGAAATCGGGGGGCCTAGGGGGCTCCTGTGCTTGGCTCATATCAGCAACAGGATTTGTAGTTCCCAGAGCGAGAGACAGGAGCCCCTCTGCAGGGTTGGACTACGGTCCTTTTCCGTCTCAAGCCCAGATGGGGACCCTGAGTTCCAGGCTCCCTGGGCAGAGGCGGCCCGAGGGCTCAGAAAGGGCGCCTCGTGCTGCAGCCGAGCCCACGCAGCAGAGTCTCGGGCCCAGACTTGTGCTGAATTGAGTCTCTGGAGAGACGCAGAACTGTGCTGTGGGGCCCAGGGCAGCGTTTCCTGTTAAAGACCCTGGGAGATTCCCCAGAGGCCTGTGTAGCTCGGTGCCCGGTGCGGGCGGCCACCTCACGGGCCCCTGCCTATGAGGGCTGAGCCGCCGCTCCCCGGAAGCGCCGCGTTGGGCTCCGGCACCAGCCAGCTTCACCTGAGCTGTGTCTGCAAACATGGTGTCCGCTCTGTCACCTGCCAGGAAAGCTCCCCACTAGGCGGCCCGAGGTGCCGGCTGCGCTATGGAGTCGCTGCTGCAGAACTCAGGCCACGTGGGCGCTGCTGGTCCAATGCAGAGCGCTCGGCCCCGAGCAGCCCCCTGAACGCCTGCGGGCACCGTGCGCACGCTTCCCTGGGTGAATGATTCTGGGCATCGAATCGCTTCTCTGGGAGAATCGGGCTTCTTAGTGTCGTGTGTGATTCCACCTCATTTCCTTTAACTGAGCTCAAAGTCAGAAGAGGAGGACCTCATGGATGGGTCACTTGGAGTCACGTCAGTGTTACCCCAGAGTGCACTTGACCCCATAGAACAAGAGGGTCCGTCTCCAGTCTGCTTTGATCTCTCTTAAAGACCCTCCCTGACGAGACCCGTGGGTCCCCTCCCCTCCCCCCGGACGCAGAAAGTAACTGGCTTCTGTGTTGGCAGCTGCAGCCCCAGGAGATCAGCCCCCCACCCACGGCCAACCTGGATCGCTCCAATGACAGGGTGTACGAGAACGTGACGGGCCTGGTGAAGGCGGTCATCGAGATGTCCAGCAAGATCCAGCCCGCCCCGCCCGAGGAGTACGTGCCCATGGTGAAGGTAAGGCCGTCCCCACGTCCGTCCCAGCGGAGGTGTCCTCACCTCAGGTGGCGGTTCCGGCCCTAGCGCCGGGTGGGATGTCCTGGAGCGCAGGCGTCCCACAGTGGCTGCCGGGCATGAAGACTGGCCAGCGAGGCCTGTGGCAGTCCTGACACCTCTTTGCTGGCCTCCTGGGCCCTAGGAAATACCGGGGGGAGAACGGATTCAGGGAGCACTGAGGAGTGTGCCGCCCGCCCTCGCCGGCACCAGCAGGTGACACGTCTGACCCCGAGGGCAGGCAGACGGCGGCGTAGTGGGGATGGGAGTACCAGGCGCTCCAGCGCTGCTCTCCCCGGACCTTCCTCACGCGAGTGTCTGCTCCGCACCCCGCGCCCCAGGGTAGTCGAGCCCTGGTATCAGATCGGAATCTTTGAGGGGAACTTGCCTCAGAACTTAAAAGGTGGGGCTCAGGGAAAGAGAGAAAGAAACACAGAAATGTCGTAACTGGAGGACAGCTTGGTGCTGTGTGTGAGGCCTTGTGTGACCTGACTGTGTGGTCCTGTCTCTTAGGAAGTCGGCCTGGCCCTGCGGACGCTGTTGGCCACTGTGGACGAGACCATCCCTGGCCTGCCGGCCAGCACGCACCGCGAGGTAGGCCCGGCTCGCCTGCTCTGGGCTCGTGGGCGGGACGGGGCGGTCCACGCTGCTGCCGCGGAAACTGCCGGGCTCCTGGCTGTGCAGGGACCCTCCCAGCTGAGGCGAGCCCCTGACCAGCTCCCTGCGGCTCCCCTCCTGTGCCTCCAGGTCGAGATGGCCCAGAAGCTGCTCAACTCGGACCTGGGCGAGCTCATCAGCAAGATGCGGCTGGCCCAGCAGCACGTCCTCACCAGCCTGCAGCAGGAGTACAAGAAGCAGATGCTGACGGCCGCGCACGCCCTGGCCGTGGACGCCAAGAACCTGCTGGACGTCATTGACCAGGCCAGACTGAAGATGCTGGGGCAGGCGAGGCCGCACTGAGCGGAGCCCGCGCTCCCGACACTCCGTGCACCAGCAGCAGGGCCGCCTCCGGGGCAGCCCTGGCGCCAGCGCTTCTGACTGGCAGCTGGTGGATGATCGCTCATGCGTTCAACCACATTTTGATTTGGGCTCATTTTTTGTTCTGTTTCTTGAATCATGGTGTTCAGAAAAGTCCGGATCCAAAATGTGGCATTTTTCTAAGAGTGAAACTGTCCGGGAGAAGCTGTTAGGGTCGTGCAGAGACTGTGGTAGGAAATGGCCAGACTCGCTGGAAGCGAGAGGAGGAGGAGGGGCCCCAGAACAGTGTGCGGACTGGACCCTGCTGTGGGCAGCACGCCCTTCAGCTGCGCGCGCTGCCACCACGTCACGGAGGGCGAGGCTGAGCGCCGTGTCTGGAAGACGGAGGCATTTTAGAAAAAGCACCACAGCCCTTGCGCCTCGGCCTCCTGCTCTTGCGGCGGCTGGGAAGTGCGGTGGGAACAGCTGCAGGGCACACGGACTCTTCACCAGAATCACGTGCCGTAGCCATGTTCCCAGCAAAAACGCTTGTGCCAGCGCCCCCAGCGGCCCTGCGCAGGCTCTGAGCCTCCTGTGCCCTTTTCTATAATTTATACAGAAAGAGGAAAGCCATGCTGACTGCTCAGCCGTCGCCGGAGTACTAACCTTCCTCGTGTGTCTTCCCGGGGGCAGCAGGCCCTTGGAGAACTGCACCTCCCGTAGTTTGCTGGGGGATATAAATTATTCTCAGGAAGAATATACTGAACTGTACAGTGACTTTGACCTATTAAACAGGTGTTACCAGTAAGGGCTCGGTGCAGTGGCCTTTCTCTTTCTTTTCCTTCAGACTGTTTACAGGTTTCCGGGTGACGTGTCAGGTGAAGCCACACATGGGACCGCTCTCAGTCATTGTGTCCGTTCCCTCTTTCCTGGCCTGCAGACCAGGAAGGCTGTTGCCAGGGAGAGACGGCCGGGTCCGAAGCACCCTGTTCACTGTCCCCAGCAAGGGCAGCCCGGGCGGGGCTGGTGTCCTGGTGTTCCTGCCTCAGGGCCGCCCGCCTCCTGAGGCCACTGGGGAGGTGTCTCCCAAACCCGCCCTGGCCGTGGGCGGGGCAGCGAGGACGGGACCGGAGGATCCGGCCGGGACCAGGGCATCCAGATGGGGGGCTTGGAGGAAATACCCGGGTGAATCCGGGTTTCCTGTGTGCACACCAGTTCCTGCAGGTTTTGTGACGTTGACTCCATCTGGACCAGGTCGCTGCCGTCCTCTGAGCTCTCTTCTCTGGCGTTCTCGGCCTCTGAGTCCGTTTCCTCCTCTTCACAGAGGCCACAGGGAGGCTAAGATGAGCGGGGTCCCAGGTGAAGTGCCCCGGACGTGACCAGGGCTCGCAGTGGGGCCGCCCTGTGGACTGCGGGGAGCTTTGCAGCTTGCCTGGCCTCCACTCGCTAGCAGCCAGGGTCCTCCTCCCTCCCCGCTGTGACAGCCATTCCTCAGGGCTCCTCCTGGTTGGCGTGTCCCGGGTGGGAGAGAAGGCCCCTCCCAGGAGCTGACACCGTGGCATTGGCGATGCCTGGAGTCCAGCTGCAGTGTGCTCTGGACCCACCACCTTTCTCAGGATACAGCAGCTGAAACCCAGCTCACACTTCCCTCGTCTCTTCCCTGTTGGATGAGCACGGTCAGTCCTCATCTTTACTTCATCGTCTCAAGTACTTAACATCAGCAACAAGCAGCCCTGGCGAGGGCGCTCGGCGGGCAGGCATCGGCTGGCACACTGAGGGCTATTGCTGGGTTCCTGGCCAAGGGCGTGCACCAGGTTGCAGGGTTGGTCCCCAGCCTGGTTGGGGCACATGTGGGAGGCACCAATCAACGTCTTTCTCTCATGGCTGTTTCTCTCCCCCACCCTTCTACTCTTCCTAAAAAATTAATGGAAAAAGTCCTCAGATGAGGATTAACAACAACAAACATGAGATGTGAGCTGCCAGAGCGATGGTTTTTTGTTTTTAAACATTTGCTTAAATTACTTAAGATTTCTTTAAATCCATAAGAAAACCCAGTCATGACAAGTGACAAAATGAATGGAATTATTTGGTTTTTATACTTGATTCTCATTTAATGAATCTCGAACGCCCAAAGCACAGCAGTCGCCCGCATTTACCATAGGAGGCCGCGCCTGTCCTGGCTCCGTACCGACTGCCCCTCCAGGTGCGTGTCCCACGGTGATGCTAGGAACTCAGTCCTGCTAGAGGCCCTGACTGCCTCCTGGCGCTCCCAACATACTGTGTACCAGGTCCATTAGTTACCTTAGCCCTCTGTCGGCTTCACCTGCACTGCTTTTAGAGCCTGTCTTACAAAAGACATTCATTCCTGGGTCTAATTCTCAGTAGATTCTGTACTATTCCTGGAAGTGCCTATTAGCATTTGAGTTATAAAATGAAGTCAACCTTCTAATCAAAAGTTTGTTTGGCTCAGTCGTGGCCGGTTTGGCTCAGTGGATAGAGCGTCGGCCTGCAGACTGAAGGGTCCCAGGTTAAATTCCAGACAAGGGCACATGCCCGAGTTGTGGGCTCGATCCCCAGTAGGGGGCGTGCAGGAGGCAGCTGATGGGTGATCCCCTCACATCACTGATATTTCTATCTCCCTCACCCTCTCCCTTCCTCTCTGAAATCAATTTAAAAAAAATGTGTTTGGCTGAGTAATTTGACAAGGGGGACATGGGCTTAGTTTTCCATAAATTGAATGAACTAAATTTTGTAGCCCTAAGAGTTTGACATAAGTTTATGCAAAGAAGTGATTTTTTTAAAAACTTCCATTTTAAAAACATTTTATTGGCAGTGGTATAGATGAATTAATATTTTTATGTCCCCAAACCTTTCTGAATATATCGGGTGACACATGGTGGCTCTAAATAAGAGAACATTCAATATAAGTCTCAGAAAATGCCTTTCTGCATGAGCCAAACCATCCCCATGGCTGTTGCTTTATAATAAACCCTGAAGTTGTGTGAGGCCTCTAATATTTTTCATATTTTTGAAATATTTTTTTCATATTTTTTCAACATTGATTTTTAGAGAGAAAGGGAGAGAAACATTGATGTGAGAGTAAAACATCTATCGGCTGCCTCCTGCGCACCCCCAACCAGGCATTTAACCTGCAACCCGGGCATGTGCCCTAACCAGGAATCGAGCCAGCAACCTTGCTGAGCCACACTAAAGCAGTTTTGCTTTTAAACGTAGTCTGCCATCCACCTGGAGTTGGGCTTTGATGCATTTTCCCCATGTGGGTGTCCATTATCCCAGCACCCTTTATCAAAAAGTCCATCCTGCTGGCCCGTGTGGCACAGTGGCTGAGCGTTGACCTATGAACCAGGAGATCATGGCTCAATTCCCAGACAGGGCGCATACCCGGGTTGCAGGCCCAATCCCAGTTGGGGGGCGTGCAGGACGCAGCCGATTGATTGATGGTGCTTCTCCCCCTTCCTCTCTAAAATCAATCTAAAATCCATAAAACATGTTTAAAAAGAAACCAAGGGCCTCGGATTGAGCGTTGTGGGCACGATGACCACAGGGGGGCGCTGTGGCTCCCCAGCCCTTCTCTTGACCTCCCCAGCGTGCTACTGGTCTGGACCGCAGCACCCGATGTGCAAACCTGGGGCCGACCAGCGCGGGGGACCCTGCAGTCTTAGCATAGGGACCCCAAAATACAGAGCAGTGAATGTGCCAGGGAGAGAGACTGGGCCCCAGGGGACCCGTGAGTCGGTCCTGTGGGGTCAACATCCGCGTTGGAGGAAGGCCTGGAGGAGCAGGCAGCGCGGCGGGAGGGGTTAGCGCCGGTCCGGTCAGCAGGGCGAGGACCCCATTCGGTGGGTTGAGTGGACCGCTGTCTGCGGGAGGCCAGGCCAGGGGCCTGGGGTTGTCTTCGTGGATGGTGAGCGCTGGCCACGCAGGGACAGGGGAGGAAGAGCAGGTCGGAAGGAGGAACTGGGCGTGGCTGTGGCCCTGGAGCTGCGGGGGTGGGGGCTGAGGTGGGAGAGGTGGGCGCTGGGGGACAGTCCCCCGCGGCGGGTGGGAGGACCCCGCAGGACGCGGGTGGGCGGGCCGGGCTGCGATGGCGCCCCTCCACCAACAGGGGTCGCGCGCGTCCTTGGAGGCGGGGAAGCGACACAAAGAAGCGCCCGGGCGATACTCTGTTGCCTGACCTTGCGCACAGGAGCGCGGGCTCGGAAGCAGGGCTCCCGGCGGACCGGGACGGCTCTCCCCGGTGTCCCGAGGCCACAGGTCACAGGAGCAGCCGCAGGCGAGGCGTCTGGGTCGCTCGGGGGTTTCAGGCCGCCTTCACCCGGTGGCGCACACACTCAGTCTGAGGCTAACACCAAATATATATATATTTTTTCCGATCTGACAAAAAAAAAAGGTATTTTCATTCATTCGCACCAGATGGCCACTGTTCTGTCGGCTGTTGTCATTTTGTTATTTGAGAGCCAAAGGGGAGAGAGGGCAGGGCCCTAGCAGGCAGGGAGCGCGCTGTCACAGTTCTCGCGCCGTGGCTGGAGGTTCATGGACAACACGGACAAGAGTCGTGACTGGCACGTGAAAACGTCTCCCTTGTGAAATACCGCGAAGGCACAGAAAAGTACCCCAAACTAATGCAGCTTGAGGGACGTGCCGACCCGGGGAGAGCGCCCCCCCCCCCCACTCCCCCGCAACCCCCGTACCCATCAGTCTGACGCTCATGGTAACCACTACCTTGTCTTTACTTTTTACTGTCAACTGCACAGCCCTGAGCCTGGGTTTGGAACCTTTTTAAAAAATATATATATATTTTTTTATTGATTTCAGAGAGGAAAGGAGAGGGAGAGATAGAAGCATCAATGATGAGAACCACGGATCGGCTGCCTCCTGCACGCCCCCCACTGGGGATCGAGCCCGCAACCCAGGCCTGTGCCCTGACCGGGAATCGAACCGTGACCTCCTGGGTCATAGGTCGTCGCTCAGCCCCTGAGCCACGCCGGCCGGGCCGGGGTTGGGAACTTTTATAAGTGAACCTGTGGCCGGTGGCGCCTTTCACCCAACACTGTTGCCGGCGGGGCTCGCCGTCAGGCTGACCCCTGTGGACAGTGCAGCTCCCTGAGCTGATCCCTGATGACATGGCGCCCAGGCGCTCGGGCCTGTCCCCCGACCCCCGCAGCTGTGCTCGGCCCTGCTAGGCCCCCGAGGCCAGCGCTTCAGGATGCCACTCGCTGGTTTCCAAAGTGATGGTGGCAAGACCCACGCTCACAACAGGCCCGAAGGAGCGGGGCAGGGGCTGGCAGAGACACCCCGCAGGGCTGGCAGCGGGCTCTGCAAAGAAAACAGGCTGGGGCCACGCGCGGTGCCCACGGGAGCCAGAGAGCAAGTAGGCACCGGACCAAACCTGTGATCTAGGGAGACGGCTGCCCGGCAAGAGGGGCTGCTCAGGCCCCCGGCCCAGGCGAGAGCAGGGGTGCTGGGGGAGGGCTGGGGAGGGCGCGCCGTGGGCCGCTGCGGTCCTGGCGATGGTTTCTCTGGTGCAGACGGATGTCCTTTGTGTTTCTCTCTGGAGGAAAGGCTGGCTTTCCTGCACTTATTCGGGGATGCCCCTGAGGTTGCAAAGAACTAGCAATAGACCTACTAGGTGCGGAGCTGCGGGCAGGCAGGGCCCTCCCCCTCCGAGTCAGCTCGGCCGCAGGGACAAGGGCCCTGCCCCACACGCAGGCAGCGCGCTTATGGGCTGAGGCCGAGCGGGAGCCTGCGGCCAGGCACCAGCCCCCGCACCACGGTCTCACCTTCGAACCCCGTTCACTAGCGGTTCACATGGAGCAGCGGGGGCCCTGGCTGGGGGGCGAGGTGGTCGTGTGAGGGCCGGACGCGGTCAAGTTCACCCTCTGGTCGGAAGCAAGCTCCCGACATTCAGATTTCGTTAATAACTTAAAAAAATAAAATAAAATAAAAGCCAGGTTGGGATGCGGGGCGAGTCCAGCACCAGGCAGCTTCGTGGCCAAGTGCCCCGTCCGGGTGGGTGACGTGGGGAGGGTCGTGCGCCCCCCACGCCCCCCCCCCCCCGCCCCCAGCAGCCAGACCCGCTCCCCAGGCGCGCGGGAGGCGGCGGGGAGACCAGGCTGTTTCCTGGTGTTGCTCCCGAGTCTCCGCCAGTGACGCCGAGCGGCCCCGCTCCGCCCCGAGGCCACGTCACCCATCTGAGTGGCTGCGAGGGGTCCCCCCCACCCCCCGCCTCACAGCATCCTCCCAGTCCCCTCCCGCCCCCAGCCCTGGATACCCCGCCCGCCCAGCTTCCACTGCCCCGCGGGGTCCCCTCTCGGCCCCCAGACGCGCGCGCCTCGTCTCCCTCCTCCTCCTCTCACCTCCTCCTCCCCATCCTCGCCCCGCCCCGTCCCCTTGCCCCTCCCTCTCTCCACCCCTCCCTCCCGATCCCTCGCCCCACCCCGCGCCCCTCCCTCCCGATCCCTCGCCCCGCCCCGTCCCCTTGCCCCTCCCTCTCTCCGCCCCTCCCTCCCCTCGCCCCTCCCCGCGCCCATCCCTCCCCATCCCCGCGCCCCTCCCTCTGCCCTCCCCATCCCCGCGCCCCTCCCTCCCCATCCTCTCGCCCCTCCCCGTCCCCCCTCTCCCCCTCCCTCTCCCGTCCCCTCCCCTCCCCCTCCCGCCGCCGCCGCCGCCTCCGCCCGCCGCCCGGGCCGCGTCGGGTAAACCTGTTTGGCGAGGCGGCCGCGCCGGGGCGGATCGTGCGGCCCGCGGCTCCCTCGCGGCTCGCGGCGTCGGGGCCCGTGGCGCGCGCGCGGCCGCCCCTCGGCCCCGGAGCCCTTCGGCGGCGCCACCATGTACTCGGGAGCCGGCCCCGGTGAGTCCTCGCGGGGCCGCCGCTCGCGCTCCTCCCAGGCGGCTGGCGGCTGGCGGGTGGCGGGTGGCGGTTGGCGGGTGCGGGCGGGCCGCCCGGGCGGGGCCTGGGGCTCGGGGCTCGGGGCTCGGGGCTCGGAGCGGACACAGCTCGGCCCACTCGTCGGGGCGCCCGCGCGGCCTGGGCCTCCGGTCCCTGTCGCTCCGGGGCCGCGGGCGGCGCTCGGGCCGATCCAGGGCCGCGCAGGGCGGGTAGGCCTGAGGCCCGCGTCCGAGCCGCTGCGCCGCCGCCGGGGGAGGCCGGGCTCGGGGCTGCGGGCTGCGGGCGCCGAGGCGCAGGCCCGGGTCGGGGCGCGGGCGCGGGGCGCGGGGCGCGGGCGGCGGAGGGAGGCGGCCCCGCGCACCGGGTTTGGTTTCGCTGCCGCCGGCCCGCCCGCGGCCCCTGCCCCGAAGGGGCGTCTGCGATGCCCCGGGCCGGCCGGTGCGGGGGCGCCCGGGCTGGTGGCCGGGAGGGTGGGCAGCGCGCCCCGACCCCCGCGGCTGCCTGTGGCCGGTCCTCGTCCGTTCGCGCGCCCCCCATTCAAGTGCTAATGGCCCCCGAGGCGCAGGGGGCGGTCGGCCTCTCCTTGGGAAAAGTTCCTAAAAACTTAAAGCGCCGAGAGCAGCGACACCCCTTTGTCTACGTGCAGCGGGAAAGGGCCTGACTGCGGGCCGCGGCCAGGGTCCCGCGCCAGGCACGTGGCCCCTAAATTTCCCGCGGCCCTGCCACTCGCGGGCACTGCTGCCCTTTGTCCGCCGCTGCCCCGGCTCCAGGCCGCTCCTGCGGGTGCGGGGTCCTGGCTCCACCTGCCCAGGCCCCGCCCTGCAGCCCCTCCTGGTGGCCCTGGCCCCGCTGGCCACTCTGTGCCTGGGCTCGAGGGTCTGCTTTCGGGGGTCACTTGGTGAGAAAGCTGCTCCAAGGCTGAGCCTGGCCAGCGTGTCAGGGGCCCGGCCAGTTGACTGGAGACTGACTGTCTTGAACCCCACCCCTGGGCGTGAGGAGGGTCCCGGTCTCAGGTGTCACAGTCTTGGGGGCAGGTTTGGCTCCTGAGGCTCAGGGTGGTGGCCCCCCATGGGGCCAGGGCAGGGCCGCCCCTCCCCTGCCTGTGGGAGGCCCTGCCAGCTGACCCTGGAGGGCCCCAGCGTTGGCCGCCAGCTGTAGGCTCGCTCAGACCTCTCTGGAGGCTGAGGGCCTGGAGGAGGGAAGGCCAGGCCTTGGGTGGTGGTTTGTGTCCTCGGACCCCTGGACGGCTGGCGACGCCGTGGCGCTCAGGGCACAGAGGCTGAGACCTCGCGGAGGCACAGCCAGCGGGCGTCAGGGCGGCCGTCTGGTCCCACGCCTGGTCCCACTCGGGCTCTACACGGAGCCGCTGGCTGCTGCGCTTTCTGACCTTGACCCACAGTAAGAAATAAATACCTGTTCCGTCTAGACAGGGGCTGAGCCGGCCCACAGGTAGCCCTGAGCCCTGATGTTTCCTGTCTCTTTCTTCTGTCTGTCTTTCTGTCTTTTTAATGCTGTGGCCTAGGAACTCCAGGCTGGACGCTGCCCAGGACGGCGTTTGGCAGCCTGGCTGTGGCCGGGCCTCCGTGGGGGCCTGGGTCGGAGGGGCAGAGCTCAGCCGGCGGCGGGCGGCTCTCGGGGCCCAGCCTTTCCCCTCCCTTTGAAGGGAGCTGGGGGAGAGGGCTCTTCCCAGAAGCTCGGGAATGCGTTTCCCGATTCGGGCCATGAGCGGGCGCCTGGACTGTATGAAAATTACCGGTAGTTTTGCTCCTTCCAATGTTAAGACACTTACTAAGCAAACTTACTAAGTACATTAACTTTTTAAAAGCGAGGCTGGCGGTGCCCCTGCCGGCAGGTCACAGATGTGGGTGCCTGGGCTCCGGAGCTGGGTCTGTCGCTGTCTCTCGTTTCTGGAACTTCTGGGAAGAGGCAGTGGTTGGGAGGGGCAGGTTCTCCTGTGGCCCTGGGCCTTCACAGGCGAACACATTGTTTATTTAAAACACACACTCACTCACACACACTCACACACGCACACACACTCACAGATCTTAGAGGGTCTGAGCAGAGGCCTTCGCCAGGGGGCTGTTGGCTCCGCTGAGCTTGACTATGTTACATCCCTCCCAGGTCGGCTACACGGGAACCTCTGAGCCTCCTCAGGCGCCTTTGAAAGTTGTCTGAAGAGGATAGTGACTCTGACTCCTCCTGCACCCACTCCCCCCCCCTTATCTCTGTGAGAGGTGCCCGCTTGGCCGCGGCCGGTGCGCGGGGCCCTCTGCCCCCGGGAGGCACTAATCCCTGGGATCTGGTCTCGCCCTGAAGAGGCTGTAAGTAAAGGCTGAGGGAGAGACGTAAAGCTCCCACTCCTCAGTCCCGGGTGGCGGGAAGCAGCAGGGTTCTTTTGCACCTTCTGGTGGCTCCACGCCGTGGGCTTGTTCTGTTTCAGCCACGCAGCCTCCTGGACCTGCCCCTCCGACACATACACCTTTGCTTCTTGAGCCGTTACCTCGAGCCTTCAGATGGCACGCTTAATTTTTTAAATCACTTTTCATTGTAAACTAATGAAGATACAGTGAGTCTGCCCCGGCCAGTTTGGCTCAGTGGATAGAGCATCGGTCTGCGGCCTGAAGGGTCCGGGTTCGATTCTGGTCAAGGGCACAAACTCGGTTTCAGGCTCAATCCCATGCGTGAGACAACCAATTGATGTGCCACGCTCACATCAATGGCTCTCCCTCCCTCTCTCTCTCTCTGTCTTTCTTTCTCTCTCTCTCTCTCTCTCCCGACACCCCCCACCCCCACTCTCTCTAAAAATAATGGAAAAATATCCTTGGGTAAGAATTTAAAAAATCCAGAGTCTGTGGCTAGTAGGGACCCCTCATCCACCTGCACCTGCAGCTTCAGCCACTGCCAGCGCTTCCCACACGCGCCCCTGCGCCCGCTCCCCGTTGTCTTTGCAGACGTGTCTACAGCGAGTCCCAGACCCGCGCCCCCCGCCCCCCACTCCGGGGCCAGGTGTGCGGCTGGGACGTGCTAAGCCTGAAGCCAGGTCACTTCCTCGCATTGGGGAGCATGCTCCCCGTCGGTTGTCTGGGATCCTGGGTTTTAATAAAAGTTCACATAGGTTTAGTTTTATATCTTTGAGGCTCTAGACCAGGGGTCCTCAGACTTTTTAAACAGGGGCCAGTTCACTGTCCCTCAGACCGTTGGAGGGCCGGACTATAGTTTAAAAAAAAACTATGAACAAATTCCTAGGTATGCACACAGCGGTGGCAGAAACACCCGGCGGGCTGGATAAATGTTTTCGGCGGGCCGTAGTTTGAGGACCCCTGCTCTAGACTCCAAAGCTGGGGCCCCCTCCCCCCTTTCCTCTGCTCCGGACGTTGGAGAAACCACTCAAGTTCTAAGCTTCTCCTTTCTTCGGAGTGGCCCCCGCTTTTCTCTAGTAGCTTCTAGGAAGAACCCGACGCCCAGGCCCCCGTTGTCCTGTCCCCAATGGGAGGCCCGGTTCTGACGGGCCCGTCTCCCAGCAGAGGGGACACTTGGTCCCGTGGGGACAGAATGGGTGTCCCTGGCGGCTCCTGTCGGTCCGATGAGCGGACCCCTCCCAGCCTTGGTCACCCGGCTTCACAGTGCGAGCCGGACCCCCCCGCCCCCCCCCGCGCGCCCTCACCCCAGTGTGGGCCCTGGCCTCACCCGTGGCCCCATCCCCGCCCCCTCGCCAGCCTGGGCGCCGCAGCAAGCTTTCCCAGCCTCTCCCCTCGAAGCTGTGCAGGGGGGGCCTTGGGGTCCTTGGGGGCCTCGGGCGGTGGGGAGCCCCGTGCCGGGGGCCAGCGGGCTCTGTCTCCAAACCCGGGCTCGGCACAGCCTGGCGGGAGGAGACCGTTTTCTGTGTGGCTCTCACCGGTGGCCGGGGTGGGGCTCGGGGCGCTTCGTTCCAGCGCTGCTGCGCGATGCGCCGTTCAGATGGGCCACCGCGGGAGCGGCGCCTGAGACCCGGGGTGATGCTGGGCGGCCGAGACGGCATTGCATGGCAGCCTGACCGTGGGCCTGACCGCTTTGGGGGATGAAGTCAGAGCGCGTGTGGGGGGCGGGCGGTGAGAACGGGACATTCACAGTCAGGCTGTGGCCACAGAGGCCATGCGGGGCCTGGGACGGTGGTCAGTGCAGGTGCCTTGAGAAGGTGAGCTCAGAGCCAGGGTTCCAGGGGGCAGGTGAGATGAGGGGGGCGTGTGCTGGGGTGGGAGGGACTTGGAGCCCAGGGGGAGCTGACGGGGCGGGGCCTCGGCTGCCTGCCTTTTGCACAGGGTCCGGGGTTGCTGCCTTAAGAACAGGCTGAGGAGGTGGGTGCAGGCCCCCGGGAGGGCTGAGCCGGGTGGTGGGCGAGTAAAGGAGGGAGGTGCCCACAGCATCTAAAGTTCTGTTTTCCTCACGTCCCGGCCGACCCCATGGCCACCTCAGCCTCTTAGAAAATTCAGTTCTTTTTAAAAATACATTTTTATTGGTTTCAGGGAGGAAGGGAGAGGAAGAGAGAGAGAGAAGCATCAGTGATGAGAGAGAATCACTGATCGGCTGCCTCCCGCTCGCCCCACTCTGGGAACCGAGCCGCAACCGGGCCCTCCTGGTTCAAAGGTCGAAGCGCAGCCCCTGAGCCGCGCAGCCCGGTTGGGCCGAGAAAAAGTCTTACTGGCCTTTCAATGAGGGAGAATTCAGACGAACACAGAAGTCCAGGGGCGAATGCGGCCCCCAGTCACTCCGCTCAGCTCAGTCCCCTGACTGCTCTGCCCTGGCCCCACCCCATCACTTGAAGCATCCTATTTCTAGAAAAATGGCCCAAGTAGCACGGAGTCCCCCAGCCCCAGCGTCATCCTTCATGAGCTCCCGGGACAGGACGCCAGCGGAGGCCGACGCTGGGAGCCGAACGGCCGCCCTGCCGTCTCGGTCCGGCTTGGCTGGGGCTGGCCGCCGGG